AATCTCAACAACAACAACACTCCGAACTGCGGACCTATCAAAATCAACAACCAGGGCTAGCCTCAAGTATATCGCCAGATATGGTCCAAGATATTATCAAAGGACTGACTCCAACTCTTGAATTGCTCGTAGCAAACAAACAACTTGACGTTGAACTTCTAGGTGAAACAACCAACAGAAGCAGGTCCGCTAAAAGAAGGGAGGTACAAAGAGCGAAAAAGCGAACTGTTTCGCCGTCTAGTCTACAGTATGTTTCCCCGGACCGGGCATCTAGCCCCAAACGGGCAAGAAGTGATCATCCCTACAGCGAAGTGGACTCACCCGTGACCTCTCCTGCGCACATGCGCCGTGACAGCAATAACCCGGAAGACTCGGATTCTTCCAATTCCGACAACGATCATGACTTAATTTGTTGGAAGAACTGTGTTAAACTAATTAAAAATGCCTTTCCGAGTCATTTTAAAACAACTACAGACTATAACACAGAAACACAAACGGAAAATAAACCGCTAGGACTTCAAACTTTGGGTAAGAAATCTACTTCTTCAGACACAACAAAAGGCTTACCGATCGGGCCTTCAGTGCTACAGAATTTCGCCAACATTAACCAGGAATTAGCCAACAAGAAAAACATGAATGACACTAACTTCCTGTTAAGACCAAAACGATCGTTCACGTCCCTCAAAGAAGATGAACACTTCTATAAAAAATCCATTTTGAATGGGACAACTAAGGAACTTGTTCCACATTCCATGAAACTATCAGATTTGGCTTCAACTTCTTACCAGCTTCCAGCCAAACATCACAAACTGTTGGAAGAATCAGCAAGAGCTCCTCTTCGTCATCTGTCTCACACTGAATGGATTCTAGGGACAACAGGGAAAATCATTGCGGAGAATTTCCCTGAAAATGAGGATCTCGTCAATCTTATTACAACAGCTTCAACTATGGTAAATAAGGCTACAAGGGACACCATTTCAAATGTCACAAACGTCATACTGATTTAAAGGGACAGGGTAAGCTCCAAGTTCAGGAAGTCAGACGCTGAAGCCCTTAGGAATCTCCCCATCGACATAAAATTTTTATTTCCTGAAGAGGATTTAAAGAATATCTGTGAAGGGTCGGATAAATCTAAAACATCAAAAGCGCTACAAGATTTAGCTTCAAACTGGAAAAATCGAAAACAGAATTATGATAAATCCAGTAATAACAACTCCAACAGAAGTAGTAATCAACATTCCAACTTTAACAGGAACAACTTCAACAACAACAACAACAACAGAAACAACAACAGAAACAACAACAGAAACAACAACAGAGGAAACTTCTCTGACCGTTCTACTTCTACAAAATCCAACAACAATAACAACAAATCAGGCTTTAAGAAGTGTAAATGACACTTCAATAACATCAATGTCCCAGCCCCGCCTCCCCCCGTTCTCACCTATGTCCCAGCTGGGACCAGTGGGAGGCAGGATTCAACTACACTTAAAAAACTGGGAACTCATCACAAAGGACCAATGGATTTTAAATGTGATAAAACATGGCTACATGCCACAACTAGTGAACAATCCACCTATGACAAAAAACTTCAACAACTTCGAATCGGCATCAAAAACAAAAGCTCTACTGCTTCAAAATATAGTAGATCTCCTAATTCAAAAACAAGCTGTGGAGGAAACAGACTACAACACACCGGGCCACTACAGCATCATATTCTTACGCCAAAAGCCAAACGGAGATTACAGACCCATAATAGACCTGTCTCTCCTCAACAAACACATAATATGCCCAAAGTTCAAAATGGAAACTTCAGCCAAAATATCAAACTCTCTACAAAAGGGCGAATGGGCCACATCCATCGATTATCGGGATGCTTACTACCATATACCGATAGCCAAACCATTCAGGAAGTTTCTTCGCTTCGTGATCAACAACAAAGTGTACCAATTCAAAACACTTCCATTCGGAATGTCAACCAGCCCTTATGTTTTCACAAGAGTGACATTAGCAATCGGTGCCTTCCTACACTTCCAAGGGATATTAACACACCAATATCTCGGTTTTGTGATCAACAGAGAAAAATCCGAACTGATCCCAACACAGATTTTCAAGTACATAGGCACCCAATACAACCTAATACTAGGCCTAACATATCCTCCGCAAGACAGGATCCAGAAAATCTTAGAAATCGCACAATTATTCACCAATACCCTTTCTCAACCAACAAGGCAGTGGATGAAACTACTAGGCCTACTAGCCTCAGCAGAGAAAATATACCCTGGGGCAGACTATACATGAGACCAATTCAACAGTGTCTAGCCAGCCAGATGTCTCCTACAAAATCACTAGAGACACCAATCTACATCAACCAAGAAGTAATAAACACACTGAAATGGTGGATGGACGAGCAGAATCTACTCATGGGTCAACCTCTGGGAATGTTTGTCCCAGATCACACAATCTTCACGGATGCATCGGAGACTATGTGGGGTGCACACATGGACTCTGTGGAAATCAATGGATTCTGGTCCCCATCGGAAATGAAAAACCACATCAACTGGCTAGAACTAGCGGCAGTATTGAAAGTTCTACACAAACTGAACCATCTACTGGTACCTCAAGCAAACATTCTAGTTTGCCTGGACAACACAACAGCCCTAAGCTACATAAACAAACAAGGCGGGACAAAATCGAAAAGTCTTCTGACCCTAAGCCAGGAAATCCTAATCTGGTGCAAAAACCACCAAATAAACATAAGAGCTCAACATATAGCAGGATCCCTAAACCGATGGGCAGACGCACTATCTCGGGGCAGGATAGTGAACACAGAATGGTCTCTACTCCCACAAATAGTGAAACGACTGTGGCAAATATGGGAGACTCCTCAGTTAGATTTGATGGCGACATGTCACAACAACAAACTACCACTATATGTATCCCCAGTACCAGACCAAAACAGCTGGGGAACAGACGCAATGTCAATCCCGTGGGACAATCTCAACTTCTACATATTCCCACCAACAAGCATGATCGACAAAGTTCTAACAAAAATGAGAACACACAATTGCGAAGCCATAATGATAGCTCCAAAGTGGCCAAATCAACCTTGGTTCACACAAATTCTGGAACTTCTAACGGACTACCCAAGAACGCTTCCAGTGTCTCAAAAACTACTAAAAATGCCAAAGACAAGCATATTTCACCAGACTCCGGAAATATTTGCCCTTCACGCCTGCAAATTGTCAACGACACCCTCAAAAAACAAGGCTTTTCTACAGAAGTGTCTCTTCGAATCTCAGAATCATCAAGGAGGAAATCCACAAATAAACTCTATGATTCCAGGTGGAACACCTTCACTGTTTGGTGTTATGAACGGAATTCAGATCCATGCCAAGCAGATATTCCTCTAGTGGCAGAGTTTCTACTATATCTTCACCAGACTAAGAAACTTTCAATTCCTACCATTGAAGGATACAGAACTGCCATTAATACAGTACTGAAAAAATCATCTGATATCGACCTGACTGATAATTCCCTCATAGGCGATCTTATCAGATCTTTTAAACTGGAAAACCTGACACCAAGGAACATGGTACCTAAATGGAATCTTGTATTTGTTCTTAATGCTTTATCCAAAGCACCCTTCGAACCTATGGCCACAGCGGAACTTAAATTCACATCATGGAAAACACTCTTTCTTTTACTCATGGCTTCAGGGAAGAGAAGAAGCGATATACATGCACTCGACTTCAGACATTTAAAATGGTCAGAATCCAGGGACCAAGTAACTATGTATCCCTTCATAGGATTTCTACCAAAGTCACTATCAGCTGCAGAAGGAGAATCTCGCTTTCAACCAATCCTCATTAAAGCTCTCACCACACTGGTGAATAGAGACTCTCCAGACAGGACACTTTGCCCCCTCAGAGCTCTACGTTACTACCTTCAAGCCACAGTCTCAACAAGGGGCAACCGAAATAGACTGTTTATACCATACAAAGCCGGATATACTGAAGATATACACGTAAACACTATATCTTCTTGGGTGAAAAATCTGATCTTGTATACTTACAAAAATTCACAAGAAACAGATTACCAAATCAACTCTATTAAAACCCACGAAACCAGGGCCTTATCTGCAAGCCTTGCTGTTCAAGCAAATCTGTCAGTTACTGCAGTTCTCAAAGCCTGCTCATGGGCAAATCACAACACATTCACCAGCTTCTACCTACGTGATACATCAGTGATTGAGGGAGAACTGCGGAAACTAGGCCCTATGATGGTTGCAGGCTCACTATACAACATATAGCATCTTCAACAGCCTTGTGGTGAGTCATCATCATTAAACATTCTTATGATTTTATAATGTAAATTATTTAGAATGTTCTACTTGTTGGTTTGTGGGTCCCTCTGGTTTAACTGAATTCACCCACCTCCTTTTCGGCTACATTCAGGCATATAATTGAGAGGTGGGATGTGTAATAATACTGGGAAAATCCTTTTTTAATTGATTTTCCTATTTATAAACATACCCACCTCTCAATTACCAAAGTCCCACCCGACCTCCCCACTATTCATTAGGGGGAATAGGGAAATTGAGGACGTTGGCACGTGTACAAACTACTTTATTCAATAGTGGACGCGTCCAAGTTAATGTCATCAGTAAAACCAGAGGGGTGTTAGGACTCCATACAGAGATTGCTAAAGGAATCTAAGGCATATAATTGAGAGGTGGGTATGTTTATAAACAGGAAAATCAATTAAAAAAGGATTTTCCCAATTTCAGCACAGAATGCAGCACGACTTCAAAATGAGCTGTTTTTGCATCATTATCAATTTCAACTGTCTTTGACTGTTTGCTGGTGTGTAATGCAAATGCATGTACAAATTTTATTCAATGTGAATCATGTATGAATTCAAAAGAATTTTCCTGACATGGCCATATATGGATTTCATGTGAAAGTAATTTGAGTTTTCCTAAAAAGTAGCAGACTCACATTTTGTCAACATAGTTATTTGGCAATGGCACTTTATGATGATTGAACATGTGGAATGCAAACTCCTTTCTTCCCAAACTACCATATGGGCACTGGTCACACATGAATTTCTTCCCTTTCTGATGACTCGCTGCAACATGACTCTGGAAATATATGTACCTCAGGTATTAAAGGACAACTAAATACAAACTTTACACCTTTCTTCCCAAATTTTAACTACCATATACACACTGGTCACACACCAGACACACACATGAATTTCTTCAGATGAATCTCGATAACATGACTCTGAATTTAGATACATGAAATGCAATCTTGTTTCTACTTTTACAAACATATTCTTTTGGCAACTTGCACAACTAGCAACATTTACATGGTGCACATTAGTGTTGTCGCGATGTGCCATAATCGTACATCGATGCATCGGCAATTTTCAGTAGTAAACATCGATGCACATCGCGATGTACATCGAGAAAAAGTTAGAGAAAAGTGCACTGAAATACCGAATGCTAATGCACTAAAATATCGAACAGAACAAATTAATAAGAGTACCCTGGTACATCCGGGAACATAGTAACGGTGAAATGAAAGTAAAGTAATTTTTTTAGATTAATGGTTCATTTCGACTAGCTAAAACAGTTTTAAAGCGAAAGAATATCAGAAAACATTTGAAGATGAAATAAGACATGAAAAAAGGTAAGCAATTTGCGTCAAAATAAGATAAGAAGGGGCAATTTTTTTTAAAAACATCGATGTTTTGTTTCAGACATCGATGCATCGCCAGAACCAGCTTTGGCGATGTATATCGCGATGTATCGATTAATCGCGACAACACTAGTGCACATTCTTATTCATATCTTTACTTAGGCCTCCTGAATAATACTGTGCCCCATTTGGGACCATATCACCTCAATCCAGAGAACCATCCATGCCAAATATATTAATATAAAGGCAGGGGTTCTTTAGAATTCCTTTAAAAGGAGGTATAATGAATGTACTCTAATATAGCACATTTTAGGCTGATTACCTGTAGGTTTGATGCCTGTGTGAATGACTTATCACAATCAGGACATTTGAAAGGCCTGGAATCTATATGGAGTCTCTGGTGAACATCTAAAGCACCCTTTCTCTTAAATGTCTTCTCACAAACCTACAATTATAGGGTATACATATATGTGCATGAACATGTAATACAGAATATCTACTTACATTATACACAGGGGAGAGTTAGTCACCCCCCACCCCCTTATATCAAAATGCTAACATATAGCCTAGAATATAAGAAGGAGGGGTCACTTACCCCCCATCAAGGTAAAACTCAAGAAAAATTCACAAAACTTCCTCCAATTAAACAGAATTCCTCCACCTTTGAGAAGTAGAGTGCTTGACAAAGTAAAAGGGTTCAGTTCTGCTCCATGCCAGCTGAAGATACATTTGTTTAACTGAAATCATCAGTTATGTGAATGATTATCTATGGTCATTTAAATTACACAGGCTCTTGCAAGTCGCAAAGCTTATCACTTCATCAATGATGCATTTCCCTACACATCAATCAGTAAAACCTGTGTAGCTACACACCCTTTGTTCCACTTAAAAGTGTTCCACTTAGAAGGTGTTCCACTTCCAGAGGTTGAAGTTAATTAAGTCAATGGGTTATGGGACTGTGAAAGTGTTATACATACACAGGTGTTCCACTTACAGGTGTTCTACTTGACAGGTGTTCCACTTACAGGTGTTCCACTTACAGGTGTTCTATTTGACAGGTGTTTCACTTGACAAGTTTTACTGTACTGTCATGGATACAAATATTAATACCCTGGCACAGAGATTATTAATAGACAGCAGCACCAGGATTTACATAAAACATTTTGTACTAATTTTCTATATGACAGTGACTATTTGTTTACCTTGCATTTGAAAGGCTCTTCTTTTTTGTGTGATGTTTGATGACTCTTGAATACATGGATATCTATTGTCTGGTATTTACAATTCTCCACCTATACCATGAAAAAGCAACAAACTTAGAATTAACATACAAGGAATTTTTTAATTCATAACATTCTACAGGCAGTTAAATATTCATAAATATTAATAATATTGATAAAAGTCCATCAAGTGAATGATCGAAGAAGAGAACTTACCTGACCCTTGCGTGCTATAGTTAGGGATTTAAGCACAAGACAAAATGCAAATGTTTATAAAATTCATGACTTGTGGATTGTAGCTTTTTAAAACCAAGGTCAACAATTTTGTAATCTTAGTATAAATCAAAATATAAGACTACTTTAAATGAGGCAACCATTTAAGAAATTCATTATTGAGCAGAGATTCTATGCCTTGAAGGCAGACTATAAAATCTGCCAACAAGTATTTGAGTTATCGCCCAAATAGACAGATACACTAGAGGATGCAGTGATCTCAGCACCATTAAAGCAAGTGGGCACAGCACCCACATGAGCTTTTTGAAAACAGCCTTGCACCCACCTGAAAATCAATTTGCGCCCACTTTAAAGTGAGAGAAATCATGAAAATTTGGCATATTTTGACTAATTTTGGTCTGAATTGTGAAAATGAAAATTTTGCACTCACTTGAGAAAAATCCTGGGGAGATCACTGGGATGGACAAAACTTGCAATGAGAAAATAAGATAAGGTTTCTTACCTCACATTTCAGGATAACATATTTCTCTTTATCAAATGGGACACCATGCTTATGGAACTTGTGCCTATCCAATCCCAGCTTCCGTCTATCTTTGAATGAACACAAATTACATTTATACCGCGAGTTCCAATTTCCAACTAGATGTTCTTTTCTGTGCTGTACTAGTTGAGAATGTGTATCAAACGTTTGCGAACATTTCCTACATTTACGATGTTGAAACTTGGTCGGTGATGGATTATTCTTCTCTGATTCTTCTTCACAATTTACCCCAAGTTTTGTTGAAGAAATATTTGGTGAACTATTATCACCAATTGTAGAAGTTTTTGATTTTTGGTGTTGAGCTTCGATATCTTGTGGGATAGATGTCTTTGATTTTTTGGAAGATTCGCTATCATTTATGAATGGGGTTTCATTTGATGATTTAACATTTGGCACAGGGTTTTCCACAACCTGAGAAGTTTTTTCTTGAAGTTGACCTCCTTCACTTGTGGCAATTTCGGCATGTCTCCTTTTACGTGAAGCATTTACAGCATCTTTAGTTGAACCCACCTGTGTCTCTTTTTCCCTTTGAGTGGCTTTCCTTGTGTGATAATGTTTCACTGATGTGCCATAAGGTTCATCAATATTTTTATCACTTGACGTTTCTATATTTTTGATTGGATCTTTACAAGTTGAAGTTTCATAAATCTGTGGTCGGCCTCGTTTTCTTTTTGGAGTGTCCACACCTTTGGCTTTGATGATGCTGCCATCACATTCTATTCCTTTTGAAACTGATGTCTTAGGTTTCTTATTTTTGGACTTAACAATTGTTGAGTTTTTAGTTGAATGATCTTTAATTCTTTTAGTTTGTATTGTTTCTTGTTTACTAGTTTCCGATTGAGATGTCATATCACTTATAAGGTCCTTACATAAAGCTATACCTTCGGATAATTCAAGAGCTTTAAAATAGTTTAAATAATCCTGAACTTTGGAATTTTGAATCATTAAACATCCTGTATACAAAAATCGAACTATTTTGCTTAACTCATCTTGGTTAAGATTCAAATGATCAATATTCCAAACTCTTTTAGTCTTCCATGATTTCTCAGCTTGAAATTTCTCCAAAGTTGCTGCTAAGACGAGTCTGTGTACCGGGATGATCAAACTGTCACACTTTATGTTTATATCACATGCTTTATGTGACTGTTGTAATGTATACAAGCAATCCAAGAGCTTGGATCTATGTTGCTTGGACGTCAGAGTGACAGGAGTGTCACCTTGTAAGTCCATTATTATTATGATGGTTTAATGCCTCTAGCTCTTCATCTGAAATACATGTATTTAAGTAATAACAAAAAATTAACATATTATTCTTATTTTGGTTTCACATTTCTTGAAAGCTTCCTGCAGGATGTATCTATTTCTTTCAAGAGTTTTAAAACAATCACATGTTGCTTTAGACTTACTAATTGCGTTCAATTATCAAGAAATGTGTCTGGGCGAAAACAAAAAATAAAATATATGTTGCATTGGCTTATGTTGCCCAACAATTTACTGTAGGCTTGACAATATTATGTAGATTTATAAATCTCTTGCTCTTGATTTTAAACTACACAAAAGCTGAAAACAAAGACATAACAATCAATTAATAATAATAACCAAAACCAGGATACTCTGAAAGTACATCTATCCAGATTTAAGATTACAGCCGACAAACAAGCTTTTAGCAAGGTGGAAATCGGGAATTAAAGAGGTACCTGTATAGTTACAGTATTTATATTGCACATATTCTAATACATTGAGCGCCAGCGCCATTGCTATTCTTGCCTGTATATTTCTACGGCTGCAAGGAGAATGGCCAATATTCTTGATTTTGAATCTAACATGACAATGTGATACCCATATATGGAAGAATATCAAGTTGCGTCCCTGGGAGCCAATCCTCCATGACATTGAGCCAAGTATGTTTATAGTTTGCACCAGCAGATCTAGACGGGGGCGTGGGGGGCGCAAAATTCGTGTTTTGCCTCATCGCTTTTCACCAAATTTGACTCTTCGCTCACTTTTATTATGACACGCCCCCCCTAACACAAAATCCTGGATCTGCCCGTGGTTTGTACTATAACAAGAAAATCAAGTGAAAATGACACTAGAAAAATACGAAGGCCATAATGCTATTTTGACAAAACTGATCCACTTTTTATTGAAATACCACAGAGAAAGACAATGAACAAACTGCATTTTACTGCTTGTTTTCTGTTGGCTAGGTAACATGTTGATGACGTCACAAATTAAAATATAATAAACACTGTGATGTGTGACGTTTAGCTTTCTTGTCTGTTTAGTTGATAGGGCAATAAATAACTGATGTCATAGTTTATGTTATATTACGTCATATCTTCATCACAAACACAACATATGACGTCGTGATCGTTGCTTTGATGATTTGCCATATAAGGTAATAATGGCGGACTTTTGGTCACGTGACTGGTGGACAGTCGGTCCATAGAACGAATGGCTCCGCTCACTTCGTGGAGGGCCTTCATAAAAAAAACTACCAAAATTGCCCGTGTTGTACATACCCAGCCTACCAAAATGTTTTAGACTTAGAGTGGGGGTCAAACAAACAGGGTCCTCTGTGACCATTCCATGGGTGCAAAGATGCGCATGTAGGCTTTTATATATCTGAGATTTTCTATGACTACAAAACTTCAATAGTGCAACTTATCAGAACCGTGGAAACCCCGTCTATTCCTTGATTAACACACAAATGTAAAATTCATAAAATAATTTCGAAAATTTTCTGAAGTAGGTCAATAGTCTCTACTCTCTATGGCCTACTTGTTTTTAAAATAATTAGTAACTTACGGGGTATATGGTGATCAAATAAAAGTAACATGGAAACAAGTAATATATTATTAGTTCTCGATTGATTTATTATGCTAAATAAGTGGGTTAATGTCGGTGAGTGATGACATAATTATTGGTTTAGAGACTAGATATAAAGGGGATTCCCCTTTTGAAATTTTTTGAAAATGATGATGAAAGGGATTTCAAAGTGAAGCTGTATAGATGCCAAGATTGTAAGTGTTACACTAACTTGTGGTAGCTTCCTTCATATTACAACATCATCCATTCATATAGTTTTATAGTTTGCGAAAATTCCATCAGAAACTAGTGCATTCTTATTGAGTCATTGGGCTGTGAACTAAAAAATCAACTGAGAATGAGATTTCCATGTTCTAAAATAGCAGAGACATAAAACAGAGCTCTGTTTTATATGTCCCTGGCCTTGCCAATCAAATAAATTCTGTCTTTGACAATCGTACTACTGTACTAAGAAAAAAATATTCTGAATTTATTTTTGAACTATGATCATGGACTTCAAATAACCAATTAATTGCGTCAGTAAAACCTAAAGAATAAGAAATCAAAACATCATTATACCCAATTGAAAAAAGCCTATGGAAAATCATCTCCAATTATCACCTAACTTACTATTGATAATTAGTTGAAAGTTAGGTGTAAAAATTCACATGCAAATGAGCTAATTATCAACTTAATTAACGCTTAATTTGCAACTTAATTAACGATTAACTACCATCAATATGCAAATGAGCTATTTACGTAAATTAGTTGAAAGTTAGTTGTAAGTTTGATGTAAGTTAATCTCTAATTATCACCTAACTTACTATTGATAATTAGTTGAAAGTTAGGTTTAAGTCAGATTTGTGACATCTCAAAAATGACTTGCTTCTTTTTTGCTTCTCTTCACTCGGAGATTTTTGCTTCATCTTGAACCATTTTGTGACGGAATATTCATCTTAATTAGGATCTTTCAGAACAGACAACATTGAACTTGAACTATTGAAATTTCACAGCAACAGGAGGGAAAACCACATGATTCAATTGATGACATACGATTTCCTCCTTCGCACACCTCCTTTTGTCGAAAACGTACCCTCCATCTTGGTTTTCAAAGTTTTCAAATTGACCTAGTTTTAAACCAATCAACGATCGACTCGCTAAACCAATCGGCGACGATGTCATCTCAATACAGATTTACGTTATAAGCGTATGTCATCTTTGAACCCTGGGGTTTCTCCCCCTCTTTTTTAAAGCTATTCTATTTTGCAAATTTTTAAGATTCATGAAAAGCATGTGAAAACATCATTATTGCCATCAACAACTAAAATCAGAACACAAACATTAGACTATAATGTTACATAAAAAGGACATAACAGATATAATCAAAAATATGTTTTGAAATGTCTTTGATCTAACCCATGTTAGTACCTAATTTGCATTCTAGGATTAATATTAAATGATCTGATTCAATAAGAATTTTTAATTCATAAACATTTCAGACAAAAGTGTGAATAAGATTTAACATACATTGTATTCATGTTCTACATACCCTTATAATAATGTTGACCAAATTTCATGGTAGTATACGCACCATTCACATTGTAATTCTCAATTTTATGAGAGAAATATCTCTCACATGTTTTCTTTTTCCACCATCTTGAAATTAAATTTAGGGGGTTTGTATTTCTAAATCATGGGCCTAATTTACGACTAATTATCATTATAATCATCCTATATGTTAACTATCAACCAATAATCTACTTCAGAACAAAAACGTTTTAATTTACCACTTACTATCACCCTCAAACATTTCATATCTTAATTATCAACTAAAAATCATAAATCAGCATTATTGTAAGTTAATTTACGTTGAACTTGCTACTGATAATTAGGCCATAATTATCATTGATTTAATTAACGCTTAACTTTAATTCCAATTGCCAGCAGAATTGTTGATAATTAGTTGTAAATTAGTTGGTAATAAGTTGGTCATTAGTTTTATTTTTCAATTGGGGCAAGAATATATGGGATCGACCAGGTGTCCGTCCATCCGTTGGTCCGTCCGTCCGTTGGTCCGTCCTCCGTTGGTCCGTCCGTCCATCCGTCAACATTGGCCGCACAAATTAAAACTGCTATTCGAATTGAGTCTTATCCACAGTCATTTTATGCATATCCATAATGCCTATTTGACCTATCATCGCCATTTCCCAAGTTCGCCCAGTTTCCGAGAAATTACTTTTTTTGATGTCAAAAGGTCAAATTTTCTGTAAATACTAGACACTTTGTTGAAGTAGAACTTTCAAATAACTTGCAGTAGTTGCTGTATATGCAACTTATGTCCTCTGAAGATTTCAAAGCTCTTGGAATTACAGTTTTTGGTGTTTACTCTATAAAATTTGACAAAAGGTAGGACTTGGTCATTTTCAGGAAACTTTCTCTTGTATAAAGTCAATGGCAGGTTTTCTGATTGACAAGTTTCTCAAAGTTTGCCTTATACTTGATCATTTCTTGCAATGAATTACATCATATCTAGATTTAACCATTCCCTACATATTGCTCAATATATGTCAGCATCAAATTTTTATCATTTTTTACCCTGCGCGCAGAGTCTAGTTAAACTACACTCTGCCTAGTATAAACCATATTACAGTTTAGTAGCCCCGCCCCCACGACGGATACCGGTGACAGTTTTGGAAATAAATCACTTCTGACCTACGCGCTGACGTAATCAGCAGCTTGAAGAAACATACGCTAAATGCGTGCTAATTAAATATGCGCATGTCATTGGCCGATTCCGGGCTCAAGGATGACGTCAGAAGGAATGACTATATATAGAACGTCGGTCAAATTTGGCCGACGAACACTGATTGGCGCGGTGAGTTCACAGGTTTATTTTAGTTTGAAAGAGTGAAGACGAAGCTCTCTTTTAAGAAGTGAAGTCAAACGAATGCAAAGGGTAGTCATTTTTGAGATATTTGACATCAAAAAACAGTAAAAATAAGTCATTTTTCAACTTGCTTCAATTTGACCAAATATTTTTTTGAAAATCATCTACAAGTTACCAGGAGTTCAAATCTGACATTAGTTTTAGGATTTGACCTTTCCTTGACCTTCAGTGACCTTTGAAAGGTCAAAAAAGTTGATTTTTCAAATTGATTTTTGGATGTAAATTTTGGTCAGCTTAATCACAAAAGACCTTACTGAGCTCAATAAGTATAATTTTCAAGGTCAAAGGTCATCAAACTAGGTCACACAACTGTGCTGTCTAAGTTTCTCAAAGTTCGAGACTACAAATCCAAATAAATATTTTTGTTTGAAAGTCAGGATATACATTCCTCTGAAGGTTCCAAACTATGTGAGCACAGGACCGTGGGTCCTATTTTTTATGTTAGTCTCAGCATTCATGCTTCCACGAACTAATCATTATAATCTTAGGGAAGTAATATAATTTTTATATATGTCCATGGGTTGAAAAGACCATGTGCAGTATGGCAAGTGATTTTAGATGGTCAAATCTTTCACCATGAGTGCTTTCTGGGCATAAATACAGTGGTTCTTATTAAAACAATATGTTTTCTTTCAAGTAAAGTACCCACGCTGATAAAAATATTGATCGAACAATTCGAAAAATTATGAATTAATTTTATGTCAACATTTTTTTCAAAATATTGAACCTTTTTACTCAAAAGAGGATCTTCTTTTTCTGATTTTTATTGCATGAAAAGATTATTCAACAAGGGGTTTAAAACATCTTCAAAAAAAGAATGGTATTGAAAGTCTAGTTTTGAAGATATCAATTTTTGATGACCAAAATTATGCTGAAAACAATGGATAGCACGAGTTTTCCCTATGGGAAAATAACATATGGGATATGTGTTTTAACTTAAACGCATTTCAATACCTATCACCTTTTCAGAAATTGTTAATATAGTGTAGATGAGACTTTCGATATGTTTAAATTGAGAAAAACAAGATCCTCTTTTTAGAAAATGAGCCAAACATTTTTTGAAAAGTGCCAAGGTGGGGCCTAATCCATAATTTTTCAAAGAGTTGGATTGATATTTCACTATCATGGGGACTTCAAGAAAGATATGAGTGTCTAAAATCACTTTCCATACTGCACTTGGACCTTTGAATGTGTTGTCGGAGTACCAACCCTGTTCAAAGAGATACCCAGCCATATCTACTGGAGAAAGAATATTTACCCTGACTCCAAAAATCAAATGCCCCGCCCCTGGCACTGCTTGTAAAAAAAACTCTTTGATTTTACACAATTGAATTGTTATCCCTCCTACTTTGTAAAGTGAGATAACAATGGAGCTGTAGTGTAGAATTGCATAAGTCCATTCATTTGTTCATCCATCAATTTATTTGGTTGTCCTGATGCCGGGGGGGGAGGGTACTGTTCACCCACATCACATATTATTTTTCGCTAATTTTTAGATTTTTAAATTTCGCGGCTTTGTGACTTCTCAAAATGTGTAATACTTCGATTCTTTTTATATGTTTTTTAGAGTTAGTGGATTTGTCTTGTAATAAATTACACCCTTTCTACTTCAATATCAGCCTCAGAGATTTTGGCTTCATCTTTATGGCCATTTTGTGACAATGTTCCTTTAATTATGATATTTCAGAGCCCAAATGTAAAATTACAGTAATTTCCCTACCTTTTATCACCAACACTTGATGGAAATTGTCATCATTGAGTGAAATAAATTTTGTGACTATTATATTTTGTGAATTAAAACTTTTTGAATTTTCGCGACTTTTATAATTCGCAAATTTTCAAAAAACATGAAATAAAGTAGGACACAAAATTTACTGAGAGTGCAGTATAGTTTAATTGAAAAAAATATTTCAGGGATTCATTTATGGGGTCAGCCTGTACATTTATTGATCCAAATACAATATGATCTTTTTATAGCTTAAAGGAATATTCCTTGCCAGACTCTTTCTCTCTTGATATGGTAGCTATAATCATATATATAGTTTCCATATTTAGCAAAACATGGGAAAATGTTTTAATATGGTCAATATTGATCATTTAAAAATCTAGTGCTTATTTCCAGTGAGCTGCCATCTTTTAAGATTTCTTGCAGGAAGTGATGTCATCAACTCCTATAACCTTGCCCATAACAGTATAGGGAAGTAGCACAAAATCACTTCTAGACAAGTGATCATTACTTTCTGGGCAAAAATATATTTAAGGCTTGTTAACTTAGAATAAAAGAAGAGATTTTCAGAAGGATTAAATAAGATTCAAAGTTGAAAAAGAATATTTAGCTGGTTTTGTAATTCTTAATAGCTCCTCACCTAATGCTATATGCAAAGTTGAGAGTCGATGACATCACTTCCTGTGTGAAATTTTAAAAGATGGCAGCTTACTGGAATTGAGCATCACATTTCTAAGTGATCAAATTTGACCATATCAAAACATTTTTGAGTGTTTTTCTAAACATGGCAAGCATATATATGGTTATAGCTACCATATGAGGAGAGAGATGGTTTGGCAAGGAATATTCCTTTAATGTAACAGATTAACTCATTTTCAGGTATGTTTGAACATGGAACAAGATAGAAAAGAGAATATGGAGTCTGATGTGGTCGAGAGTGATGACTTAATTCTAAGCAATGAAGAAGATGAAGAAACTGATGAGGAGGTTGAAAGACTCACAAGTCCATCTCCTTCAAGGCCCAGAGACAAGATGGAAAGCCAACCTGACCCACAGGCTGCTTTGATGGCTGGTCTCAAGCCAAAATATGTTGAGCTACCACCAGAAAAACATGATAACCATATAGAGGCTGATGCCTTATCTAGCCGTATGTATTATTAGTTGGTTTTAATCTATATATACTATCAAAAACCTTATTGGAACTCATTTCAAAATACACACTTTAACAAGGACCAGAAACTCAGAGCAAAACAGACCTTAGTGAAGACCAAGCAAGGTGCCAATCCGATTCACATTTAGATCAAATAAGCAATACATGTAGGAGATTCACCATTTGAAAACTATTTAGAACAAGAATTTTATTGCATGTAAATAAGGAATAAGAAACTGTTGAACTGTTGGCCAGTAATTAAATGAATAGCTGATTTTATAATTTTGTTATTTAAAAATATACTCTGCTCCAGTTATTCACCAATAATCCATTCAATCTCACTTGGATTTGAGAAAGTTTCGGGCTCATTTATTTGAAAATTTATCTTCTATATGGTTGGGGTTTTCATATTTCAATTGCTCAAACTTGCAGTCCATTTTGAAATGTTTTGCTGGGTAATAAGTTGGGTCTACAATTATTTCAAAACTATTGAATCTACAACTATGATAAATTACATGTATGTTCAGATATAAACTATCAAATGGGTCTATAGGAGACTTATTATAGACTTTACTATGTTAATGACAATTATAAACTGTCCCCTACTTTACTTTTTAATTCTATTTTTATTTATTTATTCCTATATATTTCAACAACAAATGTACAGTAAACGGGTGACACTACTCGTGTATATTCCCGTGATTTATCAAAATAAAAATCAATTGTACTTATTTTGTTTTCAGGTCCTTCTGATTCTAATACTGTAGTGCATCAAATGGATTTATCAATAAATGGCAATGGTTTAGGATATCAGTTCATGGACTCATCACCAGAGAGACTGTTCAATCCAATACATGTATCTGCAACAAGTTCTTTGGCAGGAACCCCTGTGTTTGATATTGAACACCCAAGGCGCCAAAAACGTATCTCTGAATCAACATCAACATCTGGTGTAATGTTGGATATGAATAGAATGGTCCTCGAACGACTTCGAAATGAGGAGCACTCTTCATTGTTACCTGTGCACATTGAATTATTTGATCTAAGAACCTCTGATTTCTGCCAAAGAAAGTCTTTAAAATTAGATTACAAAATTCCTGGCACAATAACAGAGTATAATTCTGAACATGAAATTGATATTGCACAAATTATTCTTGAGAAGTATGGAGACAAGGAAAAAGATGTTGTGTGGACAGAGCCAAAACTTGTCAAATATCGAGACATTGTACAGGTACAATACCAGCACTTCGGCATGATAAAGGCAATCATCTGCAGAAAAACTTCTGGAGAAGAACATTTTAAAGATGTTGCTTTTATAAGGTTCATCCAAGATTCTGAGGCTGTGTATCCAAGAGAGATTTATGCAGGTATTTTGGACTCAAATTTTGCACCATCTGACCTGATTGAGTGGTCCTTCAAGAAGCAACAGGGACTCTTGCAGAAAGCTGAATATCAATCAATAAAAGACACTGAATTCAAAGTCTTCGTTCAGCATGAAAACTCTACTGAACTAAAACAGATGAAAACATTGAGCAGTCTTGTCAAGTTGAGTACAATCTGGATTGTCAACAAGATCCCATTAACTGCAACATTGTTGTATTTCATGTCTGACAATGCCAAAATGGAACTTTTCTACAAGGGTTACTTAACTGATACCCTCTGTGAAATTCAACAAGGGATCATTCGAGAGTTCTCTGCTGCCATGGGAATAGATAAGAGTTCTCAACATATCTGGCTTTGTAAAGTTACGAATGACTCAATGACGGGTCCTCCATTAAGAGATGCAGATTGTGCCGCCTTCCTTCACCTACAAGTCATGCCTCAGAGATTCTTTGATGTTGGTTATAACCATAGTGTTTTCGATAGTCATTTTGTACAAATGATCAAGAAATTTGTTATGGATGTAGAAGATCCAAGGTCTATGTATGTTGAGGTGACCTACAGGAGAAGCAAGACACCTACAGGACGACGACGTTTAGCTGTCAGTACAAGTGGATATAACTCGGAAGATTTGGTGATCATTCCCCCAGATTGCTCAGTGGCATACCTGAAAAGAAAGCTTGCCAAGCGTTTTGGCATTCCGCCATGTCGCCAGAAGTTGCAGCTGGATAAGACTAAATTGAGGGATGACAAAGTTCTCCAAACTTACTCCCACTTCAAAGAGGGATGTATGATTATTATGTTGGAAGCAACACCGCTGAAAATTATTCTGATGTGCAGCGATGAGAAATATTTTTCAATGGAGGTGTTCAAGTCGCAAACTGTGCAATCAGTGAAAGCCAACCTTGGGCAATATTGTGGAAATATAAGTCCCTACAATATTTCACTAAGTATGTCTGATTCTGGTGAATATATGGAAAGTGAAAGCTACCTTTACCAGTACAACATATCCAGATCATTGGACACCAAAATCAGGGCTTTGTACTTCCCTAAACGTGCTGACATCATCATTATACACAGGCACAGGAAATTTGCTTGCACAGTGGATGAAACTGATAGCTGTACTATTAAGAAATTGAAAGAACATCTTGAAGGTTCCACCAAGCTTGCCAGTAAGGACCAGATACTTATCAGTAGGGACCGTTGTCTAGATGATGATGTTGTCATTGAAGGGCACAGTGTTATCATTGTTGCCGAGAGGAGCAAGACATGGTGGTACATGGAAAAGACTGAGGCCAAAGAGGTTAAGGAGCATAGAGAACTGAGGATTGTTTGCCAATCAGGATACAAAGATAACATTCTGGTAGATAACGAACTTTATGAGGCCCCAGTGGTGAAAGGAAAGATGTATCTTGGTAAGTGTGAAGTCAACGAAGGGATCTTTCTATTGCACCATTGGTTGCTATATACTAGTATTGTGATCAGGTTGGATGGGTGTGAGGTGGATATCAAGTTTCCTGTTTTCCTGTCTGTCAAACTATTTAATGGATTGACTCGAAATTCTCAGGAAATTGAGGACTGTTTGATTTTTGGTTTTATCTGACCTACTATCTAACCTGTTTCCGCACTAATGAATGATTTTAGGATCACTCATTACTATATCACGACACCTACCATTTAAGAAATGTCATCAGAAAATATTATTGAAAATATACAGTTTAGGAAAAAAACAAAACTTCATTCAAGACCACTGATTTTTGACATGCAGACATAGCCCCCATATTGTAAGTTCCCCTGAATTTACAGTTCTTATGGTGTACTCGAATGTCAAATGTCAAGAACTCTGTTACAAACCATGACTTGTATGCTTACTCATATTCTAATAAGTATTCTTGTATTCTTTCTTTTACATACAACACATTGACACTCCTAATTATTGGCTTACATGTATCTTCCTTAAAAAGAATTCATACGGTAGCTTGTGCATTGTAACTTTTGTTTGGTCTTTTACTTCTAGACAAAACTCCATTAGATCCTGCTGCTAATACAGATACTGCTGAGGAGGTTAGTCTCAACCAGCATGGTTCCTGCTGCGGCATAACAATCAGGGCTGCCACACGGGGCAGCCATATCTCAAATGCCTCCCATCAGAAAATTGCAAAAAGCACATCACATAGTTCAGTGCATGATATTGACACTTTAGATAGCATATCATCAACAAGATCAAGTGAAGTAAAAACAGCTGATACAATAGCCATCGGTGAACCTTCTGAAATCCCTATTGGACTTCATGATGCTCCTGCAGCAACATGTCCTGCACTGGAAGTAGAAAGTGACCCTGACAGCTTTTGCAGTATGAATAGTATAAAGGAAACTGAGATTGCTCCCAAAGATGATGATCAATCTAAAGAAATCTGCAAGCCCAACTCGCATGATTTCCCACCTGAGATGTTTCACCAAAGGGAAATCAAGAATTTTCTCAGAGAAATATCTCCTTCTCATCCACAGCGTGTGACAGTAGAAGTGAAACAGAAGAAAACGGCTGATGAATGGACCCAGAGCATAATTTACAGTAGTGACACCAATCCTGACCCAGACACTGATTCTGGCCTGAGTATCCTTGAAAGGTCAGGTAGCATCCAGCCACTGGATTTGGGGCCTGATTGTGAGTATAGAAAAAGACTCGTCACCTATCTTGACAGTAACTGGAAGTTTTGAAGATAAACATCTGATTTCTTATTGTCTGTAGCATCATAAAATATACAGTTCTTGTAAAAAATGTTGAATCTATGACACAAAGATTGGAGATTAATTATATCATGGGCTTTCAATCGTTGAAAGCCCATGATTATATGAAAAATGAAATTGATACCATGTTTAGTTTTGAAGTTATTTCAGACAATTGCCATGTCCTTATTCATTCATAACATACTTTTCAAGTCTCTATTGAAAAAATAGAATGTGCATGGGTTCATCATTATTGTCTCACTTTTAACAATTGATGTTGCTTTTGAAGTAAGATAATTGTCAGATTACAGTTGCCAATACTTTCAGGTATGTCTGACAGAGAGGTTCGTGCTGTTGCTGAGCAGATGGGTAAAGATTGCAAGCAGTTAGGGAGAGCATTAGATATTGACGAAAATGCTCTTTCATACATTGAACGTAACTTTAAAGATGATCAACATGAGCAAAATATCCAAGTTTTAATAAAATGGAAGAAGAAAGGCAGAGCTGCAACAAAAGATGTACTGGTTGAGGCTCTCAAAGCTGTAGGAAGACAAGACATAATTGACAAGTTTCCATTTTTGCATCAACTTGAAATGAATGACAGTGTCAGTTAAGGGAAAATGGAGGTAAATTTTGGTCTTGGAAGAGATTTCTGTTTAACTGTGAAAGGAGGTTCAAAAAGGTTCACATGCAAATACATGTATAAGGTCCCATCAAGTCTTTGCTCAACATTTTGATAGTGATGGTTTTTGATAATCACTTCTGGCTTTGTATAACCAGAAGAATATCACATCGAAGATTTAGTACACATATAGATGTGACGTAATCATGTAATCCATACCTGCCAACCTAAGACCAAAATTTTGCGGTAGATTTTTTTAAAATTGCTGTATTTTTGCGGTAGATTTTTTCAAAATACGGTAGTTTTTGCGGTATTTTTCAACAAAATTGCGGTAGTTTTTGCGGTAGATTTTAGAAAAAACTGTAGTTTTTACGGTAGATTTTTTAAAAAACGGTAGTTTTTGCGGTAGATTTAAAAAATATGGTAGTTTTTGCGGTAAATTTTAAAAAAATACTGTTGTCTCAGAGGTTTGGTGGAGATTTTTGAAAAAAGTGTAATTTTGCGGTAGAAATTTGAAAAAAGCAGTAGTTTTGCGGAAGATTTAGAAAAAATGCGGTAGTTTTACGGTAGATTTTTAAAAATGCGGTAGTTTTTACGGAAGTTTTTTGAAAAACCGGTAGTTTTGCGAAAGATTCTGAAAAAATGCGGTAGTTTTACGGTAGATTTTGAAAAAATGCGGTAGTTTTTACGGTAGTTTTTTGAAAAACCGGTAGTTTTGCGGAAAATTTTGAAAAAATGCGGTATTTTTACGGATACGGTAGATTTTGAAAATTGGTTCTTTCTAAATCTAGATTGATTCAAAATACGAACACAATATTCATATCTCCACTTTTATTCACCTTCTAACCAGTTTTTTAGATATCAGGATGTTTGGAAATACCATGAATGAAACATTTACTGAAATACAAAATATGGATTTTACACGTTTTTACTCACATCTTAGATGATCTATCACTTTAACGAATTGAAATGACAGACATAATGTTCATATAACATTGGAATCATATGGTATTAAATATTGATTTGTTCACTCGCAAGTTACATTGATTTTAATAAAAAAAAAAAAAGATATCAGTATGTTTGTCTGGCACAAATAGAAAATAAGTACAGATCAATTGTCTTTCAAAAATAATCTGTTATGAGCATTTGCTGAAACCTTTCCCCTGAGACATCGTTCAGAATCGGATATCACAATATTTTTATAATAAACCAGAACTCAATGCTTTATTTTTTAATTATGTATTTGTTACTGATAATGTGTTCTGATGAAAAATACAACATTTATCGTTCTGTAAACAAATTGATTAAACTATGTATAATGTATATGTGGCGTTCATTACTGATCATAACAAATAAAACTACGCATATTTCATACGCTAAATATGCATACGCATTTCCACTCATTTATTTAGATGAAGCGCAACTAAAATCATATTTTTGTTGCATTCGGAAAAAAGATCTGTGTACAAAAGGGTTTGGTTAACTACAAAAATCATGGCAGAAAGAATTCTTTCTAGCTAGTGGTAGTTGGTGTTTGGACTGATTACACGCAAGCTTACTTAGATAAATGCGCAATAACCTGATAACCACAGACCTGCCGATACCTATTTATATTCGGGTTGGTGAAGGAATATTACAGGGACAGTACAGGAAGACTTCAATTTTTCAGCATTTCCCAATAACAATAACGGGAACTTTTACGGTAGTTTGAACAAAAATACTGTTGATTTTAGCAGAAATGCGGTAGATTTTCGAAAATTTACGTTAGATTTTCAAAAATTTACGGTAGATTTTCAAAAATTTACGGTAGATTTTCAAAAATTTACGGTAGATTTTACAGCCTTTCTCATGGAATAAAAGAGTTTTTTAAAAAGAAAATTTACGGTAGATTTCGAAAAAATACGGTAGATTTTTTTACGGGCGTTTTTACGGGAAAAAAATGGTATTTTTTTACGGTAGTTTGTCATTTTTTTACGGAAAAACGAAAAATTTACGGTAGATTCCCGTAAAAATACGGTAGGTTGGCAGGTATGTAATCTGTAGTGCGAAAAAGCACTTTCAATCAATTACTTTGATCTCTCTTAAATTTAGCTACATACAACTTGATAGAATGAATGCAACCTAAAATGCTCATGGTACATTTAGGTCTGATTATTCCCCTTGGACATCATTGTAAGTTTGAACAGCCTTTTGGCAATATCTGTTACCATCATGGCAATGAATTATGGGACTTAAGGACATGTAACAGTACTGTAACATTGGATTAATGAGATATAACTGAATCAGTTAAGCTTAGGGTACTCAAACTTAAAATTCATACAATGAGTATCAATGTGGAGATGTTATAAGAGTTAATACTTTAGGCAATATCTGTTACCATGGCAATGAGCTATATAAAATTTTCAGCCAATTGTTACTGCAGTCATTGGAATTCAAGCACTTGAACAAGAATGATAATTGGAGCTGGAAAAGTCATGGTACATCAGATAAACTTTAATCAACAAAATGAATGTTAGAGGCTTCTTCGGATTTTTGGGCAGTATTGCAGTATTGATTGCCATAGTAACAAATATATTAATCTCTTAACTGCATTCTTGTACATGTAAATGCCTTTAGTTTGAGCAAATAAATTACATTGATATCAATATACATGTACAAGTTCAACTAGACTAATAGTATAAGTATAATGTACATGATTAAATTTATTAACTCACATGGTTGAGCTATTGTTATCACCTACTTACTCGTTTGTTCCTCCGTTCAAACATTGATTTTATGTATCCTTCAATAGGCCTACAACTCAATTCAAATTGGTTGCACTTACAAATTATGTAAATTGCATTAATTAGTCGTCTCAAAAATATTGTCAAGTGTTGTCTCATTTGACCTCATTTCAAAATGATGGGAGTTTTTTTATTGTTGAAAAATCAATTTCATGCTTTTATTTAACTTCCACTATACTAATTGGCTTAAAATATTGTTTTTTTGTATTGCACTAATTTGCTTAAAATTGTCTATTTAGCTTATGCGTTGAAAGACAAACAATAATGTCTAGAAATTTGTCAAATGTCTTCCAAAAATTCAAAATGACCAGCACATTTTTGTTTCACTACTGCATTGATTTGCTTGAAATTTTAAAAGGTAGACCAGCTTTTAGATTAATGGTTTTATTCTTGCTAAAATGACAGGTGCTGTTGTTGAAAATACATTTCTGTGTGAGCCAAATACTACCCATGGTACTATTTTTATTTTTTTTACGTGGCAATTTATTGCCAAATTTTGCACATTCCTGATACCAGGAAAAGGTAAAAATATTTTATGGTGCATGTATTTTTATATGCAAGTATTACATACCTAGCAAAGCATTTGTATGGAAATCAATGGGAAAGTTAGTGGGTGCCCGATTACTCCGATATAGCCCCTGTACCTCATTTTGATATTAGATTTCTTTAATAACCATGACAAAATCACAATGTCATGTATGATTTCGATCAAATTTTACTCACACACATATGTGTGATGTCACTGATACAAAGTAGCCATGGGAATAGGTATGTAATACATCAGTTATGTCACTATGACGTGAAATATGCCTTCGTTCTTGCCAAAATATAGAGCCTCCCAAGGTCGGCCTATATTGGGAGAACTCAGGCATATTTCACGTCATCGTGACATAACCTCTAAATATATATTGGTGAAATCAGGTTGAATGACAATAAGTAATTTTATGCATCTTGGGTTAGAGCACTATTTAATTTGTTTTTGACATTCATTTAATTGATGACCATTTAATTTAGCATGTTCAATTTTAATCAGAGTTTTCTTCTGAATAAGACCGTTTTGTGTTGACAACAATCACAAGTACCACAAAACTTGCCTCTGTTGTTTTCAGCCAATTTACAATATAGGGCATGGTTTCTTAAATGTTTTTAGTGAGAAAAGAACAAATTCCCAGAAAATATCTTAAAGAATCAGATCTATAGGGGCTGGGAATATTGTAAGCAACATGTACAACTGACCTGCCAATACATTTTTACCATCTCAAATACTGTATAATTAAAGATCATCAGTTGGTGAAGTAATTCAAGATTCAAACTGTGGGGAATTCATCCAAGCTATTGTAACCAATGCTGTTTGCCCTGTTCACCTCCTGATCATTAGTGTAGTAAAAATGCTTTTAAAAGCTTATGTAAGTCTTCTCCAAAAGCTAAAATTAAAAACCCTTTTAAAAAATGCTAGGATGTATGTGTACTCCTTTTTATCTTAATAACTTTGTGATCAAATAATGCGAGACGTTTTTATAAACTTGGATGACATTTTCTGTAAATATCAAAGTTTTAAAGTTCAAAAGTTCCTCACCTAGTGAAAAAGTATTACAAGTTCAGAATTGAATAATCTACACACACTTCCCTCAATTTTGAAAGGGATTTAATTGACTTTCAATTTTTATACTTTGATAATTACAGAAAAGAAGGTTTATCTCCAAGTCTATTGATTGTGTAAGTTATACTTCATTATAAATTGAAAATATTATTCAGAAGGAGAATTTCAGCTATGAGCTCTTCAAACTGAAAGTAAATAGAAGCATATCTGTTGTATATTTGATTGATTTAAGTGATTGTTCCATTGTGTTAGCACAACCAATAATTGCTGTCAATAGGTGTCACCAGTATCAGCCTGGTTTTGAAATATAGATTGAATACAGAATATGAAAGTTGTGTTCATTTCTTACTTTGGATATTAATAGACATTTGCATCTATAATTGACATATCCTACAATATCCTTAGTATTAATATGAAAAAGGCTAGAAGCTTGCCAAATCATTAACAGGGTGACCCAAAAACTGCAACCTGTAATATTTCAGTTACAACTTACAGTTAATCTTTGTGATTTTTCTAAACCTCAAATCATTGACGTTGTGTTTAAGTACCGGCTGTTTAATGCACTGAACGATTATTTACATTAAAAAATTCACAGATTCCACCAAAATATAACCTAATAAATCCCTTTTGAAAAATGAAAGATACTAGAGTAGATTTTTGCAGGCAATAGTGTTTGTCTTAATTGGTCTAATAGGAAACTTATTTCAAATTTAGAGGATTGCTAATTTGGGTCACCCTGTATATAGCACAGAATGTTTAAACAATGTAGAATCTACATAACTTGTCTGGTTTTATCATTCTCGAATAAAACATAATATCATAGTTATCATTAAATATTTATTTACGACTATTATGTTGAACATTGTTAAACATTGAATATTGTTAAAAATGAGGTGATGAATGGTTATTCTGACTATTGCACAAAGTATACACCATGCATAAAAACAGAACTTCCTTAATTAAGTAAATTGGGACAGAACTTATATTTCTAGTGAGTTGAAGAGAAAACCATATATTTGTCAAACCTTACTAAGTATGTGATAAAAATAATGATCAGTATAAGATATCAGACCCATCCTTCATTAAATAAATATTCCTCAGGATAAACCAAATATCATCTCACATATAACACTATCAATGTTTCCCCTTAAATCAAATGCTTAGCAGAAGTAACAACTGTATGCTTCTCTAGCATAACTGTCACTCAGAAACCTAATACAGAAAAACCTGTAAAGTGGAACACCTCTTAAAGTGGAACACTTAAACATCCAGTTTATATATCAGTCATATCTATGGTTCACTGCAGAAAACTTCAGTACATTTTATGGGTGTGGACACCATGTAGATGCATTACATTTTATGGGTGTGGAATGTACATATAATGTTGACACATTTCATTTTAATATTGGCCTAATAAAGAATAGTTTGAAGTGATACTGCACAACCTCAAATAATGCCTAGAAGAGCCCTGGTCAGTGAGTATTGTAGGGTTACTATAGTCTTGAATGCTGAAAAATAAAGTTATCTAATGACCAATTAAAATATATATTAGAATTCATTTGTTGACTTATCCAGTAATGTTGCAGCTTGATCAATTGTCGAAATGGTAGAGAAATGTTGATTTCAGATGAAGATGTCCATCTAGCTTGTATTCCGTAAGTTTGTTTTAGGTTTTAAAACAAGATATCTCATGATCAATGCATTTCTTAGTCTTTCAAATAAATATAGTCACATTCTTTTCATATGAAGATAATTCAGGTAATAACATATATCAGTCAGAAATAAAAGAGATGATATATATAGAGTTATTATTATACATGTTGGCTCTCGAGTCAATCTTTTGATGTATATGATGTCATAGGACCATGGGGATGAATTACTAAGCAACAATATGAGGAAATAAAACATGTGAATTCTGATAAAAACATTTCTCTACAATGCAATCCTCGTTACCTTATCCAAAGTAATAAAAAATACAATTAATTTGTATATCAGCATATCATTACAATATAGCTATCATATACTACATAATAGTAGTAATATACATCTACTAACTAAATACCCTAAGTGGGTAAAATACAATTGAATATAATCAACCAACTTCCAAGAAAAAATTAAAACATCACATATAAAAACATTCAACAACTTTTTAAAAGTCTATTATGACAGTATGCCGTATGGCTTACAATCATTTGGTCAGTAGTTACTACTTACTGATACTATATAAAATTGCTGAAAATCAACAAAAAATTGTATTACATCAAAATCTACAGTATAACAAGCATTCTTTCCATAAATAAATTAAAATAAAATTCAAGTCACTACAGACAATATTGAAATTCATATAAAAAGTGTTTATTAATGCTTGCCTGCTTCTTCAATAACTTGTTGTTTTATTCCAGAAGCATTTTCTTCTATTTTGATTTTAGGAATATTCTCATTTGTGTCCAATATTGCCATTACCAGAGTATCACAGACTTTCTCATTCTCTTGGAATGTCTCTTTAACTGGTTCATTTTCAAATACTGCATCATTCTCTGGAATGTTCTTTTCATTAATGCTGTCATTTGGAGGTTCTATTGCTTCAACAGTGTTAATATTAACATTAACATTAGTCATATTATTACCAGCCTCATCTTCATTATAATCCTCACTATGATCATGAGCCTCATTTTCAGTATCAGCCTCATTATGGGGTATATTATCCAATATATTACTGAGTGATGTGTTTGAAGATACACCAATGCTTTCTAAGCCATCCTGTGATGTCATATGTGAGACTGAAGTGCTTGGTGACGGGCCAGCTGACGCTCCAGCTGGCAATGGCAAGTAATCATGGTCAGATATTTGACCTTCACCAACAGAATTTTTCTGACGGTCTTCACACACTGGACATGGGCAGTTCTCAGGGTCATCTACAAAACATGGAATAATTTGTTTAGAATACAGTTCCTGTTGATCATTCTCAATGCTATTTTGTGCAAGAAAATCAATGAAATCCATATTAAATTCCAGCTTGCAGTTAAAGCAAAAAAGAAATTAATTTTAAAATCCAAAAACGTTTTTGTTAAACAATTCACCAGAAGTCTTTAAAAACAATTTGCCAACAATGATTTTGCAAGTGAATATGTGACCCTACACCGTGTTACCAGCTGATTTACCTCAAAAGCATGAACAAGTATTGCTGTCATATATGCCTGTTATATGCAAGGGTATTAAGAGTCAATTTACTCTCTATGGGCATTGATTCAAAAAAACTATCATCTTAATACAAATATCAATTTAGGCTAATATCAATTCAGCAATACCATTTAACAAATATAAGAGTTTAAGACATTGAAGGTGTCTGTAACTTTATTTTGCTTAAGTCTAGCAATAAATGTCTGTAACTCACTATTTTTGTTTTAAACACAGTACATATATAGTCTAATAGTACAGTATATGTTACAGAAGTATGTTCTCCATGCATTGCAGTGTAATGTGTCATATGTATTTTGTATTCCATCATCACCATTCTAAGCTGATGTCCCATGGCAACCAAGTATATGTACAATACCAGTATAAAGCATTATATACAATGTAGTGTTCTCCCAAGGATTTTTTCTCAACTAGGTACACAATTGAACACTTTAAAGATGTCTAAATATACAATTTTCATAATTCAGACTCAGAGTCTTAAGAAGGAACATTGAGGTGCAAAGTGACAATCATATTTTAAAACTGGTGCTGCACCGTCCCTGTTGATTTAATGCTAAGGAGAACACTGGGATGTGGTGAGAACCACAATTTGATATAAAATACTTCATTTCTCAAAAAGAATACAATACAGTAAAACCTGTCTGAATGGAACACCTATGGTAACTCTTTAAAGTGTTCCACTTTGGAGATGTTCCACTTAGAGAGGATCGTTTAACATCAGTTGCTCTTGGGACTCTCAAAAGAGTTTCGCTAACAACAGATGTGTTTTATTTTCAGAGGTGTTCCGCTGAACAGGTTTCACTGTATTTCAATGATTTTGCTAGATGGATGTACATACATATTAGCAGAATAAAGCTACCAGAGTGAATTGTTTGTTACATGTTGGGATTGTAGGGTTCGTAAGTGTACAGTACTACAGTGTACATTATTCATCCCGGGATCTTGTGCCATGGTATCAGGCAAGTTGTCAAAGTGATGTAACATACAAGGACTGGACATTTCACCATGAGGATATCTTAAAGCTACCGTAGCAACAGAAATCATTGTCGTTGTTAGCTACCACAGCAACCGATAATTATTGGAGCTAGCAAGCATACACCACTGATCATTGGCTTTAGACAACATAGTATCAATGATCGTGGATGTGAGCTGCCATAGCAACCAATTGTTATTTGTGTTAAACATGAAATGGGAATTGAGCATATATGTTATGTATAGCTGTAAAACCACCTTCCCAATGTTAACATTCATAGTTCATTGCAAATATTCTGACCACAGTCCCAAGTAAACTCTACTCCAAAATAAAAAATATATCGATTGTTTATTTGAATTGAAACAAATTGTTAAAAGTCAGAGTTTTTTATAGCCTTGCTTCATTAGACAGTAGACCCCCCCCCCCACACTTATCTACTTCACCAACACTTGTAGCTAGACTAGGTTCTATAGTGATAAGTCACTATATATATAAACAGGTCAGAGTGTTTGCAAAAGAACATCTAAACTGAATCGAGCATGGATGGAAAAGCCGATAAGTCCGGACATAAGCGCTGTGTTTTAGTACCTGAATGATCTAGCGCATAAAACAAATGAAAAAATGAACTTGGACTCTTGGTCAGCGCGTCTTCAACCTCTGGATAAAACAGCATAAAAATCAATGCAAAACAACACATAAAGCACACAACATTGCATGATAATTGAAAGCATGATAGCTAAATAATCAATTTAGATAAATAAATTAAAATAGCATGTTATGATTAATGGATTAAATTATATTAAATAATTATAAAATTAATATATGGCAAGGGGGCTTGTAATACTACTACTAATAATAATACTTGGAATAATACTACACAAGGCGGCAATTTTTGACAAAATGCGACATTACAAATAAATAAATAAAATATATAACATACACAAAAATAGAAATAAATATATATATACTACTTTAAATAGAGGTAAATCACTTGTCTGCATGTTATGTTCAAACTCAATCTTGCTCTATCTACATAAATCTACAAATGAATTTTTACCTTCAGTAAATAGTGAGCTTCTCTTGGTTGGAAGACCATCTATGGAGTCTAAGCCAGATAAACTTGCATTGAGAGAGTCTGTTGTGCCAGTATTACTCTTAGTTGGTTCGCTACATAGGTCTCCATCGAAATCTGTAATGAATAATGAACCAATAAGCTAATGGTATGATAATGGTTAAAAAATCCCAATACAAAATATATATAATTGTGAATTTTTTTCATACTTCATTTTTTTACAAACAACAATCACCGAAAACTGTCAACAAAAAAGTTTGAGACTATAACAATATGTCCCCACTTCTGATGGTGACATAATTACAGCAAAGATACTGTATAAAATGGAGAATATAAAATATAAATGTATGGCATATACAATAAACTAACAATAAACCAACATACCTAAACCTAAATTATCTATATTGAATTCATATATATCAGACATATCATCGCTATCTGCCCCGACACCTGGAGTGCGTGCCTCTCGCCACACCTTGCTCTGTCTCTTCTCATGAATCTGTTCAGATATAGTTTCCAAGCATTGTAAAACAGATGAGTATCTTTTCTTGGCCTCGTTGACAGACTTCTGCAGCACTTCTACATTTTTCTTTTGTTCCTGTAAAAAGTTTATCAAGGTACAATATTGTATATTATCAAGTGCCTTACCTTACCATTGACTAAAAAGAACCTCATACGTGTATGCCTGATTTCTGTTTTCGGAAAATCCAACTTTTTGTGGTTTAGCATATTCAGTATTTCAAAGAACCAAGACATTCTCCATCATAGAATGGGATTTTCTCCATTTGATAGGTATAATATAGTACTACAATATTTGAAATGACATTGTTCACACATGAATTAATGTTTCTCACATTATTTTCTCCCCATCTATGTCAGATTCTACATTCAAATTTCCAAGATAAACCATTCAAGTAATATCTTTTAATATTTATAAGCAAAAAGTTGTAGCTGTCCAATGAAGTTCTTGAACCAAATCAGAAAACAATTATTGAACGGTGGTTCAATGAATAATTTAGCTTTTCATTTGTTTATGTTCTTACCTCTAATTTTCCTTCAACTGCAAACTTCATGTCAAAATAGGCCCTGAAATTGAAAGGGAAGTTCATTGATATCTTTTCTTGCACTTTTTGGAATGATTCGATAAATGTATGGGCTTTCTCATTGAATTGTAATATAGGCCATCTTTCAAATGACCAACCAAAAACTATTTACTATTATTTCATATTTCATTCCTGTACTACTGAATACTGCACATGTACTAATCCAAGAAATTGATTGATCAATGATCACAATCACGCAAACACAAAAATTCCAATATCTCTTACTTTTCATCCAAGAACCTCCATACCTCATCATTCCTTAAAATTGTTTGATCAATAATCACAATCATGCAAATACAAAATCACATCAAATCTTACTTTGATTTCCTTATGTTATTCTTATGACTTCTCTCAAGTATAAGCACTTGGTGTTGGACCTGACTGAGGTGCATGGACTTGGAAAGATGGTCCCTTTCACTCTGTGTCTTTTCCTTCTCTGAATCCATAAACTACAATAAAATGAGAGGAGTCTTTAAATTGTTTGCTTAGTTCTAAGTTGTTATTTTTCAGATTCTTGGAACCATGATATATTTGTTATTTGGGATATTCCAAAAGTTTTTACAAATTAAATAATCTTCCTTCCATGAGAATCTTTATTCACCCTTTCTTACCTTGATAGTTGCATGATTAAGCATCTCTTGCCAGGCAGGATCAAACTCCCTATTCTCCTTCAATGTGGCCCTCATACGTTCCTCAGCCAGGGAGACTGTCTCCTTGGCTGCCCTGTACACACCAACTGCTCTCTGATAGCGTCTCGCAGCTTCCTGGGTTGCAGTCTGTGCCTGGAAATATAATACGAGAATATATAGCACCTGATCAAAAACATCACATCAATCCCAATATTTAAGTGTTACATAGTCTTACTTGTCACTCCAAGCCCATATGCCTCCTCTCCTATTCTCTCTCTAACAAAAGTTGTGGTATTAGATATTTGGGAAGATGGAGATGGTTTGTTACAAGGCTAACTGTGAGTTTTACATTGTAAATTCCTTCACAGATGCTATCAAGCATTGCTCAATTAACGTTATCTGCTTGAACCTAGTAAAACTATCTGATGGGATCTTTGGCAAACATAATTTCTGGACTAGCAGGGAGAATATTTTGATCCTCTGGAGCAGAACGTACTGCCCATATTCATGGTGAGGCAGAATAAGACTATATAATGACTTTAGGTAAATGCATTTAAACATCCTAAATGTTTTGTGCTAAATACCACAAACAAATTAACAATTGTAGACTGCAGTTTTAATTATGAACAAGCTAGATACCAAGTTGACAATTTCCGAAAACACTTGAGTAATAAAGTAATTATTTGACATTTGCTATAACTCATTATTTTTCCATGTAGTTAATGCTATTGGATATCTAGTTCAGTCCTGATTAAATATCTATTGTGTACCTCTTTTGCTGTTTTAACACTGTCATAATAAGGTCTTGACTTCTCAATGTTTCGTTTAGAGCTCTTGTAGATCTGGTTGAGCTTCTGGGTTGAGTCTTCGAGTGTGGTCTTGAACTTATTCCGAGCTTCCTTTACAAAAGGAAAAAATACATGTTTATCAACATGTTTCTTCAAAATTTTTAGTAATATTCAACTCTACACATATTTCAAGTTTATTGTAAAAAGTTCTAAACTTCATGTCATTTCAACATAATCTTTTTTTAATATTTTGATTTTGAACCAGGTATTCTGTAATAATGTGTAAAGATAAAAAAAATGAAAAATATTATTCATTTCATTGGACATTGGAAATTGTTATCATGAAAATTATATATCCTGTGTTGGAACAAACATAGCTTTAACAAATGAATGCATAAGAAAAGGAAGAAGCAAACACTTACATCCAGCTGAATCTCTAGTTTGTTTATCTCATCTGATGAACAGTTTAATTTCTCCAGCTCATCCTGCAAGTAGAAATACATGTATGATGAACATTCAATGCGTTGCAAAATTTGATAAGATGTATGTACAGTTTCTCATTCTGATTTAGAGTTCCTGTTTATCTACACTTGCAGTGTTCTCTGCAGGATATTTTTTCAAGTTGGTGCAAAATTCTTATTTTCACAATTTGCACCAAATTTGGTCAAAATATGCCTAATTTTCATGACTTTCTTCATATTCAAATGGTTACATATGGATTCTCGTGTGGATGCAAGCCTATTATTAAAACATCATGTTGGTACAGCACCCACCCCAGTGCAACACCCACCATTTGCTTAAATACTTTTGAGACTGGAGAACACTGATTGGTGAGATGCCAGCTCTCTTCTAAAAGATACAAGAGAGACTGGAACCAACAATGCTGGTTATTTGTAACTGTGCAGTGGTCATTAGGTTTAAATTCACATTATACAAAATTTCCAATATACAGGAAATTTTCTTTGCAGGCTAATTCATAATTTCAGGTTCATCAATCTAATATTTCATTGATTGATTTTGTTAAATCCACTTGTGGCACAAGGTACAACTTGCAGTAAACACTTCATATGAATTCTTGCCTCGGACACATTGTCAGAATAAATGATAACGCATGGCATTTAGACTATTAGAGATCTTTCTAATATAACATTCAAAAAATGCATGTGCCTTCAAAGTATCCCTACAACTAATGAACTCCAACTCAGTGGCCATATTTTGAAAGATAAGACTGATAAAGCTAAATACCCTCATATTTAAGTATTATAATGTGCTTTTAACACTGATCAAACAGAATCATGTATCACATGTGTATTGATTGGTCTGTTGATTGCTAGCAGCATGTACATCACTGTACAATATGTAAGTGCAATTAAAATATCATTAACCTAATAATAGTTTTATCTGACCTCTTGAATGTCCTTCAACATGTTTATTATATTCCACTTGTTGATATGTTGATGTAGTTTTCACAAGGCATGTGACAATAATGCTATTAAGGACAGATCACTTGATGCTAAAAATGTGTGATTTATAAGGCTGCAGGGCAATTGGATCTAAAATAGGCGAGAAAATTAATTTTGTGAGGCAACTTTGAGTTTAAAAAAAATACAGTAATATTATCATCATCATAAATTGAGGCTTTACATGCCTTATGCCAGGCTTCATTCATGGATTTAACAAGTTGGAGCAATTGAAACCTTGTGAATCAAGATGACTGCACCCAAAATTCCTTCTCTTCAAGATCAAAGCAATGTTATCTAATTCAATTTGTTTCCCCCAGGCCCCAGCCCAAAATTCAATGGCCTGCTAAATTGCACGGCCCCTTTGCCTCATACAGTCATCATAATTTTATCTTTAAAATTGATGGACCAAATATACTACATATACTGGCACCATTTATTTTATTGTTTTTTGCTTAAAGAAAAATGACATATTCCATCAACATTTTTGCAAGTGATAGGATAATAAAATCTAAATGTAAGTAACATGCACTGATCTCATTACCATATACAAAAATATATAGTGTGTATTATATATTCAACAAATTAAGTAACCTGGTTTTCATGATGGTTGTTCTACTTTGCTAAGATGTAATGCTCAAAAACGATTTGTTCCAAAAGGCATTCACACCAGCCCTGATATTCAAGGTTAAAAGACAGGTTAGGAAGCTATCTATTAAATTGCTTCATACTGATAGCACAGAGCCACTTACAATTGTTATTATATTTGTTCAGTACTTAACTGGCTGATAAAGACAATACCTTACTAGAGCTCCTCATGTACGCATACTTCATTATCTAGAGTAATAGAATATTTAGAAGAATGTGCAATGAAGATAGAACATTCTGATTTATGGTAACCTCTCTTAGCTATGTATCTAGAAAGAGCTTAAAATGTCACAATGTTAGAACTACCATATAGCTTACAGTGATCTCCCCAGCATTAAAGCAAGTGGCCACAGCACCAAAATGAGATTTTATGAATTCGGTTGCATACCCCTGAAAATCCATTTGCACCCACTTGAAAATGAGAAAATCATGAAAAATGGGTATACTGTATGTTAATCAATTTCAGTCTGAATTGTGAAAATGAGAATTTTGCACCCACTTGAGAAACAATCCGATGGATAACACTGGCTTATGTATTATCATTGCTTCAAGTAAAATGATGTCAATTCATAAAATTGAATTTACATAATAGTAATACTAAAATTGTAACATTTTTTATACAAACATATAAAGTTTGACTTTAAAGTATTGAGTATTGAAGATATTAACCTCAAAGTTTATCTCAAAAATCTACAATAAAATTATAATTCTACCTATTTTGATAAAACTGTTCAAAATTTAGAAAACATGTTGGTGTTTTATGTTTTTTCTCAATACGCTTCATAATTATGATCAGTGCAAATAATTTTCAAATTATCTATAGTAGTATGCAGTATCCCATTGCCCCATTTGCTTCCATTTGGGTTAGAACATTATTTTCTGTCATATCAATGGCTAATAGCTGGAATTCTTATCCAAAACAACCCTAAAATATTTAAAATTCATAAGTGCTTAATATACAATCAATAGACTTAGACAAAAATTTTCAATCCCAATTTTCCTTTAATGAAAAGAAACTTCCCATTGGATAACATTATGAAGATAATATTTCCGACATTTAATTCTCCGAACCTGGCAAAATTTAGGCAATAGGCAAATCAAAATTGACAAAATTACCATTTATACAGTGTGGTCCTTGGCAATCAATCGAAGAAACCAGGGGATAGTTGGAAACACAGTGGCTTGATGCAAGACTAGTGCCTTCCAGGCTTGCACATTCTAGACATTGTTGAAAAGAACAGATTGCTTGTACCTTATGACATTATGACCTATTGTAGCCATTACTCATCTCATTGGAGCTCACAAACTTACATTAATGTGACATATAATGATTTATTTTAGTCATGAATATGTACAACCTGCCAACATGTATTCATCATCTATTGTTTCTGAAGTTATAAGACTGGAAGTTTCTTATCCATACTGCTTTAACTGGCGGATCCAGAAGCTAACAAATTTTGAAAATTAAGACTCATTTTTTATAACTTAGGCTTAAATTAAAAATAAGGTCGAAAAAGGCCAAGTCATGCCTCAAAAGGCCCACTTGTTGAGGCCCTTAATTTTTTCTGGGTCTATCCTAGGGGATGCCCCCAGCCAGGGGATCTACCAGTGACTTTATAATTTATACCTTCTATAGTAATTATATAATTCTCAATTATTTTGGCCATAATTTTCTCTTTATGGAAACTAAATCTGCAGTAAAAAGTTGTTATTCAATTGATTGTTATTATTGCACTTGTTGATCACATGTCAATCATTAATTGTAAGGTGGTCTTAACATCGTGATAAATATTGTACCTACACCATGTAAAAGATTACAATATACATGTCTATCACAGGTCAAGATTATAATTTATATCTAACAAAATAGAATCAGAAGACCACCGTGGGAAAATCAAATTACTTTCAATCATTCTTGTTTTTTATAAATTAAATACCAAAAAAGATGCATCAGACCTTGAGGAAAATGTTAAAATGAAACAACTTGAAAAGATAAGATAAAGACTGAAGCGGCATTAGAGGATCTAAGACTTTCCTATCATATGCATGGTTACTTATATGATGTGTTAAGATAGTTGCCTGAGTATCTGAATGAGCAGGTGTTAAATACACAATGTTTGATTTGACTGTATATGCTATATGTTGCTTATTCAAACTACAGGGTGATACAAAAATGCAACCTGTTAATCTTCTCAAATATGATGCAATCTTCTTGAATATTTTGATTTCTGATTGTTTCACTAGTAAAAAGTGATGTGCATGTACAAGTATTTATAAGTTAGCATCAATGACTTGAAGTTAAAGGGAAATCATGCATGAAATCTGCATGAAACCATACAACTACTTACATGTGTTTAAATCTTGCAGTTGAAAATAAACTGGATTTAGTGGTTTCCTGTTATTGGCTCGTGCTGATCAAGAGCCATATCTCACTTGGATATAGTAGTAAGTGATAACGACAATGGACTGAGGTTTAAACGTTAGTTTACTAGTAGAAAACCCGATGGGTTAATATTTGTTGATGAAAATGAGTTAATTCCTCGAGCAAAAGTTTAATCCTAAGGTGTTAGTTTATAATAAAATTGCGTTAGAGAGGGTTTCAAACGACAATATGCACATTTTACAACAACACCATGAATTCTGCGCACTGATTTTCGGCAACATGATACGACAGAAATACGAGCGACTTCTTGATTTAGAATTGTGAACAATTTACAGCATTAAAAAAACTCCGAACAATTAACTTTTGTATTAATATCTTCGGAGAACGAGAATCAAATTGACCCATCTTCACTTTTAGAAATGTTCGGATGTTTTCTAAGAGGTCCAGGTACTCAGACCTTCACAATTTAAAGCTCTTAATCAGTTCAAAATGTTCGGATTTTTCTACTTTTGCAGTTCGGTAAATTACAATCGCGTTAAAAGTAAGCATCCCTATTTATCAATACAATTCATTGCAACACTGCAAACATCTCCTTCACACGAGCCTTCATTTTTTTAAAATGATCTCTTGTTTAGATAAAATTCAGTTTTGTGTCAACTACTGACAGGCGCGTATCGTCATGTACGCAAAATACGCCCAGGCGTACTGTTTGAATTTGAAAAAATATTTTGAAAAAAACATGAAATTCAGTATTTTACTGTTATTTTCTTTGATGATGTGTAAACCTTTGTTGTACAAGTGTATTAACAATAAGTTATCGATTCCCTCATTGTCATTCACTGTTTTCGTGATTCAATTTCAAAGATTCAAATTCTTTCGTGATTCAAAGAGTTGCGTCATTCTTGTACGCTTCTTCAGGGCCGTATGGGGTATGATGGCGAATCCCGGCAGAGTACACGCTCAAAATGAGGGTGTTTGGCCAAATATAAGATAAATACGCCAAAAATCGCATTCATCTTTACACATTATTCATCCACATACGGGGGCGTACCCTTGCAAAATGACCACGATACGCGCCTGCTGACAACATTTTTCAACCACAGAATTTCAATACACAAGTAGTTGCATGTTATCCCGTTCCAGGACTTATGACCATAAGTCCTGGAACGGGATAAGTTGCATGGATGTAGCGAGCGGGGTTTTATGGCCGGGCTCCCCCGGTTACCCCCCTCCCTCCCCTTTAACCATGAATCCCCTTCAGAAAGATGACTATTTGTTCACAAACAATGAATTGCATGTGTTTCCATCATACAACCCCCCCCCCCCTTCGTTATGAAACAAAATCCCGTTGGTGAATCCTGGCTAGTGGCTACTGAGTTGTAGCGGTGATTTAAAAAACCAACCCCGTTTTTAGAGGTGGCCTTCGTACTAAATAGCCCTTCAAGGTCCAGATCAAGGTTCTGAATTGTGATTGTGAATCAGAGTATTTTTTTCGAATTTTTTCTCTTCAATATTCAAACGCCTTACTTACCTGAACTCGTGGATCAACCTCGATATTATCTGGATTTTCAGTTTCTATGTCATCTTCCTCAACAGTACAGCTCATGTTGGGCCACTACTTATCACGTTTTAAACGGTAAATACATAGTTATAGTACCAGCTAGATCCTTCCTGGTTACTTTGAAGTAGGTCAATCTGTGGGCTTCTGGGATTGAATAACCCGATTTTTGTAGTTCATTTCGTTTAGTGTAAATTTACCCGGGAATTAGTATATTCTAAGCTAAAAAGGATCTAGTGTACTCTCCATTATGATTTCCCTATGAACAAAATGAATCATTTTTAGGTGTAACATAAATAATACAATGTCGCATAATACTTTGGAAACTATTTAAGCATTTTGACCCACAGGGTCTGAGGCTGAGGTCATTTAGTTCAGCAAGGATGTATTGACTCGGCAATGGATGTGCTCCATTGGCTTAACATGTGGATAATATCATTAGGGTTTGTTAGCCCAAAGGATGTTTCTTCCTCTAGAGGAGATCTACATATTTCCAGATAAACCCTACATAGATATTCAAATTTTTTTTCATAATTAGTGTCTTTCATTGATAGGTTCCAAAGAACTCATGAAGATGATGCTTCTTTAATCTAAAGTTGTTTGGTCATGGGTAAATGGCTAAAATGGTCTCTGTATGGAAATTTTTATCTTGATAAATCATGAAAGTGCTATTTCTACACTACTTTACACTTAGCTAAAAGAAACATACACAACTGTGTTTTAATTTAAAGTATTTATTTATTCATATATTCTAAATAAATAATATTTACAACATACATGAGAACAGATCTTTGTGTTTGGACGGAAACCTTTACCAGACAATAGCAGACATTAGCATGTTACTGCATTGTACCAAGAGGTTATCAAGAAACCCCAAGATACAATTGCAACATACAAGAGCAGCACTTTATATGTGTAGATCTGATTCCATTTATTTTAAAGTATTAAATGTACAGATCAATTATTGAAGAACAATCTCAACTTTCTCAGTAACACTATTCATTTATAAATCAAGATATCTTGAATTAAAACACATGACACATCACTATTAGAGAATTGCACAAAACACAATTAAACTGATCTAAAGTCGGAACTAGGCAAAATACCTCAGTATTACTGTAAGACACATTGAATTCCACGGAACAATTTGGCAGATTTTCTCTCACAAAATGTGCATGAAAATATATCTTAACTGATATGCCTCATACTTGAAACTCATCCCTAAAAGAGAATTAACTTCAGCTCCAGAGTATACTAGTATTTAATACTTTCCTGAAGTCCACAGTTGTATTTTACACTAGCAGGTATATAGGAATATGGTTCTACATAATATGTAAAATTCTAAACATAATTCTTTAAGTGAATTTAAGTAATAATCACCTAGCTAATAGGCAGAGAGCTGGAGTCAAATGGTTTTTCCAGCATTAGGAAAACAATATGACAACTGGTACAATTTTGACAAGTAGGCATAAAATCTTGGTACTGATGATCCAGTCTGATATTGATATGATATAAATGATCACTTAATGCTATTGAGGCATAACCTCCCAAAGTCCAGAAAGTGTGAATCCATCTTTGAGTTTCTCAATTGCCAGTCCTAGTTCATCACTATATACAGGGTCCCTATCCTTGGATTTGTTACCATCAGCAAAATATGCCTGAAATAACAAACAAGAACTAATAAACTTGAAACAAGGCCATCATTTGTCACAATTTGAAGACACATCATCCTCTTTCAGTTTTTAAGAGCTATAAAAAGTGAGCTTTTAAGTTTTTGCCATCCCTTAATTAAATATACCTTGACCCACCTAAAACCATTGAATATTGTATAATAGTCAGGTGTATTGATTTCCAACTAGAGTTGCATGAGGAATTATTTTTAAAAATGGTTCTGCAAGGCCATATAGCCATATTGCAGCATTTATTTATAGGCCTATGTAGGTTTTACAGTACTTGGTGGAGCTGCCTATGACTAGAATAACCAAAACACTGGAAGCAAGTGAAGTTAAAATCAAAGAATTATCAGTGTTGTACTTACAGCAAATGCATCACTTTGGTCCTCTGTGGTCTCAATCTCAACATCATCTTGTTCGTATTGGACCTTTAACTTCTCTAGTGGCTCAAACTGAAACATAAAACTACACATTACCTTTAAATTCTTTGGTGGCTCAAACTAAAACAAGAATAACACAGGATTGTAACTTCTCTAAAGAAACTCGAACTTAAAAAGATAGTTATGCAGGACCTTTCTGTTTTCCAGGGCTCAAACCAAATGTTAAGTTGTGCAGGACCTTTAACTTCTCTAAGGGCTCATACCAAAAAAGAAAATAACACAAGACTTTCAGAGATTCATTTTCTGCTCTATAATATTTGTAGATCCCTGTAAATCCATCAAGTGGTTTTCTTGGAATCATGATGACAAGAAAGTGAGACGCTGCCCGCCTGCCGCCTGCCTGTTAAGCTGACGACAATATCATACCTTTTTTTAGGTACTATAAAAATGAAATTTTTAATGACCTAACCTTTTCCTCAGTTTCAAACTCAACCCCGAATATGGGGCATGCACTGTAAACTCTGTGCAGACTCTGTATCTCCTTGAGGGCTTCTGTCAGTTTCTCTGGGGGGTCAATACGGAAACCTAGCACATAGCCACCACTCTGAAATATGGAAGAAGTTTAGCCAATTTACACTTAAGTGTGAGCTGATGGTGAATTATAATAAGGTATATATTAATTTTGAACATGTGTAGTCCAGTGATAGTATTGAACTTCATCATAAAAATTTGATTCATTTCCTGGAAAATGAATCTGACATTAGGGATTTGTGAAAATGCAGTGGAATTATGGTTTTTCTATTTCAATCTTCAATTCAAATGATTTTTCTATTTCAATATATTAAGCATTTTGTTCAGAAGTTGATATTCTTTCTGCAAATAAGGAAATTAGACAAGGAACATGCAAGATCACACAGTCATTCAAGTCACAAACTCAGGAACATAAAGAAACAAAAATGAAAAAAATGAAACAAATCACACTGGAGGAAAATCAGAATGTCAAAAGATTATCAAAATCTGGAACTATTTCAAAATATCACATTGAATAAGGAATCATAACCAAAAACATCACATGGATAGAGCCATTTCCAAGACATCAAATGGAAATGGAGCCATTTCCAAAATATCAAGATTGAACCATTTCCAACATTTAATCACACCGTCAGTTTAAGAGAACTCATCTCGCAGTAGATGTCATAACTGTTAAATGTCTGTGAAAAAACATGCATATTCAACATTGTATATGATAAACAAAGTTAAAGGACATCTACAAATTCACTTCTAAAGTTAGAATTCTTCAATCATATTGTACAGTGTATGTGTGTATGAACAAGTACATGTATATAATTTATGTAACTCTACCTTCACCTGTGATTCCTGTATAACAAATAAAAGACATCCCTTCATAACAGACATATACATAATACATGTATTGCCTATGCTTAACCTATCTACAAAAGCCAGCCATGCTTACATGTATACTTTTGACTTTGAATGGTCATGAGCAAGAATCGGGAAAATGGTAGAAAACACAACCAACTGTTATAAAAAGAGACAGAGATGGCTTTTTTACTGTAAATCTGTTTCCAAACAAATGTATTTGAAGGGGTAAAGATGGAATTCAAGCAGCTGGGATCACTTTACAAGATAGTTTCTCTGCTTAGATTGGTTAGGCCATTCAAAATAATTCAATATGTTTTATATACTGTCAAGGTGTTTCTCAAATCTTGAATGGCCTGAATATATTCTAATACAGCACTATAACAGTATATTATGTTATTATGTGAATTCATAAGTCCTGTTGTAAGTCAGACAATTTTAAAAAATGATTCAATTTATTTTAAGTTTCATGTCATCAATCTGATGAAACATTAGATAAATATGTTTTTTCAGCACAAAGAAAATCAATACAGTAAAAGGTCAATAAAACAACACTGGCCTGCATGTGGAAGTCATAATGACACAACCTGATATAAATGCATCTAGAAGATGAAAATCTGTGAACACGCTTTCAAGATATTTTCATGCTTCCATCATCTTTTGCTTCGAAAGAATCACTTTCATCTTAGCTTAGTTTTATTCAAATCATTGACTTTTCAATTTTAATATTCGTCAGTTCTATTCATTGTGATCTGTTATTTCAAAATTACTCTAGAATTGTGGTAAACCCAAAGGCATGCATACCTTTACACTATACAGAAAGGGCAAAACAAAATAGATCACTCTATTTTAACAAAATTCAAAATATGATCTCAGTGGATGTACTTTTGCTATTTTCCCTTTCTGTCTCCAGAACCCAGAAACCAACTTACCGGGGGATCAGTCAAATTGAACTACAGTGTACACATAGTCAAAAATATTAATGTCAAGATTAGGCATATTATAATAGGACTTAGAAGTACAAGGAATGATCAATGGTAATGTGCAGTTTCTTCACAAACAAAACAAAAATGGGTGATTTTTATAAAGATACATCTAAAATAATTTGATGATGCATACTTGAGAAAAGATGAGAAGATTGGTGTTTATGAGAAGTATCTGTGTAAAAGAGCATATTTTACTTATTGATCACCCCTCGTACAAGATTTAATCCTGTGTTTTAAATTAATTTAACCATTAATATTGTTAATATTTAGAATACAGTACTATGTATATGTATAAAGCAGGGGTAAAATAAGCATAGCAATTACAGCTACAGAGCTATTTTAGTGAATACTTCAATGCATAGATCAACATGAATACAATCTACAAATCAAAGGTGTTACAATGCACAGATGTTTCTACCAATATGTTACAATGCATGGATATACATGTAATCTACAGAGGGATCACAATATAAAGCTACAATCTAGTATGCTGCTTTACAGCTAATGAGATATAAGGCACATACCTGTGGGGAACTTTCAATGACCAAGGCCAGGCCAAACTTGGAATCGCGAACCTTCACAGTTTTCTGAAAGAAATAAAACATGAGTGTGTATTTACATGTACGTCCTTAACATTTTCTTCTTTCTTATGTACTGAATCTTCAATTCAGATGTAATATTTCTGGTTTCAATGTACTGGAGTGTTTATTATCTTTTTATTAAGAAACATTCTCACCATTTGTAAATATGGGATGCTGACATTGAAGGCCTCGTTCATGTTCGCGTGCCACACAAGTCGCACATTTGTGATAAAAAATGTCCCCAAGTTACCCTGAAATGTAAAAAGGAAAATACCTGCAATAATGATGCTGAACTTTGAGATGGTCCGATATTTATAAATAACATTTATGTCAATGAAGCTCCTTTGTATGTAAATCTAATCAAACAACCATGAATATCATAATATCATTGAGGCCCTACAAGTGTACATGTATATCATCTGTATTCAGTACTATGACATGTGAATGTTCATATGTGCATGTAAAAGAATTATGCTGGTACTTTTTGTAAAATATGGAACTTTGTACATGTAGTCTAGATATTGCAAAATATGAAATGTATTTGCAAAAACTTGAAACAAATCCTTTCAATTATGTAGAAACCACTATAAATCTGTATGATGTAATGAAAACAGACAAATAAAATAGTCTTGATAAAAAAAATATTATTGTCAGCTCTACCTACCTGATCACTGGAAAGATTCCAGACACCATTGATCTTATCGTACACCTGTTCCTGTGGCAGTAGACGTATAGTCTTGTTCTGTATTAATGCCCCTCGCAGCTTCAACTCCCTGTACATTTTAGTAGTCTCATATGCCCTGAAATAAAAATTTTGAAAGTGCTCTCTTGTTGTATTGTTGGATTTGTTGAATGGGCACATATTGTTATGTGGGTGATGTTTTCCTTATGCTTTTCATTGAGTTCTTTCTGATTCAATAGCAAAAAAGAAGGTTCCACAATCCACAAGCTCTCTTTGAATACAAATTACTTGGACTAATAGAATAGATGCGAGTAGAAATAATCTAGATTTATGTCATTAAATATTCTAAATTCAGTCAAAGTGATGTCATATTTGAAATCTACATGTAAAAGTACATCTAGAAATATGATTTCGAAAATTGTTTATCAACTATGAAGTATAATTTTTTTGAAAATGTGACTTCTAGTTCGGGTTGATTCCCCATAGACCCCATGTTACAAAATCACAAAAAGTGAAATATCTTTTCTTATATTGAACAGATAACATAAAATAAATCGAACCACTAAAACTGATATGATTTAAGTTAAAGGGAACTTTCTACTATACCCGCCATGCTATCTGACCCGAACGAGCCACCTGGTGGTAAAACTGGTAACTACCTACTCGCATCTGCATTATTCTCGGGGACTAATTCATGCAAGTCTAGGATATCACAACAGAAACCATGAAATCTAGAAAAATGACAAATTGCTGTCCTCTTGCAAGTGGCTTCATTTTAATAATTAATAACCAGTATTTTTCTATTCTGTATACCGTATGTAATCTATTCACCTGTGTACTGCAATGACTGATGTGAATAATCTGGGACTGCCTGGGATCTACAAATACCAAACATAAATGATGATGTCCAATTGTCAACAGTTGTGAAATAACAAAGTTACATGTAGTTTCATAGGGGGAGGGGGTAAATGATGGTTTCATTAGCAAATACTGTAATTTTTAACATTCAAGTGAAAGACAAATCAACATTTCAAAATTTTGTCAGATGAAGGTATGGGTCAAATCACAATGAAATTAACTTTGTTTTTCATGAGCATCGGTTATTGGACATTTTGTGAGAATAATTTTATATTTTGAACTAAGCTGTCACAACACACTATCATACATTATAAATGTATGTGTAGTTTGATGATTAAAATGAGATTTATTGTATAAAACAATATAATAGTCAAAATAAAATACATATAATATAATATGATATTATATAATAAAAGATAATATCCTACATGTTATACTGTAATGTTTTTCTTACCAGATTAGTGAAAATAAACTCAAATCTTGTGTTGTTACATTTGGTAAGAACAAACAGGGCTTCAGTTGTACCTCGCAATTTCTACAACAAAATGATGTTTTATTAGAGATTCATCATAACCTGATGACAACTATAAAATGTTGATATTTAGGAAATACTTTATGGCCTGTTACACAGAATTCTTTTTAATTATTGCAAATACATACGTTTATTCGATTATGACATTATAAAAGCTACATTTTACATACAGATAGCTCTAATTCTATGATGCATAACTTACTGACTGAGCAATTTTGCTAGAGATATTGAGCACACAGTTGTAACCAATGGCTGAAATAGACAAAAACATTATCAGTATCAATATGGGATTTGTCAACCCATTTTAGGTACCTTATGCACTCAAAACCAGAACAACGGCAACGCCAAAGCGTAGCGAATCCCATCGAACAGAAATGGCTGGCATTTTTACAAACGAAATATATAGCAAACATAATAAAACAACACACCAGAAAGGCCACCATTTTCAAAATGGTTACTCACTAGCCAAGTTGTCATCAGAAGAAATAATATGCTTTTAAGTAGCCACCTATAAAATCTTTGAAAAATCGCATACATGTACTTGTAAAATAACACACATAAAAATGGTGGCCATTTTTCAAAATGACTGACTACTCCCCAAAGTTTTATTAGACAATGTGCCATGCTTAAAGTATTCACATATCAAATATGAACAAAATTGCTCCACTACTTTTCGAGTTATAGTAAAAAATGTAAAAATGACAGCCATTTTTATAAAATGGCTGCCTACTATCTGAAGTGTCATGAGACAGTGTGCAAGGCTCATGAGTATTCACATATCAAATATGACCAAATCGCTTCACTACTTTTCAAGTTATAGTAAAAAACATAAAAATGGTGACCATTTTTCAAAATGGCCACCTACTACCCAAAGTGTCATTAGACAGTGTGCCATGCTTATAGTATTCACATATGAAATATGAAACATACCAAATATAAACAAAATCGCTTCACTACTTTTCGAGTTATAGTAAAATACGTTAAAATGGCGGCCATTTTTCAAATTTTTTTTCAAAATGGCCGCATTCTACCAAAAGTGTCATAGAACGGTGTGCCATGCTTATAGTATTCACATACCAAATATGAACAAAATCGCTCCACTACTTTTCGAGTTATAGTAATATACGTTAAAATGGAGGCCATTTTGAAAAATGGCCGCCTTCTACCAAAAGTGTCTTTAGGCAGTGTGCAATGCTTATAGTATTCACATACCAAATATGAACAAAATCGCTCCACTACTTTTCGAGTTATAGCAAAAATCGTAAAATAACGAATAAAGGCCGCCATTTTTCAAGATGGCTGCCATGTGCTTCTTTAATGTCTACATTTATAGCTTTATTAATGTCCTTCATAATTTTTTTACATTTAAAACATATTGCTATTACAGTTTTACATATTGCACCTAAATTACTGTAAAATCGGCACTAAAATGGCCGCCATTTTGAATTGAGCGGCCATTTTGAAAATCGGCTTTCGAGCAGAACTTCTACCCCCATAGGGTATATGTGTACAAAATATGAACAAAATCGGGCCAACTGTATTTGAGTTATCGCCCGGACGGACGGACGGACGGACGTACGTACGGACGGACGGACGGACGGAGGCGTTCCCTATATCCCTCCGAACTTCGTTCGATGGGATAATAATTTCAGCAATAAAACTGAATTTAAGAGTAAGTAAAAAGTGCATGTTTTTGTAATTTAACGTGACCTAAAAAGAAATTCCATATATGAACAATTTCAACAACTTTCAATTGTAAGCAAATCTGATATATAAAGTTGGACTCAGTTGTATCTTTCATAATATAATTTAAAGTGTATGTTTACCATGAGTTTCACTATCACTCTTGTAATTCACCAAATACAAAAACATTAATAACATCTGATTATAAAATATGGAGTCTTTTACTTTAAAATCTATATTATAGTGAAAAAAATTGCTTCAATGGAATCCTGATTTTAAAAGATATAAAATATGTATCATGTTTCACATACTACTTACACAGGTTAACTCTGGGCAGAGATATGGAGTGCCAAAGGATCCTTAAATTTGTGATTATCAACCGTCCTGGAAAACAAGAGAAATGGTTATGGATACCATCAGATCTTGCTAGTTGATATTCCAGAGTTATGTTTCTATAAGGAGAGAACATAACTATGTCATAACTATCATACACATATTTTTTAGATTTGTAGATGATATAATCTACTGATCAAATATTACATGTATTTGTTTGCTTGCTCCACATATTCAAGGGTCAGGCCAGGGTTCAGATATACTAGCCAGTATTATTCCGAATCAAAAATAACAGTTTTGTTCTTAATTACTTTGTTTTTCATAACCCAGCCCCCTGAGATTTGGACTATCAAGAGGACGTTTAAACATTATTAACTTTGAATGGCCTTACTTTTAATATGTTCATGACAATTATATAAAATGTACCTCTGTCTCCATTGTTTCCCTTTGTATCTTCAATAGCATCTAATCTGTCAACAGTCTTCTCCCCAGGTCGCATCTGTATTTGCCTTAAATAAAAATCACCAGCATTAAAATAGTACCAGGAATGTGTACATGTGTATTTTCTCATTTTTATACATTTTAAAAAACACTATTCTCTACAATGTCTATCCTCTACAGAAAGATATAGACAATGTGTGGAAGGAGTTCATATTGGAAAAAAAAATAACATGCGACTCAATGAGGAATAAGGATTGCATTAAAATGGCCATAAGTACACATTTACCTTAATGTCAAATCAATGATGTATGAAACATTTGAGGACAGAAGGTACATGTAGGTGGAGACTTTTAGTATTTCATTTTCATGGATATGGAAGTAAGCATAGGCGTGCTATTTTTCCAAGTAGTACGCCACCACCACAGGAACAAGAGTCAAGAATCAAAAAACAACAATTTAGGGGGATCTGGGGGTTCTCCCCAGGAAAATTTTGAAATTTGGTTGTATTTGGAGCGAATTTGCAACCATCTGGTATGCCTGTGCGTACCCAGCGTACCGGGCGCTACGCCCATGGAAGTAAGTGTTCTTTATAATGATTGTGGGATCGAAATAGATCCATGGCATGCGATGCAGTAATCAGTAGATCTAAATGATTGTATCTTACTCGAGTCTCTAGCTTACAGCTAGATGTAACTTCAATGATTTTGTATGTACTCGTATTTCGTATGTAAAAATTGCTACACGCACCTAGAAATCATTTTTAATAAATTTTATAAATATTTTTAAGAATATTTATTATATTTAGGATGAAACGTTGCTTGTCTGGATTTAGATATTTCAAAATTTATTTTCGGAGTTTGACACATGGTGAAATTTTCTCGCTGTAGCTAAAAAATGGCTTCCGGTTCAGGACGTGAATAAATGGAGGAAACTTTGAAATTATTCTCGCTTGAAGAAATCAAAAATATAACAATAGATTCAGGCAGAGATGTCTATGTCTATGTCTATGTCAATAATCTGCAAAAGGCTAATAAGCCCATATATAGCAGATATATAATTTAACAGTGATAGAATTTGAATAGAATATAATTTAAAACCTTAACATTTAAAAATAGATCTATGGTTTACAACTCATTTTACCTGGGGAGACTGTCAGGCTACCGCGTATTATTGTGTGCTGATGTTTCTCAAATCTATACATAAAGGTACAGGTATATTTCATATTATTATGCCGTATTTACTGTGCGTGTGACACAATGATTTACAATACCAAGGCAGCTCAATCTTTCTACTCAAAGCCCGAATATAGAGAAGGCTTTGGACCGAAGTAAATTGTATCATGTACATTACCCCTAGTATGTATCCAACAGACTGACTAGGCTAGACTAAATAGGATATAGTCTAACATTACCGCCGTAAATGTGGGGTTGATTTTCACCCCCAAAACTAATTTTGTAATGAAACCTTGGGGTTGAAAAAGTCAGCAGTTGACTCAAAGATTAATTTTCACTAAATAACCACTAGACTAGACTAAGATTTTAATTCAACTTATTTTCAACCCCTGAATTTTAAAAAAGCTGTAAAAATTTAAATAATTTTATCCAAAATTGTTTTTACTAACGTTAAATATATCAATGTGAACACTACCAATTCATATTTATACTACGAACCGCAAACTACCACTTTGTCAATGTCTATACTTACTGCAAACTGATGTCAAATCTGACATCTCTGTCTTCCCACAAAACGTCCGCCATGATGTAAACAAATATGCAGGTCCTACGCCAAATATTTATTTCTAGCTCAAATAAAAAGTACTTCTTCCATTTAGAATTTGTGTCATTTTCAAATAGTTAACAATCGGAATGATTGTTCTATTATCAATTTTCTTGTTCTGTTATCCGAAATTACAATAATAAGCGATATTTTGAAGACTCTGAAAACCTACTATGAGGTGTGTCAATCTCTAGCTTCATTTCCGGTCGTTTCTTGCACGGTGAAAATACATTTACAAAACGATTGATTACCTTTCAATTACACGTTACTAAGCTGCCAAAGTAGTGTAAGGTGAGCGAATAATACATGATTCAAAAATTTTATGCAGGTTGATTGTCTAAACTTTAGGCCTGTAAACTTAGGAACAAAATGAGTGACTTACAAATGTTGAACACCTTCTTCAAATTGTGAACACCTTGGTCCATAACCAGTCTGGCCCAAATCTGAACACCTTGGTCCAAATTTTATTGCATACATCCAAATTTTAGACACCTCAAATTTCTCACGCTTGCTTCTCTTGATCGAAGGCCAATGCTCGCTTTCAAGAACTCCCGTCAACGGGGGCGGGAGGGGGTGTAGAGACAAATAAAACAAAGGAAATGTGTGACATAGATCTATAGGCAAATCGCATGAAAATTCCAAACAAAATGGGTTCGTTCTTTTTCGGCTTCGTTCTTTTGATGTTACAGCATTATTGGTTTTTTTAAGTTCCGTGGGAATATCTTTGCTTGACTACCCTGCGTGCAGAGTCTAGTTAAACTACACTCTGCCTAGTAGAGACCATATTACAGTTAAGCAGCCCGCCCCCACGACTGGTACCGGTGACAGTTTGGGTAAATCACTTTTGACCTACGCCAAATGCGTTCTAATTAAATATGCGCATGTCATTGGTCAATTCCGGGCTCAACGATGACGTCAGAAGGAATGACCATATAAAGAACCCAAAAAAAATGGCCAAATTTGACCGACGAACACTGATTGGCGCGGTGAGTTCACAGGTTTATTGTAGTTTGAAAGAGTGAAGACGAAGCTCTCTTTTAAGAAGTGAAGTCAAACCAATGCAAAGGGTATTGCTTGACAGTTATCAGAAAAATGACAGACAGAATTTACGTGACAGAATAAAAAACTGGCCTGACTCCCAATTTCTTCAGCAAATGTGTGACAAATACACAAATATTGCGGGATAGTTGACAGGCATGGTGTTCGAAGAAATATCTTTATCGGGAATCTAGAGTCTAAAAGTCAATGATTTGAATCTAACCAGTCACCAGTCGGTGATGAACTTACTTATAGGCCTTACTTTACTCACTGGTCAGTATCAAGCGAAGGTAACGGCCGTCACCTTCGCATCAAAGATGGCAGATGGGAAGTGGCGAGTTCGATATTTTTAGTTTTCATTGAATTAAACTAACTTTATAGTTGACATAATCAGGCCACGCCTTAAGCGTCGGACAGCTGGTCATTATCTGGTTACTTTTGATACTGACCAGTTGATTTTTTCACTAGGTATAGGAAAATAACATTGCAACTGGTCAGTAATGCCTTTTTGACCAGCAGCTCTTGAATCCTTAGGGCATACACTGGACATAATGCTTTGATATTTGAACTAAATCCCGCTTATATGACATGGAAACTCTGGGGTACATGTATGTCATTTGTTCATATACCATGCATGGGCGCCACAGTTCAAGGATATCTTCCACCGATAAGATAACTGATATGCGGTGATGAGGTAATGTTATGAGAGTTTATAATGGAGAGCTAAGATGTCTTGTTACCATGTATTGAAAACTAACATGACCGTTACCGTATCTTATATTTCCAGTTACCTTCCCTTTCCTTAGTTCCCATGTCATATGAGTGATTTGGTTCAAATAATATCAAAACCGACGCTTCCCATCCGCCAAATGTAACGGCCGTTACCTTCGCCTGAGACCATCATAAAATGTTAGTCTCAGCCTTCGCTTGATACTGACCAGTGTTTACTTGAGTCTAAAGGTAAGATAGTCCTACTACCTTGATAGTCCTACTCAACTTGATTCAGGGACATCTACTCAAAATTTCCAGAAAAAAATGATGTTATGATTGGTCAAAATGAAAAAGGTTGTTATTTCTTTGGCGAACTTATTTCTTTGAACTTATGCAGTGGTGGCCCTTAGTATTTGATTCAGGGATAATTGAGATGAATCAGATGAAAACTGAAATGACGGGTCAAGGTACTGAGATAATGGATATTGGATATAGATGATGGATAACACTCATGCTTACTGATGTTGGACTGACTTGAAGGGCAGCTTCCATATTTCCCATAAAATATTCAGTTGATTGCAGAATAGTGCCTTTGGTCACTTTCTGTTAGTAGGTTTATGGTTGACTATTTAGCCTTCATTTTGATTGAGACATTCGAAAAATTATCAACAACTGTGGTTGAGGTTGAACATGAAACTGAAGTGCTGTACAATCGGTATTGTTTATAGCTGCTATTCAAACTTCACAATTCAAGATTACACGTATGATTAAATATGAAATGAAATCTATTACAGAATTCTACACCAACATGTATAGAAGGTCCCCTGATAGGGGGCGGGATCAAGTAAGGGAAAGAGACAGGGATCGAGACAGGAGGCCTCGATCAAGAAGTCGGGATAGGGATCGAACCAGAGATCGTGACCGTGATAGAGACAGAGATCGAGACAGAGGAGACCGAAAAAGAAGTCGCAGTAGAGATCGAGATCGTCAGAAGCACAAGAAGAGAGATAGGGACAGATCTCCTCGTAGAGACAAAGACAAGTTAGTATATAACTTCATATTAGATTTGATTGACTAACTTTGTTTTAGTATGCCACTTCCTCAGACATAAAAACCAATTTACTCATGTTTTTACCGATGGAGATATTCATAGGAGGTAGAACTATATATGCTCCCAACTACTGTAGCACAACCAAATAAATAGAAAATAATTTTATGTGTAGATATTGACCAAACATTAGAAACAACTATTTCCTTTGTAACAATGAGCTGATTGTGTTCACTGACATTGAAGTAAATCTCAGAATCTAAGACAATGGCAAGGAAAAAAATAGCATGGTCTCGAATGAGATAATATTGCTGATTATTTTTTACAGGAGACTTGCCAGCCATAGAGTAAGGCTGATAAAAAGTAATATATTATCCATAAGTAAAACTGGAAAAAAAAAACTGGAACTCATCATTAAAATATGCAACCACTAGGCATACTCTTTACTTTTTATTTGTGCTTTATGAGTTGATATTCTGTTTACCTCAATTGCCTACATTGTACTTTAGGAGGGATCATGACAAAGATAAGAAAGGCAAGAAAGAAAAGGAGGAGAAGGAAGAGAAGAGAGTTCCACTCTCCTTGGAAGAGATGCTAGCAAAGAAAAAAGCAGAACAGGAAGCTCTCAGCAAGGTATGATGAGAATATAAAGGGCAACATTTGAAAACAACAACATTAATGATTCTTGATTCCATGTACACGTAGGCTTGTTTGGCTCAAAGTTCTTTCATTCACAAATTTTTTTTGATTGATGCAAGAATTTCTAAATATCGAACCCAAGCCCAGACAACACGAGTGCCCTCCTATTAGAGTGTTCAGATATTTTCTTTCACTTCTATAACAAAGGTGTTCAAATTTTTCAGCCTAAATTCCTAACAAAAGAGGAGCGTGCAGCCGAGGCACTAAAGAGACGTCAGGAGGAAGTAGATGAACAGCGAAAGAAGATGGATGAAGAGAGGCAAAAACAAAGGGAATTTCTGAATGCAGGAAGGGAAAACTATGGCATGGGTAAAGACCAATATAAAATATATAAATATGGAAATGTGTGTTGTAATTCTGTGTTGCCATTGCCAATATATTTAAATACAAAAGATGAAGAGCAGTATTCTGAGTTGCCATTATAAATACAACTGTTTATACCAAATCATTGTATACATGTATTGTACGTACATTTTGAAATATAGTTGATTATGTTCACACACTTAGATGACAGGGAGCATCGTGAGAGAGAACGCCGCGAACGAGCAAGAGAAAGACTAATGGCTGCAGAGCAAGGAAAACCTGATATATTAGATATAAAAGATAAAGAAAAGGAAGTGGAAGCTATTAAAGTTAGTACATGTATTAATCAGTTGCTAAGAATGCCATTTCAATATTCTATTAATCTAGATCACATATTGATAAAGAGAAAATTTCACATGTTTTTATTGCTCATGTTAAAATGAAATAATTATGAGGCCATTTCTATTGATGATATTTAATTATTTATGCAGCTAATTTTGATAACATTATATAAAAGATAATTTAAAAATTTGAAACATGAATTACAAAATGAGCGTATGTTTTGGATTTTAAAAAACACAACCAGGATGTTGATTTTTTGTAAATGAACATTTACATTGTAATCTAAATAGTTCATTCCCTTGCATGCCATGATGAAATTCTCTAAACAGTAATTAATAACTGATGTGTTGCTTTAGGAACGATACTTAGGGAATGTTAAAAAGAAAAAACGTATTCGACGTTTGAATGATCGTAAATTTGTGTTCGACTGGGAAGCTGGTGATGACACATCTACAGATTATAACCCCATCTATAAAGAGCGTCATAGTGTTCAGTTTTTTGGCAGGGGACATATAGCTGGTATTGATATCAAGGTAAGTCTTGTGATGAATGAAATTCTAAATTGACACCTTTTCAGTTTTGGTTAATGTGTGTTATAGCCTTATTACAATAAATAGCCTACTCAATTAAAGAGTCAGTTTACCCTGAAAATCAGAAATACCTTTTATCTTTACTTAACTGGGTGATTTTCACCACTGTTAATCTTGATTTCAACTTTTCAGTCTCAGAAAAAAGATCAAAGCAAATTTTATGGAGATCTTCTGGATAAAAGGAGAACTGAAGGGGAGAAAGAACAAGAAGAGTAAGTTATAGATTACCCTTCACTTGACTTTATCTTCACTCTGTGAATTAATAATAATTGTTATGTCTGACCACTATCCACTTAGTCTATAAGTCAAAGAATCACAACACAGCAAATTTTGTCTATTAGTAGCTAATTTGCATGTTTACATTTGTGATCATTATGATCTTATCAGTATCAAAACTGTAGAATCATCTGAAGTATTAAGAGGGCAGTGTGACTATTTGGTTGAGATTCAGGGTAGTTCATTTGAAATAGAACATATAAGGAATAACACTGAAAAATAAATAAAAATATCAACCAACAAATGGTATATGAGACATCACAAATTGCCAATGCCATCAAAAATGGCTTTTATTTGATCATACTTGAAGACCGTATCTCATAGTCTTTCTTCAACCCCCCCCCTGTACTTCACCTTAACAGCACAAGGTGAAGTACTCAGGGGAAGTTACACAGTCAATCTCATGATCTTTGTCACAACAGTAAAATAAACCATGGGCTTTCAATCTATTGAATGCCCATGAATAAACAGAAGATGGTTATATATGAACAGTCAACAGAACATTAAATACAGGAAATAAATGGTTCTATCACAGCCCTTATGTACATTTTATAAACTTTCTAGAAAGCGATTGAAATCTGCCGCCAGAAAGACTGCTAAGCAGGCATTTGATGATCGGCATTGGACTGAGAAAACCCTAGAGGAAATGCAGAGCAGAGATTGGCGTATCCTCAATGAAGACTATACCATATCATGTAAAGGAGGCAAGATTCCACATCCCTTGAGGTCATGGAAAGAAGCTAATCTCCCAGAGGATGTGTTTAAAGTGGTTGATGATATTGGATACAAGGTATGTGTCTAATACTGAACCCCCAATTTATAATATATTTACTAGAAGCAGAGATCACGGTAGACGTTCGCCATTCGCCAATTGCGAATTTTCGAAAGGGGTGGCGAAAAATATGTAAAGGTATTTCGCAGTTATGGCGAATTAGAGGTGTCACGTTTTCCCGATATTGGACCGAATTTCGGTCCAGATGCTTCGGTTCGGGACATGGGACAGAAAGGGTTAATATCGGAACATAGATTCCTTCCCTAAAATGCATAAAAACGTGTATAAATAGCGAGGAACACCTCCGATTTCGTTCTGAAAAATTCAATATTTTCACTTACCTCGTACCTAGATTACACTTCTTTGCATTGAAAAGTGTTATTAACGGACCGGCGATTTCAGGTAGATGGTAATGCTTGTTCGTAAATTTCTTCATCGTCGTTCGCAAATCGAGTGCATTATCAGTATGCCGGATGTAAGAAAGAAATTGAAAAATCGAGCCGGCATCTAAGTCGAAAAAGTCGGCAGTTTGGAAGTATTTTGGGACTCCGATATCACAAGGTAAACAAATTGGTGATATTACACCGTGCAGACTATGTGAAATGCCGATCACATTCGCGGCAGATGCTTTACATTCAATTTTAATGGAAGTTTTTTTATTCCTGAATATGATTTTGAAAAGTGAAACTGAAAGTGAAACTGTCATCATCAGACATTGCATCATTTTTAATGTTCTGTCCCGTCCCGTCCTGAAAGTAACGTGTTGAGACCATTAGTAACGTTCCGTACCGTACCGAAATTTTCTTGGACCGTGACACCTCTATTGCGAATTCCCTTTTTTACGGTTTTTCAAAATGGCTAATTCATATTTGGGTTGGCTAAAAAAATTTTGGAAGATTTAGCCACAATGGCTAACAAGTTTTTATGTCACCACCAAAAGTGGTGACATATTGTTATGGTCTCCGTTTTTTTTTATGTCACCACCAAAAGTGGTGACATATTGTTATGGTCTCCGTTTTTTTTATGTCACCACCAAAAGTGGTGACATATTGTTATGGTCTCCGTTTTTTTGCGACGGCGGTTGGCGTCCGGCGGTTGGCGTCCGGCGTCTGTAACAATTTCTTACAACTTCCTATAACTTAACAAATACTGTTTAGACTGACTTCAATTTTTTTCTAAATCATCTACATGTTCTCAGAAGTTCAAATCTGACTTTAGATTTGACATTTGACCTTCAATGACCTTCTCAAGGTCAAAAAGGTCTTTTTTCAACTTGCTTCACATTGACTAAATTTTTTTTCAAAATCATCTACATGTTCTCAGAAATTCAAATCTGACTTTAGATTTGACATTTGACCTTCAAATCTGACTTTAGATTTGACATTTGACCTTCAATGACCTTCTCAAGGTCAAAAAAGGTCAAAAAGGTCTGTTTTCAACTTGCTTCAAATTGACTAAATTTTTTTTTCAAAATCATCTACGTGTTCTCAGAAATTCAAATCTGACTTAAGTTTTGACATTTGACCTTCAATGACCTTCTCAAGGTCAAAAATGGTCAAAAAGGTCTGTTTTCAACTTGCTTCAAATTGACTAAAATATTTTTTCAAAATCATGTATGTGTTCTCAGAAATTCAAATCTGACTTTAGATTTGACTTAAGATTTGACATTTGACCTTCAATGACCTTCTTAAAGTCAAAAAAGGTCAAAAAGGTCTTTTTTCAACTTGCTTCAAATTGACTAAATTTTTTTTTCAAAATCATCTACATGTTCTCAGAAATTCAAATCTGACTTTAGATTTGACATTTGACCTTCAATGACCTTCTCAAGGTCAAAAAAGGTCAAAAAGGTCTGTTTTCAACTTGCTTCAAATTGACAAAATTTTTTTTTCAAAATCATCTACATGTTCTCAGAAATTCAAATCTGACTTAAGATTTGACATTTGACCTTCAATGACCTTCTCAAGGTCAAAAAAAGGTCAAAAAGGTCTGTTTTCAACTTGCTTCAAATTGACTAAAATTTTTTTTCAAAATCATCCACGTGTTCTCAGAAATTCAAATCTGACTTTAGATTTGACTTAAGATTTGACATTTGACCTTCAATGACCTTCTCAAAGTCAAAAAAGGTCAAAAAGGTCTGTTTTCAACTTGCTTCAAATTGACTAAATTTTTTTTCAAAATCATCTACATGTTCTCAGAAATTCAAATCTGACTTTAGATTTGACATTTGACCTTCAATGACCTTCTCAATGTCAAAAAAGGTCAAAAAGGTATTTTTTCATCTTGCTTCAAATTGACTAATTTTTTTTTCAAAATCATCTACATGTTCTCAGAAATTCAAATATGACTTTAGATTTGACATTTGACCTTCAATGACCTTCTCAAGGTCAAAAAAGGTCAAAAAGGTCTTTTTTCAACTTGCTTCAAATTGACTAATTTTTTTTTCAAAATCATCTACATGTTCTCAGAAATTCAAATCTGACTTTAGATTTGACATTTGACCTTTAATGACATTCTCAAGGTCAAAAAAGGTCAAAAAGGTCTGTTTTCAACTTGCTTCAAATTGACTTAAAAAAATTTTCAAAATCATCTACGTGTTCTCAGAAATTCAAATCTGACTTTAGATTTGACTTAAGATTTGACATTTGACCTTCAATGACCTTCTCAAAGTCAAAAAAGGTCAAAAAGGTCTTTTTTCAACTTGCTTCAAATTGACTAAATTTTTTTTTCAAAATCATCTACATGTTCTCAGAAATTCAAATCTGACTTTAGACTTTAGATTTAACATTTGACCTTCAATGACCTTCTCAATGTCAAAAAGGTCAAAAAGGTATTTTTTCATCTTGCTTCAAATTGACTAATCTTTTTTCAAAATCATCTACATGTTCTCAGAAATTCAAATATGACTTTAGATTTGACTTTAGATTTGACATTTGACCTTCAGTGACCTTCTCAAGGTCAAAAAAGGTCAAAAAGGTCTTTTTTCAACTTGCTTCAAATTGACTAATTTTTTTTTTCAAAATCTACATGTTCTCAGAAATTCAAATCTGACTCTCCAAATTTTTTTTTCAAAATCATTTACATCTTTTCAGAAGTTCAAATTTGACTTTACAAGTTCTCAGAAATTCAAATCTGACTTAAGTTTGAACTCATAATATTGTGAGCAACTAGGTGGTGACATTTTGTCATGTTAATGCCTTGTTTCAACTATCGTGATCTCTGCTAGAAGCCATTGTATAAATGTGTAATGATGAAGATTTGGTTATATAAATCTTTTGCTTATTTTTTGCATATTATGAGCACTAGTATTGTTTGCATACCCTTAATTGTGTTGTAGTCATTATTTATCAATTCAAAACAGATGTAATGTTTTCTTCTAGCAACCAACACCTATTCAGAGACAAGCTATTCCTATTGGTCTACAGAACCGTGACATCATAGGAGTTGCGGAAACAGGAAGTGGAAAAACAGCTGCTTTCTTGATACCTCTTCTAGTGTGGATACAAACATTGCCAAAAATGAAAAGGTTAGTTACAAAGGAACATATTCTCTGTACACATTGGGTCAAAGGACTTATATGGAATAAATCTCACAACACCTCAACAGAAAATATGATTTTTCTAAATCTCATTGCTGTAGATGTTTTTAAGTCCACCACTGTTTCCCATATTTTTGTGCCACCTTGATTGACCTTACTCATTAAAGAGTAATGTTGTATTATAGAATAGAAGATGCAGACCAAGGTCCATATGCATTGATCCTGGCCCCCACCAGGGAGTTGGCCCAACAAATAGAGGAAGAAACACTGAAGTTTGGCAAGCCACTTGGGATCAGATCAGTTGCAGTAATTGGTGGTATATCTAGAGAGGAACAAGGCTTCAAACTGAGACAAGGTTGCGAGGTGAGAACACACTTTTTATCCAATGGTTGCAAGGAAGCTAATGTAGAAATTCCTAAATACAAATTTTTTAAAAAAAATTCCAAAATCTTTTTCAAACTTTTATTTGTTCACCCCTGATAGATCCTCCTATTATGACACCATTGCTATATGCAGATTAGCTGACTTATTAACTCGGAACTTATATAAAATATTATTTCTTCCATTCATATTTGATACTTTTTGACAATTTGTTGTGCATTTTATCTTTATTTACTAAAAGTATTAATAAACAGTGTTAATAATTTATATTCACTAAGAAGAAGCTTTTACTGTTATCTTGCTCTATAATTATTCACCTCTAAGAAATGATACATTATTTTGTATGTTTGTTGTTTAGATTGTCATAGCAACACCTGGTAGATTAATAGATGTGTTGGAGAACAGATACCTTGTGCTGGGTCAGTGTACATATGTTGTCATGGATGAGGTAAGTTAAACAGTGTTTTGTTTAGCAACCCAAAGCAACCCAAAGTAGATTGAAAGATATTTTCTATACAATTATGATCTATGATGTCAGAGATGAGATAAGAGAAAGTTAATCATTCTAACATATTTCACCCTTGGTATACGCAGCTAACAAAAATTGACCGGTGCGGGTCAAAAGCTGGACCGGTACGGGTTAACGGTTTTATTTGAATTTAAAACAGCCATAACTTGCTCAATATTGACTTCCTCGTGTCTAATTTGAAATATATGATGCCTCCCGATGCTTTTAAGTACCCCAATTTTTTACAGATTTTTCAACGGACCAAAACTCTCTAAATACGCATTTATGCTCTTTTCTCTCGAGAACGACTGTCTCATTTTCACGATAACTTTTATTTAGTACTTTTAACATATAAGATCTATTTTTCCCCATCAAGGTATGATGTAAATGACATGCTATTTACATCTTGTGAGTTTCAATGACGCGCGTTTGATTTTATAAAAAATGCCAAACTTTGTGACAAAGAATTTCCTCCTGCTTGCAGCGAGAAGATGGACCGGTTCGGGGCAATAGAACCGGTCCGTCTTCTCGCTGCAAGCAGGATGAAATTCTATGTCACAAAGTTTCGCATTTTTTATAAAAGTTATCGTGAAAATGAGACAGTCGTTCTCGAGAGAAAAGAGCATAAATGCGCATTTAGAGAGTTTTGGTCCGTTTAAAAATCTGTAAAAAATTGGGGTACTTAAAAGCATCGAGAGGCATCATATATTTCAAATTAGACACGAGGAAGTCAATATTGAGCAAGTTATGGCTGTTTTAAATTCAAATAAAACCGTTAACCCGTACCGGTCCAGCTTTTGACCCGTACCGGTCAATTTTCATTAGCTGCGTATACCAAGGGTGATATTTTCTATAATCAATTCATTTTATATTCACTTTATATCGTATACACACACAACATTCTTGATATGTAGAGGCATATCAATTATACAGATACATACAATGTTCATTTCTAGTATATCCAAATGCATGTTAATGTTGAGAAATGAATTGCTTGATATTTATTTCTCATGCGTTGGGTTGGCAGTTCTGCTTAATTCTTACATTTGCATATTCAAAACTTAGGCTATTGTATTGTCTTATAGGCTGACAGGATGATAGATATGGGTTTTGAGCCTGATGTAAAGACTATCTTGGAGTATATGCCTCTCACCAACCTGAAGCCGGACTCTGAACAAGCTGAAGATGAAAATTTCTTAAAAGCAAATTTCTTGTCAAATAAAAAATATAGACAGGTGAGTTTTACAAGTTACAGATTGTTCATTCACCAAAGAAGGCACTCATTGCAAGAATCTTTCATATTTCTCCATGAAATTTTCACATAACATAAAAAATAACCTTGTTTTTTAAAGTTTATGTTCAAAGTGACCGGGGATTTGATAAATTGTGTTTTCTTCACTAGCATTTGCGACTCATATTAAAGGGTTTAAGCCCAGGACTCAATGAATTTTAGGATGATTTGTTGTTTCCAGACTTTAAATGAGTGTGGCAGCACAAATTCAAAGTCTAGAATACAAGACACTAGTGTATTTTATCATCCACAATTCAGTCATGTGATTAAATTATTTTCACACATTGCAAAAGATTTTTACAGCTTCACTTAAAAGAACAAATTATTTTGCAAGGAAAATTTTTCGCAAAGGAATTTGCTGGAACTTGATATATCTCACTATCTATGTATGAATTAGATTTTGATCACTTTGTCCTTGTATTTCAGACTGTCATGTTCACAGCTACGATGCCCCCTGCTGTAGAGCGACTTGCAAAGACATATTTGCGTAGACCTGCTATTGTATACATAGGATCAGCTGGTAAACCAATTGATAGAGTTAAACAGGAGGTCTACATTGTATCTGAACAAGAGAAAAGGTACTCAAGATTCAATAGATTGCTTCAGCTATTCATCTCTGTTGTCTTGAATGTTTTATGAAGCGCTGAGTCAAATTTCATTTCTCACAGAACTTATTGTGTTCAGAGAAAAGGATGAAAACAAATACCAGGTTTTGTTACAGTAATACAGACAAAACTTTTTTTGAGCAGGAAATGATATTTCAATGTTGAAAATGTTCAGTGAGGTTCAGTATTCACATTTCACAACCATATTTATATCTCTTAAATGTGACTATTTGTTGTTTGAAATCTCACAAATCAGTGACCCAATGTTATTTCTAGTATTCATCTCATTATGTATCCTCATGTCTGAAACATGAAGGAAAAGAATTGTGCTCAATATCTTCATTTTTTCAATATTTTTTTTTTCAATATCTTCTTGTCATTTCTAGGGCTTTACAGTATTTATGGCCACATTCCTAAGCTTTGATTATGTATGTTTCAGGAAGAAATTGGTGTCTATACTTCAAGCAGGAATTGATCCTCCTATTATCATATTTGTCAATCAGAAGAAAGGAGCTGATGTGTTGGCCAGATCTCTGGAGAAAATGGGGGTATGTTTAACAATTTAACATTAATTTGGATGTCTGAAATGTCTCAGTCACCTCAAGGCATCATCTCATCAAAGTTCATGCTGTAGACACACTTAATTTGGCTCCCGTTTTAATTTTAAAATTAAAAAACCGTCAAATTTCAGTTTGGAATTTTTGTCCAATGCACTTCAGAAACTAAACTCCAGGGGCCCCTTTTCCTGTCAACATGTCATCAATTCTACATTATTCCAAAAGAAATACAGAAAATATCTTCGTAAGCACCTGTCCAAATGACATAAACATCTACAAAATTAAACTTCAGTCCTGAATACGCCAAATTAAATAGAGCATAAATTGAAATTGAGCAAATCCGTCAAATTAAGCAGCGCCAAAATAAGTGTATCTACTAGAGGTGTCAAGTATTAACCGGTTAACCAGTTAACCGCCGATAATGCCTTGACCGGTCTGTGTTTTTATGGGCGGTTAGTTGACCGTGTATAATTCTGTTATTTCCCGCGCTTATTTTGCATGCTAATCCGTTTGGTTTTATGGTGTCAGTTTCACGTATAAGCTACTCATACATCCGATAACTCCTTACAAACATCCAATCAGCAACTTTAATCCCTGCCACATTGCTTTCCCGCGCTTACTTACTTAGAATAGAGTAAAGCTTGACGAACGTAAAAAATAAACGCCGATATATCATTTTTCCAGTTTTTTCAACTTTCAAGATCGAAGATGAATATTTCATTTGAAATTATCAGTTCAAATTTCCCGCCGGTTAACCGACTTTAACCGGTAAAAACCCCTGGTTAACTGGTTAATGCTCAAGCGGTTAATTGACACAAAAACCCCTGGTTAACCGGTTAATGCTCAAGCGGTTAATTGACACCACTAGTATCTACGGTATGTGAACTGCAGGTTTTCTGTCTCCACCAATTCAAAATTCAAAATGTGAATGAGGCATATGCATATATTGCACCATGCACAAACAGACGGGGAGGGGTTATCCATATTTAAATTGAGCATCTGAAATCAAAAGTATCAAATAAACATACACTCCAGCCTTAATTGTATTACATTTGGTTTCTATTATTATTCTAGTACAATGCAGCAACCCTCCATGGTGGTAAAGGACAGGAACAGAGAGAGTTTGCCCTGGCCAGCTTGAAGGAGGGAAACAAAGATATTCTCGTGGCAACAGATGTGGCTGGACGTGGTATTGACATCAAAGATGTTACTCTAGTTATCAATTATGACATGGCCAAGAGTATTGAAGGTAATGGATTTATTTGGTCATTTTACCAAATTCACTAAACAGTTGATATCTATATGGTGCTATTAATAAAATTAATCAACTAATACTAAATAGGGATGTTACAAAAATTAGTGATTGTGGCACAAATTAACTTCTATGCAAAATTCATGAATATCACACAGAATTAAGTTTGAGTAGGCATACACATCCATTCATTTGTTTATTATTCTGTCCATGTGATAACTCAAATACCAGTTACCAATTGAAATTTTATAGAGTGGTGCCCAATGAGCTTGTTTTACCAAATTTAAAGGCTGATTATTATGGGCATGGTCGTCTACTCAAACAGAAATTTCTAATAGGGCGCCATGTGACTGTCATCATGTCATGTCAAAGTGTGCATTTTGCAAAAAGGAGGCAATTTTAAATGAGGGAACAAAAATGGCAACCAACATAAATATAAGTGTGTTTAATTTGAGGCAATACCATTTCAGATTACACTCACAGGATTGGTCGAACTGGGCGTGCTGGTAAGACTGGAACTGCAATAAGTTTCTGTACTCAAGATGACAGTCATCTCTTCTATGATCTGAAACATGCCCTCATGGAAAGCCCTGTCTCCCAGTGCCCTCCAACACTCTCCAATCACCCGGAGGCACAGCACAAACAGGGGGCACCTGCATTTAAGAAGAAGAAGGATGAATCTATTTTTATAGCATAAATTTTTTTTGAGGACTAGGTAGAACATTTAGATACTTTTCATCCAATTTGTTGGACGAGGGACCAAAGTAAAGAAAAAACGTTGTATGAAATGAGTCTATGCTAGAAATGATCAATTTCTGTCCATGGCATATACCATATGTTACAATATGGTATATGCAATAGCATATGTACAATAATATACACAATATAGTATGTTCAAAATCAAATCATGTCAGCTAAATCAATAAAAATGAAAATACTGTATATTATATTACATGTATGGTTCCTGTTAAATAGAGCAATATATGGATTATGGCTATAAATTCTGACCTTATATTGTCAAAATATCGGTAATTCTAGATCAATGATACACTTAGGCGTGTACAGTGAAACCTGTATATCCGAAAACGTCTACAATCCGAGCACCTCTCAATGTGAACACTTTTACTCAGTCCCTTTGATACCTCCTACTCTTGAACTACATGTTGAAAAACCTTGAAATGTGAACACCTCCTAATCGGAACACTGATGGCTGGTCCCAGAGGTGTTCAGATTAGACATGTTTTACTGAATGAACATTGAGATTGTATGTTTCTTCATATACAGGGTGTCCTGAAAGTATGGGCCCCCCCCCCCCCCTAGGCAGACATATTGCAGTGCCCTCATAGTATGTGTCATATATCATTTTAAAGCTTATCCAAAGTTACATTGATTTGCCAAGTATCATGGTTTAACTCCCGAATGGGAAAAAGTTACAGTCATTTTAAAAGTTAGTGTTTTGTCAAAATAAAGTTCAATTTTACACCACATTACTAGTCAATGTGTCCCCTTGGCCATGTTAACAGCAGCAATTATTTTCAGATATGACCTTAAAAGCCCTTCAAATAGGGGTGTGGGATTTTATAACCTTCTTAAAACCTGTTAAGGGACTTTAGAAGAGTTTCCTTAGAGTTTCTACCCTCACCGTTCTCTTTTTCCAACTCAATATCCCTCCGACCCGAAAGGAATTGCTGCTGTTAAGATGGCCCAGGAGGACACATTGACCAGTGATTTGGTGTAAAATTGAACTTAATTTTGACCAAACACTAAATTTTCATATGTTTGTGCCCTAACGTCATCTATAGTTATTTCAATTGGATGCGAAGCCTAGTTTTACTCCCGACGTTGCAAAGACGAGGAAGCTGGATATCGCATTTCACTGACTCGCTGTTCAAGAACGACAAATATATACATTTAAGGTCGTAATCTATCATAGAGACATTTTTAAAATCGCGAAGTCGAACGATTGCAAAGGGTAGATGTTGGATTTGATAGTACTATATATATTCTTCGAAATTCTCCCATTGCAATTTTACATCTTTATCACGTTTTGGGTGCATATGACTGCTTTAAGTTCCTCATTCATGTCATGTTCCCCTTTCAAGTATTCTAATTTAATTTTTTTCTTTTGAAGCAAATAAATGAGACCATTAAATTCCACAATAAAAATGTCAGGGCCAAATGGCATAATGTCCCTGTATTCATATATAATATCAAGCTGGATCATGAACTTGATTAAAAATCTGTGTTAAAAAACTTGAGTAACTTACTACGGATAAGATTATGTGGATTTTTTGAAAGAAATTTACTCAAATAGGAAGTATTTCCCTACCAAAAATAAGACTCATCACACCGTGGATTTGTTTTACTTCACCAGTGAGAGGTTTATAAAGACTGAAAATATCTGTTCGGGCAATATACAGATATACACGCCCCATTCTCAACACATCGTACAACCGTAAGTGCGCGACGTGATTTTGGCGACAAGTTTGTAAGTACACCCTAACTCTGTTGGACTTTTTAGAGGTCAATATTTTTGAATTTTGAATTTGAATACAAGTTCTCAGAATTACAAATCTGACTTAACATTCGCGATTTGACCTTCAATGACCTTCTGAAGGTAAAAAAAATATTTTTTCAACTTGCTTCAAATTGACCAATATTTAAAAAAATCATCAACAAGATCTCAGAATTTCAAATCTGATTTTAAGATTTCAGACTTGACCTTCCTTCACTGACTTTCTCAAGGTAACACGGTCAAGAAGGTCTCTTTTCAGCTTGCTTCAAATTGACTTATTATTGAGAAGCATTTTCAAAACACCTCACTCACTTTGTTGGACTTTCAATGAAGACCTGACTTTGCCATCTCCAAGTAAAGAGAGTTTCAATAGAAGTTGCCTCTAGTCTTAACCCAGAGTTATTTCAATAATAAGTGTATGTGGCACATTTTACGTCATGTTATTTCAGTAACGACATCGTTTTTTATGTCACCACCAGGGAGTGATGACATATTGTTATGGTCTCCGTTTTTTGGCGATCGGGGGGCGGCGGTTGGCGTCTGTAACAAAGTCTTACAACTTCCAATAACTTAACAAATACTGTTTAGACTGACTTCAATTTTTTTCGAAATCATCTACTAGTTTTCAGAAATTCAAATCTGACTTTAGCTTTAAGATTTGACTTCAATGACCTTCTCAAGGTCAAAGAAAGGTCAAAAGGGTATTTTTCAACTTGCTTCATATTGACCAATTTCTTTTTCAAAATCATCTACACGTTCTCAAAAGTTCAAATCTGGCTATATATTTGACCTTCAATGACATTCCCATGGTCAAAAAAGCTCAATGACCTTTCAAGATCAAAAAGGTCTTTTTTCAACTTGCTTCAAATTGACCAATGTTTTTTCAAAAGCATCTACAAGTTCTCAGATGTTCAAACCTGACTTTAGATTTGGGATTTCACCTTCAATGACCTTCTCAGGGTCAAACAACTTGCTTTAAATTGACCAATTTAATTTCCAAAACCATCTACTACAGAGTTTTCAGAAATTCAAATCTGACTTAGATTGAACTAACAATATTGTGAGCAACTAGGTGGTGACATTTTGTCATATTAATGCCTTGTTTTTAAATTAAAATGCCTCTTATATAGTCAGTCTACAACTGAAAAAACTAGTTAAACCGTAAAGTGATTATAGAAAAAACGTCAGCAACATGACCGATGCGGTTTAACGGCTACATTTTTCATTACTAGCTCATGTATACTTTTTCGTGCCAAAATTAAAATCTACGATACCTTCGGAAATGGACCAAGATACTTGAGACGTTTACATTGGAAACTGGTAAGCGAGTGTGGGAATGTTTGGTGGAAGCTCAACTTTTATACTTAGACGAAGCAAAAAAGGAAAAACGCCCAAATACTTGTTTTAGGCCTAAGGACATATGCTGGTTCGCTTTATACACGCCCATCGCGTTTTACATTTCAATTCCAAACAAAATTAAAGAGAGAATCAGATATAGCGAGCAGGCTAAACAAAAAATTGTTTCAATTTTAGAATATTTTTGGCTCATGTCATTCCTTGTCATGTCTATTTTCTAAAAATCACAATAGAAGATACTTTATTCCAGGAAAACTAAAGATTTTTACAATAATGTATTATTTTTCGATAAGAATGGTTACCATTCTTATTATTTTGGAGAATTTAAACATTTTTCACTCAATTTTGCACTTTGAATCATTAATAACTTCACCAATTTATAACATATTGTGAATCTTTTGGGAGATATTGTATTTGATATTGTAAGGAATAGATTGGTAGGTCAATTATACATGTTGCTTGTAATTTTGTCACCCCCTATAGATCAGATTCTGCCTTTAATTTCTCTGCCAATCCGTTTATTTTAGACCTGACGTGAGTGTCTGGATGATTTTTCGATAAGAATGGTTACCATTCTTATTATTTTGGAGAATTTAAACATTTTTCACTCAATTTTGCACTTTGAATCATTAATAACTTCACCAATTAATAACATATTGTGAATCTTTTGGGAGATATTGTATTTGATATTGTAAGGAATAGATTGGTAGGTCAATTATACATGTTGCTTGTAATTTTGTCACCCCCTATAGATCAGATTCTGCCTTTAATTTCTCTGCCAATCCGTTTATTTTAGACCTGACGTGAGTGTCTGGATGATGTGTGATGATTTTATTGATTTAGTCACTTTTACATGATTGAGTCAAGTTGTCACAAATATGATGAATTTTGTGAAAAATGCATGACAATGTCTTCAACAAATTGCCGTGGATCAGGTGAAATGTTGAGACTTAAACTTAGTGATACTCGAGGCATCTCTGCGCAGTACGGTCGATGTTTCTATGATGAAGAAATTCCCGGGAGAAATTCTCATATTCTGTCAAAACTTTGAAGTACTCTGTGCGAAATTCACGCGCCCTTCCGGTTGTACGACGTGTTGAGAACCGGGTGTGATGATACATTGTTGGACTCATGTTTAAATAACCATTCGATCCGAATATTTAGGTAGTTAGATTGCATTTGACTTGTTAAAACGTGCATGATGAATAAGGAAGGTTTAGTCGCCCTGTCAATGATCATGGTATCATCCGTGCATTGTGCTATGATCGATATGACACATACGTTGAACGGTGATGCTGTCTACTTTCCTGAGTATATGAAATTCAATATGCTGAACACAATGAATGGATCATTTGAGGATGCACCGTAGTAAGTATGGTCTCATGAATAACGAAAACAACACTGATGTATGGGAGGAACTTAGAAAAAAGTGATCCCTGAGTAAATGTGATATGTTATAGCAAATTGAACAAACTTAGCTCATCGTATGAGATCATAAATCCTTCTCGTTGCCTTTCTTAGCAAGTCAAAGATGGTCTGAGCATCAAAACGATAGCTAAAGCTAATAACCATGTAAAGGGAGGGTCAACGAAAATACAAATGTCACAAGTTTTCAAAAAGAAGTTAAAAAAGGTTACCCCTGAATCAATGTGATATGATAATAACATAAAGATAGTAGAAGTACATGTTTTCTGTAAAATTTATGTTTTCAAATGTCGCCCTTGTGATATTAATTCACAACTTATAGTTCTTAACTCTGTGTTTTAGTGTCTACATGAATGACCTTGAATTATCTGAACATCTTGGCACACACATTGATGCACCCGTTCATTATGGACTTGGAGCTAAAATGCTGCACGAACTAAAACTCTCTGAGCTTCATGGTCCAGGTGTTGTAATAGACAACCGCGAAAAGGCGCAAAAAGACCCAAATGCGTTTGTAGACATCGCAGATCTACAGTTATGGGAGAAAGAATTTGGTGAAATTCCAGAGGGAGCTGTTATTATCCAGAATTCGGGATGGGGCAAATATTGGGGTGACAGGGATAAATTTGTTGGACCTAACAGGACTGATGGAGAAGGACCGCTCTTCCAGACCCCGGGTTTTCATCCTGATGCGGTGAAATGGTTGCTACAATATAGAGACGTGAATGGTTTCGTGGTTGAGGGAATCAGTTGTGATAGTGGTGTCAACGCAAAGACATTCATGGCCCATCGTGTAATGTTTAAAAAAGAAAAATGGTGTGTTGAAAACGCTGCTAACGTGAACAAAATACCTCAACATGGAAGTGAAGTGTATGTTATGCCAGCAAAGATAGAAAATGGAAGTGGCGGCCCAGTTAGAATGTTTGCAATTTGGGACGAAGTAGCTCCTTGGCATAATGCTAATGACGCAAATGGAGGCGCTATGATCAGTATTTTCATGTTAGCTTGTCATTTTAGCATTTTGCACATGGTTTAATGTTCATGACTAAATCAAGGACGCTAACAATATGAAAATCAAACTTCAATAGTACGTACTTGTCTGGATTGACTTGTCGCACGCAAGTGACAATACTGTGTTACGTATCACTTGTCTTTACGGCGTTTTATTCATCAGTCTCTTAGGTGATGGCGATGGATTCCCTACAAACGTCGCAATATGAATACTAGTATAATGCAACACAAATACCATAATTTAAGCAACAGGTGGTACCAAGACACAGTATTTGTAGCCCAAGAAAAAATGTCCAAAACCACATGTATCTCATGTTCCCATTCATGATACTTCAAAATTTCACATTACATGTACATGTATATACATTTTTTTAATAAATAGATTATTTTCCTCAATTTCAGAGTGCATTCTTATAATAAATGGAGATTTTTATTGCAGTATTTCAATCTACTCATGAAAAATGAAAAACGCTTTTGTGATTATTAACATTGATTTAGCCCGTTGTTTCCAAATGACCACGCAGAGGGAATGCAAAGTTTAAGAAACAACGCCTCTTTGGAATGGAGCAGCCACAAAAAAGCCCACAATGCATTGAGTCTTGGGCTTAAACCCTTTTCACATATTGCAAAATATTTTCTACGAAATCACCCAAAAGATACAAATTCACTAAAATAACATATTTTCAATGAAACTTTTTGCAACGGTCAAGTTGGCAAAGTATCAATTTCATTCTGGAGAGTCAAGTTGTCACCTTGACAACTGTTTAACAAGTGACTTTGAATGCGGTGATTGGTGATATAATGTACCGCAGCTGCCTTGTCTCAGTCTGCCTCATGAATGGCTACGTCGTTGATGGGCTACTGGGTAGTCTTGCTTCAAGACTGTGAAGTTGTGAACCTGAATCTTACTAAACAACACGGGACCAGGAATGAGAATGATGTTATTCTAAAATCGTTTTAACAGTTAGATACTTGTGTTTAAGTCTAAGTGTGATCATTTTAGCGCCTTTCTCTCAGCATAAGTAAAATAGGCATAAATGATAAGTACAAGTGATAATATAGTATAAGTTCGTTTTAAAACAGTTAACTATTTAAGTGTCCAGAGCATAATAGTGACAACACGTTCTTGGAACACGAAAAAGGACTAAGAAGAATAGAAATGGACAGTCATTTCCGTTTGACTATTATTATATTTTCTCACCATAACTATGACATATCTCATCAAAATAATGTGTTCCCAAGGTCCTTGGTTCCCCGCAAAGCCAAGTCTCAGGATGATATAAATCCACCCATCCGAAACGACCATCAATCAAGACATTCGGCACAAAATTTCAAAATTCAGGCGTCGTTTCTTTATTTTTTGAATAGGAACTTGTTTTTCTCATTTTTATTGCCTTTAATAAATTAAAATTCAGCAGGAGATCTCGCTTCTTCAAAAGTAGAATGGCGTAAAAAGTTTTATGTGCAACGATTCAAGGCTGAAAACAATGGATTGCATGTTTTTTCCCTTTATGGGAAACGTTGATTAACAGACCCGCAGCCAGGGGGGTCGATGGGTTCGAGCGAACCCCCCCCCCCCCTGGCCAAAAAATCTTTCAAAATCATGGTGGTTTTCATCTTTCTGAGCATTTTTAAGTGATTTTGGACCAAAATTGTCACAAGTGAACCCTCCCCTGGAATTTTTCAAAAAGTGAACCCCCCTTGGCAAATCCTGGCTACGGGCCCTGAACAATATGGCTGTTTTAACTTAATCAAACTTAAAATTATTAAATTGCAAAGTTGCATTCACTATGAATCTGATAAATACCACGATACATTATACAATGTCACAGCGGGCCCAGTGTCAGGGCCGTGACGATTAACGGGCTTATAAAAAAGCCCTTTGCTCCACATAGACATTCCGTGATTCATTAGTGGCAGTCATTTCTTACGACAGCGAGAAGATGGAATTTTCCGAGCAAAACACGTTTTCACTCGGAGACACCATCCACCCATCAGTTTCCGAACGATACTACAACCAGAAATATAGAATAGGTAACAATACTCCATTTTACATCGAATTTCTTATATTTAATGCAGAATTGAATCGTTATATATTGTTATATTGAATTAATCACATATTATCGCCCACATCATTCAGCATTTGAAAGTGCCACCTCACAGTCAGTTATCCTGTTCCCGGACTATGGTCCTGTACTGAGCCCATACATTTGCCTGTACGATTACAACTTGGGAGAATTATCTACGCCCCTTTCACTTAAGAAACCTACCTCAATGCATTCTAGAACTCAAAATGTAACTTCTAATAGTCTATATTGGAACCGCCGATTGTCTGGGTTAGTTGGCAGAACGAGGTCTTTTTGTTTCTTATGGCTCTTTTGGTCGATGTTCGATTAAGATGGCGGTTATAACGGAATTTCCCGAACTCTTCCGTAATAGCACGAACTTGGTTTTTCGTTACGTCACTTCCGTGTAAAATGGATTTGTTTTCGGTAAGAAACATTGTTTAACCATTCGGTATACAGTTAAGAGCATAGGATGTCGACATGGCAGTAAATATTGAAAATATTGTCCGAAATTTTCGAAATTCCCTCTTACCGAAAACAAATCCATTTTACACGGAAGTGACGTAACGAAAAACCAAGTTCATGCTATTACGGAAGAGTTCGGGAAATTCCGTTATAACCGCCATCTTAATCGAACTTCGACCAAAAGAGCAATAAGAAACAAAAAGACCTCGTTCTGCCAACTAACCCAGACAATTGGCGGTTCCAATATATTAGAAGTAACATTTTGAGTTCTAGACTGCATTGAGGTAGGTTTCTTAAGTGGAAGGGGCGTAGATAATTCTCCCAAGTTGTAATCGTACAGGCAAATGTATGGGCTCAGTACAGGACCATAGTCTGGGAACAGGATAAACAGTCAGCACCATCTATCTAATATCTTATATAATAGAATGAAGTCCGGTAACTAACTTAGAAAAAAACAATTCTGAATAATTTTTTTCTCATGCCAGGGGCTTTGCTCAGTGATATCTTATGTTTTTTAACTTTCATATTTTTTTTTTTTGTAACTTGTCAGAAACGATTTCTTGACGATCTATAACTAGATATGAGGTCCTGTCCATGAGCAGAGTTTTGGCCCAAAAAGTAAGAAATATGTGCTTCAAGCTCAATATCTGCGATTTGCAAGCGATTCTGACCATGTTTTAAGGACAGGGTGCATGTTGGGAAATTTTCTGCATTCCTCAATTGAGTCACATGTTATTTTTCAAACATGAATAACTCCTTCCCCACATTGTCTACATCTTCCATGTTTGCACAAAGATTGCAATTATGCGCCTAGAAAAGCATTGTGAGAAGGTCTGTTTTGTAAAATGTATAAAAAATGAGAAAATTCAGTGAAAAAAATTTCTGAAAATTTTCTCATTTTTTTCACTGAATTTTCTTGTTTTTTATACACTTTATCAAAACATTCTTCCCACAAGTCTTTTCTAGGCACATAAGTGCACTCTTTGTGCAAAACTGGAAGATATAGACAATGAAGGGAAGGAGTGATTCTTGTTTGAAAAATAACATGTGACTCAATTGAGGAATGCAGAAAATTTCCCATCATGCACCCTGACCTTAAGTATCAAAATAATGCCCAGAGTATTGAGACTCAACTGAAGTTAAAAAATAAGGTAAAATATACACAAACTCAGTGATTATGACCAAACAAAAACGGGAGTCCAAACCGGAAGTCAGAGTGAAACTGCACTTTCAGTCGGATTGATAGTGCTCACTGTGTGCCACCTATATGCACAGGAACCTATATCAACACCTGACAGTGACATCTAGTGGTGACCAAACCCCAGAATTGGTGACAGAACCCTGGGAATATATTTCTTACAAGGAAAGTAACCATCACTGGAAAATCATGAACCCTTTTTAAAAGTTACAAAATTGTTATTTTTCTTTGCCTGTGAGTCTTCATATTTTCCCCGTTTGTTGAAAACATATCCAAAGACATGAAATTAGCATAAAATTTGATTCACCATCGATGGATTATGATAATTTGATGAATGAAGTGGGCCGACTTTTCGTACGACAAAACTATGGTTGCCCTGTGGTTCCAAAATTTCATTACTCACCTTTCATTCATTTATCGCTAGTTTCGGCATAAATAACAATTTGAAAATTGCAGAGATGCTTTATTCACATCTTTGGAATGTATTTGCAACTGAATTTCCATGTTTTACTGCTTTACTGTTTTACTTCGTTTGAACAGTATAATTTGCAATGTTTTTGTATCTGGGGGTAAGTTTAAAAATATTCTCAAATAAATGAAAACGAGGCTGTCCAAGTTACCCATCAAAAAAATTCAACTTAGTGCTCAGTTTTTCATCTCTATATCACTAGTTACTATTGGATATTTCATGCTCGATCAATTAGAATTTTATATATAAAAATATTGAGATCTGAGTACTTTTGTGACTTGACTTAACTTTTTCTTCCGAACCAAATAGGTCATCCTCGGGGTCAGCCTCGTTTTCGTTTAATTGAAAATGTTGCAAATACGAAAACATTTCAAATTGCACTTCAAGTGAAGTAAAACATGGAAATTCAGTTGCAAATACATTCCAAAGAAGTGGATGAAGTATCTCTGCAATTGTCAGATTGTTGTTTGTGCTGAAACTAGCGATAAAAGAACGAAAGGTGAGCAATGAAATTTTGAAAATTTTGAGCCACAACCGTACTTTTGTCGTAGGAAAAGTTAGCCAACTTCAATCTTCAAATTATCATAATCAATCGACGGTGAATCAAATTTTATGCTAAATTCTAGTCTTTTGATAGATCATGTTTTCAACAAACGGGGAAAATATGAAGGCTCACAGGAAAAGAAAAATAACAGTCTTGTAACTTTTAAAAATGGATTGGTTGATTTTAGGTCTAAACGAGGAGCTCATTTATAAGAGATATAGGGTTATAGACAGCTGTTCAGTCTCTATAAAAACTTGCGATTCTACCAAAATGCACCTCTGTTAGCTTCTTTGATACATTAGTTTGCCATAATTTTGTGTAAAATGAGAGTTATTATTTTTATTACGAAATTAGCGATGTGGGTCACATGGGCAAGTTTATTATGAAATTCATCACACGTACCCTGATATGGAGCCTTTGAATTGCTCATTTCAGGATTTTCTCTAAATAAATGATAAAGGATATCAAGTTCTAGAGCTGACTAACTTTTGGGCGGTCATCTTGGTTTTCGGAAAATCTTGTCATCGCCATTTCAGGAAAACCACTCATCAAATTTTCTCCAAATTCACACACACATGATAGAGGATATCAAGTTCTAGAGCTGATTAACCTTTGGGTGGCAATCTTGTTTTCTGGCGGCCATTTTGAAGGTTTTTAGGAAAATCTTGTCATCGCCATTTTATGAAAACCGCTTGTCGGATTATCTCCAAATTCACACACGTGATAGAGGATATCAACTTCTAGAGCAGATTAACTTTTGGGTGGCCATCTTGTTTTCTGGTGACCATTTTGAAAGTCTTTTAATGGTGTGATCTCATTCACGTCGTGTGCCTTGTTTACTCTAAAGGTAGTGGAGCGATTTTGTTCATATTTGGTATGTGAATACTATGAGCATGACACACTTTCTAATGACACTTTTGGTAGACGGCGCCCATTTTGATAAATGGCCGTTTTTCAATCAACGCACCCCATCAATATCATATTGCCCAAGGTCAATTTCATATTTTCCGATGAATAAAACCCATATTCAATCCGGACAAGAAATAACCTATTTATGTTCAAACAAGAGGAGGAAAAGCCCCAGAGCTTTAGCCATGACTGACATAATACGTCTCTTGCGTACCACCTTCGTTTGCGCAAATTCTCACCAGTTAATTATCGAACATAGCGCGTCGTCGTGATGTTTTAATCGATGTAAACATATTCATTACATATTACTTTATCTTGATGTGAAAAACCAAGCTATGATATTGGTTAATAATGATTGCTAGTGATATTTCTGATAATTTTGAGATTCATGTGATATTTTTCAGAGAAACATTTATCAACCACATATCAGTGTGATATTTGATCAACTCATTGATAAAATCTGATATTCTGTATTCATACAATGTTTACTGTGTTATTTCAGATATCAAGAAACAACCTGGTTATGATCAGTGTGTCTTATCTCATTCAAATAGGTATGTATTCATCTTATGGTTAGTAAGATATACATGTAGATATTGCATAATAGAGATTGTTTTAATGTGATCCCCCAATTTAGTACCCACGGGTGATGTAATGAGAGTTTTCTGTTTTACACCCGTGTGTTATAAATGAGGGTAGAAAGTTTTTTCTGATGATATTCAGTACAGAATGCCCTTGTGTTGCCCCCCCCCCTATTTTGGCCCAACAAACAGCCTCCAGTCCATGTGTGAAAGGTTCATCTTTAAGTTTTCTGCGTCACTGTATATATCCATCATCATCTGCTTGTGTGAATAACTATCTGACATTAATACTGTACTTCTACTTATTTTGGCGGATTTGCTTTTTTAAAGATTCTGCCGTTTATTATTTGCCGTAATTGCAATATTGAAAAATTTTGCGAACTTCAAAAGATGCACTTTTGAGCCCAATTATATCCATATTGCTATCTGTTGACTTTTGTTTAACTGCCAAATTAAGTTGAAGTGTAGTGTATGATATGGGAACAATTTTGTCGAGTCCCATGTTGGAATCCCATTGTTCAAATTTTTCATCTGAGCCTTTTTAATGAGATTATTTCTCCCCTGTGAACACTTGACTCATCATTGTGGTGTTCAATTTGTGTAGGTTTTATTGTTGTAGTATAAAAGCAGGGATATTTACATTCCAATAATTGTTGGTAAACAACACTATAGATTAAGGTGATGATGACGTAAGTTTTGTAACCATAAACTCCCGATGTTCATAAGTTAAAAGAGCCGCAGTCACCTTGATACAGGGCACAACAATCTCAAGTATAAAAGTCACCCAGTTGTTGTCTGCGCCCTTTGTCTTTTACCTTCCAATGTTTTTTCTTTCAAATTTATATGATTTTTCTTTAAATTAATCACTTGATGGATGGGACTTTTGAAGTATTGAATGTCATTGATTTTGACACATTTGGCATTTCCTCTATAAATTACAGAACTACACTACATGTATTTACAATAACATTTTAAAAGAAATTCTGCAATTCTTTTCTGGAGGATTGACATTTGACCCATTGACAAATTATTGGCATCTTGATACTTAGTGATTAAAGTACAAAATTATAAAGGAGTTTTTCTGTCCATATGTTTTTTTCCTCATGTATGGACATCCCCGATTTTAATTCGAGTCTACTGAATCTTGATTGTGGACATTTTGCATGTTAAATCTTCAATGTATTCTAAATTTGAACATCAAATACCTCGATTTTTTACAGAAAATACATGTAAATTTAGGATTGTAAGGGAGAAATTGGCATGTTTTTTGAAAATATTGCTTCAAACATTGTATTCTCTCAGTCTCTTCCAATCCCTTTAAAATACATAATTAACAAAATGATAGAAATGTCCGTTTTTGTTTTAAATGTTTTTTCATGTATGTACAGGGTGGGTCTAAACATTGATTTTGTGACATTGGGGTCATTTTTACCTGTACACTGTATCATATAGCATTTTAAAGATCTCTATTATGATTTAAAAGTATTTAATGTGAGCATTATTTCAGCTGTTTATATGGGCATGGGGAGCAAGATATAATCCATGCCTGTATGTGGGAGAATTTAATGAGCATTACAGTACTCTAGTTATATATAAGTAATCAAAATTATCAAACTTATATAAGTAATCAAAATTTAACAAATCAAATAAAAGGGAGATGGAAACTAATAGAAAAATGAATGTTATTGTGTCAACATATTCACACCGGAATAGCCTGACAACAGTAAAGTCAGATACCCTTGTCACAAATGGCGGACATAACCGTCTTTTCAATTAGATTTTCATGAACTGTATGTTTAATAAAGCATCTAGAATATATTCTTTTGGAACAACAATCAATCAAAGTGTCTTAATACTCATTGTACAATTAATAAAGTGTTTAATTTAACCAATCAAAATGAGATACTGGACAACGTATATTACCATATGCCGTTGTCTTTTGTCTTTCTAAATTACACAAATTCAGATTCCATTGTCATTGACGATATCGAAGATGCTATATTGTGGCGATTCACGACCCAATTTGATCAAAGATAGGATTTCATATGAAACATCATCCCAAGAGCTTAATACATGCAGAGAATTAGCTACGATAAAATCCCATGAAATGAGGACCAAGTGATTAAACAGTTGAAGCAACGGTTATGTCCGCCATTTGTGACAACGGTATCTGACTTTACCCTTGTCAGGCTATTCTGGTGTGATATTGGGGCTAGGCATATTTTCTATCAATTTCCTTTATAAACATAATGGTACATCATATCATAGATCAACTATCACAGTATACTGCTAAATGTTTCATCATATTTTGTTAAAAAAAATCTAAAATGGCCTCGTTTTTAATGATATGAATTATCTATCTGATGATTGACATGCAAAAATACACAACAGTGTCAACTTGCATATAACTTTGTGTTGGCATTTTGTGACATTATTTGGGAAATATACACCTATTGGACAAAAAGGAGAGTAACTGTGTATCCAGTCTTACATTTGGGTACATAATGTTAAAATGTCTTTCTGGTGTTTTACGAAAGTAGCATGGAATGTTTGAACTTCACATGTTTCATTAATAAAATCTTATTTGTTTCAGGGTTTGTTTGGTAACCATGGCAGCTTCACATGACTTAATAACATCTGGAAGAATTCCAAAGCAGATAGATTTCAAGATCGATGATAAGACAGATAGAACGGCAAATAAAGTCAGTGGTAAAGGCAAAAAGGTAATATCAGAGATATAAGTACTATTTGATACGCAAAAAGGGACTAGATCAGCATTGTTCAAAACATAATTAATTGTATCTCAGATCTACCCCCTCCCTCTCAAATAATTTTATATTTGATGAACACAAAATACTTAAATCCCCTTAACATTACATTTTCTTTTGGTATTACTTAAACAAGTGTGTTGATATCCCAAATGTTGGATTGTGGGACCAATTTCTCATCTTTATTTTACCCCAATTAGAGTACATTTCTGACTTGGGAAAAAGCTAGGGCAAGGTGCAAGGCCAAATCTTCCCTACTTATTCTTGAAGAATGTAGACAAATTAGATATTATTACATTCAGTGTTACGTTGGTAACACCTCATTAATTGCAACACTAATTCAAAGAATTTATTTTTACTCGGAATACGTTCTTTTTATCTAAATGAGTTCAACTTGACATGTATATGATAATCTGGTTTGTTGTGTTTTTTCTTTGCCTCTTTAACATCATGATATGCCTCACCATCTCCATGGGGAGCCTCATCAAGATGTGCCTGCTTGTCTATAATATATTTTGTACTTGAAAATCCAGACCGCACCTCTGCAAAAAACTTATTGCACAGATTTAACACAGGTTAAGTAAAAGTGTCTGTTTATAGCTGCATAAAACTGGCTCATATTTCCCTAAAACGATCATTAATGAAAAAAATCCCAGTCATCAGGTGGTGGTTATCTCCTTCAACATGTGAAGGGACATTTAAAACTGATATGGAGATGTTCTTATTGTAAAGATGGCGTTTATATCACAGTGGTAAAATTGGATGTGCAAAATGTGTTAAGTGAATTGTTTTTAATATCCGGGAGATCTGCAAAGTGCAAGTAAAATACAAACAAACAAGCACACAGAAACCTTCAAGGGTTACAAGAGTCAAAATATTGCTTTCATCATTGTAAATATTAAATTGTGGACCAAGTCTTTAGTGATGTACCATTTGCCGCAGAAAAGAGTGTAGAATTGACACCTAGTTCTTCTATGTTTTTTTATTTTGTTTGTTTAATATATTGCTATTTGTCTCCAACTTTTTTTGTGGATGTTCGGTGGTTGGTGGTCAGAGGTTGGCATTCTGCGTCTGTAACAAATGACAGGTGGTGAAATTTTGCATGTTAATGCCTTGTTTCAATTTTGATACCAACAAGATGTTAACATTTTGGAATAGATATGAGATGAAACTATATATATATATCAAAAATGTCATTAAAATATTTCTGAGCAAATACAGGCCCTAATATATCAAGATATCCATGCCTCTGTAAATTCTTTTTGGTGCAGTTTTCTGAATCAACAGGTATCAGTTCAATATATTTCAACATTTATCTCTGCGAATTCCAAGCACTTAACACATATCATTGTATTATGAGGTAGCAGGTATTTAAAGCTCTTGCTAAACATTTCAAGAGCCGAAACACTCAAGTAAGGTAGTATCCTGACTTTTAATCTGTCACTCTTGCTGTTATATTTTCTCTGATTTTCTCTCTAGATCTGAGATGAGCATTACCTATTATCTTTACTTATTGTGATATGACCTGCTGCCACAATTCAATGTTTTCAAAATGTCTAATTAATATGTCATATATTTGTTTATTAACCAATCAATTTACTGTAATATTTCATTCCAAGGCCATCAGCTGTTCTGTGTACTTTAGCATTTTGTCCGGAATTTCACTCAAGATAATTCACCTTCTATGTGTCATAATTATGAAGCCCCTTATTCAAACGATAAGATAAAACAGTCACTTCTTCAAATTGTTCAGCTTATTGCAACTTTTCAGCATTTCATTCCATTTACCTGGAGGTAAAAAGCAATAAAAGATTTAAATTTTCATTTTCTTCAGTTTCAGTATAAATGTGCACCTTGAATTAACCATAGACAAAATCGATCAAGAATTTTTAGTTTAAAAATGATATTTGATATTGTTGCAACTTAAAACTAAAATGCCGGACTGAAATAAATTTTTAAGTTTGTTTCTATGTTATTAAGGAGGTTTTGGTAAAAGTAAACATTTTACTTATATAACTTATAGATATTTGTGTAAGAAGTCATCAATGGGCCAATCAGATCATACCCTGCGCACAGAGTCTAGTTAAACTACACTCTGCCTAGTAGAGACCATATTACAGTTTAGTAGCTCCGCCCCCACAACGGGTACCGGTGTCAGTTTGGGTTATAAATCACTTCTGACCTACGCGCTGACCTTCCTTCCACCAATCAGCGAGCTTGAAGAAATATACGCCAAATGCGTGCTAATTAAATATGCGCATGTCATTCGCTAATTCCGGGCTCAAGGATGACGTCAGAAGGAATGACCATATATAGAATGTCGGTCAAATTTGACTGACGAACACTGATTGACGCGGTGAGTTCACAGGTTTATTTTAGTTTGAAAGAGTGAAGACGAAGCTCTCTTTTAAGAAGTGAAGTCAAACGAATGCAAAGGGTAATCAGATCACAGACATTTACACACTTTTAGTTTAAACTCACTTTTGCAACATTTTCAATAACCTGGCAAGAATATAATTAATTAATTATGAATTCATATTCTAAGAATAATCAAAAAATGTAATCATCTATAACTGAAAAAGATAAATTGTTCTTGAAGAGAAACATTAACCAAACATGTCCTGGAGGATTCTGTAAAATGAAATACTTTAGGGTTTTAAGACATGGCTCAGTTAATAGTGAAATGGCGTCTGTATGCTTTTAGTGACGCACATGTCCGTCACAAATTAGAGAACCCTGGACAAGTCTGCGTCTTGTGTTTAGTATTGTCTGGTACTTAAATCATTGCTTCAAGCACTTCAAAACTTGACAATTCAATTTGTAGTACACGCTTAGCCAGGGAGTAACATTTTGACAGACAGTTAATAATCCAGCCTCAGATAATCCAAAACATAACAGTAGCAGTTGCTATTTATTCTCCCCAATTAGCCCCATCCCACTTTTCATCTTGCAAACTATCTAAACAAACTTTTTTATTAATGGAGTTAGAGTCAAGGAGGTCAGCATACTGCTGGGGAAATCAGCTGGAATTTTGAAACCAATCAGCTGTTCAACCAATCTATGATTTTCTCCCCTTCTGTTAGGTTTCAGTATTTTTCTTTCAAGACTGCTTCTTAATTTACAAGATTGATATAACCGGTAATTAAAAAGATGTAGGATAATTGTAAAACCTTCTTGACTTAAATTACGGCTTTTGTCATGCAATTTCATTTTGAAATTATGAAAAATGACATGATATTTTTAGTGTGTTATACTATTGTGGAGTAACTCCACTTATAAAGTCAAGTATCTGAAGTAAAACTAAGTTACATAAACTGGATAACCAACAAGTCCAAATGCACTCGCTCAAGAAGATTTATAAAAATTCATACTTCATTATTCCTTTTCCACAAATAATTAAATTGGAAATAAGTGTGGTTTCTTGTAAATATGCCAAATATCATTTTATGTTAATTTATTGCATGTAAAGATGTGATCTCTTGATTCCTGTTGTAATCGGATGAATCTGGTTTGGATTGGTTATGTGGCATCACAACCTATTAGCCTATATGAATCTGTAATCTAATTGAAAAATATTAGATTCAATCATTGTATTTATCGTATGATCTGTAAAATGAAGCCCTCTGATTGGTCAGTTCTTGTGCTGTACCAATCTGTATTGCTACTGTGATTGTCCCCATTGATTATCTCCGCAGCGATACAGAAAATATTTGTACTGAGTGGACAGTATCAGAAGCAATACAGAGAATACAGAATATTTCTAAAGGATTATCTCCTTGGTGAAATGTATTGGCCTAAAATCATATGATAAAAACGTTCTAGAATGATTTGAAGTGCAATACAGGATATATTCTGCCCTCGATATCGACTTCGTCTCGGTCCAATAAAGAATTTTTCGAGCAGAATATATCCTGTATTGCACCTCAAATTATTCAATAACTTAAAGTATTTATTTGATATTCCATCGTTTTACATGTAAAATAACACAGCAAGTCCTATAATTAAGGAATAAATAATGAAAGGCCATTCAATATGGTGAAATTCAGTAATTGTACTGACATTTTGTCCAACGAGTGTAGAATTTCACCATATTGAATGGCATATCATTATCTATTACTATTCAAACATAAAAAATGAAAGCATTGTTCAGAGAATCTGGGATTGAGGTTCATGAAATAACCAACTTGCTATTATTTTTGCTATTCATACATACTGTGCATGACATCACAATATAATACAATGCATATATCCATACAGTAAAACCTGTCTAATCCGAACACCATTGGGACCAGCTTAAAGTGTTTAGATTAGGAGGTGTTCACATTTTGAGGTTTTTGCATTCGCGAGATTCTGGATTCTGAAGAAATGTGAACACATTCTCGGTACCTTTTTATAGTTCATTTGACCACATAGCTTTATGGCATTTCAGAAATTTGAAAATTCGATTCAAATGAATCTAGTCATGCTGAAAAGCCCTATTATAATCAAGACCATTCAAGTTTTTTCCCCAAAGTTTTGATATCATAACAATACTTGAGCAATTTTGTATGAAACATGTGAAATTTTATGAAGAGTGTTCAGATTAGACAGGTTAATTTGACTGTCCCCTGTTCAAATTGAGAGGTGTTCACATTTCAAGTTATTTTTAACATGGGAGTCAATGGGAGGAAAAAATGGGACCGAAAAAAAGTATTCAGATTGGGAGGTGTTCGGATTAGCCAGGTGTTCAGATATACAGGTTCTACTGTAGTTAAAGAACAGCTATGCTGCATTCTGATATGAGATTCTAATATGGCATGGTCATGTTTGAATTAGATTCACAACATTTGCTCAAACATTTTTGTGAATAATCAAGATGTTAGATTTCAGTGTTTTAATTTTGGCTTCCTCTTGGTCAGATTATCGATTTTTATGTCACCACCACAAGTGTTGACATTGTTTATTAGTCTCCAACTTTTTTGTAGATGGTGTTCAGTTGTTGATGTTTGTTGTTCGGTATTTGCCTTCTGTAACAAATGACAATTGGCGACATTTAGAGTCTTAATGTCTTGTGTTAATTTCTTTGATGTATGATTGTCTCATTTCTGTTGCTATGAATAACTGTGTTGACAGCACAGTTTACAATATATCATCAGGTTGCCCATCCGTCTTGTTGATTGACGTAAAAAGCAGTAGGGCATTAATTAGTGTTTTGATAAAACATGGTTAATCACAAATATTTATGTTGCATAATGAAAACCAGAAAGATTAATACTCGTACATGTCTTGCTATTAATAAATATTTTCCAGCTGGTTTTTCTTTTGATTAAATTATGGTTTTTCCATCAAAGATAATAAAGTGGAGTAGAGATGATAACATTTTCAAAACCATCTTATTATAAAGCATCTGATTTTTGCCTTACAGATGCAAAAAAATTCCAACTTCATTTGAATAGACTAGATACGAGTAGAAATAATCTTGATTTACGTCATTAAATATTCAAAATTCAGTCAAAGTGATGTCACATTTGAAATCTGCATGTAAAAGTACATTAAAGGGAACTTTCTACTTTATCTGCCATGCTATCTGACTCGAACGAGCCATCTGGTGGTGAATCTGATAACTACCTACTCGCATCTGCGTTATTGAAGAAGGATCATTCTGAATTTAAATCATAAATGTTGGACTTGACAAGGAATGTTGACAGTAAATTGTGACAATTTTTTTGAAACTTACTTTCAACTTGTGTTTATCCTTTCCTGTCCCTTTAATTCCTAGAAATGTTTGAAACCTGCTTTTCTCATGTTTATTATATCATATGCAGACACATACATACTTAACATTTGAAGAAGTCTTTTTTGCAATTCATCTCCTAACCTGGATGCCACCTGTACATTTTCTTGTTACCCCCTGCATGTATATTCTTGATTTATTTGACAATTAGTCTACTGCTGTTTGGCTAGTTATCTTGCATCATCCCCTCCCCCCATTTAGCCCCTTATCCCGCTCCCCATCATGCTCTTAGGCAAACACATTTTCGAACAGATTTTCAGTAGCACGTTCGTTTTGAATTTTCAACAGAGTGCAAGTGTACTTAATTCCAGCTAGTGCATATTTACTAAATATATGTATTGTGTATCTTTGTAAACGATTAAGATAGTTTCAAATGAAATGAATTTTTCCAGGGGGCCCAGTGGCTTACAGAGAACTCCCCCCTGTGTCGTGTGACATGCACTGATGGTACAGAATACATACTTTATAGCTGCCTGAGGGGTCATCTTATGGAAATCAACGAGAGACTGTACAAAAATCCTACCTTATTAATAGAAAAGGTGAGCATGAATCAAATCAAATCTGTTAACGCAACAATTTCTGTTTTTATATAGATAATGGGCCTTAATAGTCATCAGAAGCATGGCTCTGATTATCCTTTGTGAAATTTAAGGATGAAAGAAGTGATAAATATTTCAACTTGAAATTATCAATGTACTTTTTGAATGTTTACAAATCCACATGTTGATGTTACAATTTGATAATGGGGTCGATCTTTGATTGATCAGTCAATGTTAACTATGAAATAGGAGACTGATGTATGAGTTTATTCAGCCGGCATTTTTAAAGGTGAAATGGTTATGGCACCCTTTGTTGTCCTTTAAAAAATTCTTATTTTCCTCTTAAAAGTGAGGAATGACAAGGAATTTAATGAAACTAGCATTACATTAACGTGAATTCTCTAACTTGTTAAGATTAGTCCAGCTTGAGGCGTTTTACTGATAAGAAAAAAAGAAAAATATTTTCAAACAGAATGAAAACATTCATCTGGATTAGTAGTCTGTGCACTGGTTGCGAGACATACAGCTGGAGGAGAAATCATCTCACAAAATATCATGGTATTCATTTTGTACATACGAGGGTTGATTCAAAAGTTCTGCACAGTTTACTCAATACTTATGAATATTGTTCATATTTGGCCACAGTCACCCCATATATAGTAATTTCATTTAATGTAAAAATAAGACATGAATTTGAACAGTAATATAGGTGTCTGGTTATCATAGCAATGTGACAACAGAGTATGTCTAAAATATGTTGCTCTCTTGCTCCACATGCCCTGTTGTCACATTACTGTGGTAACCAGACACCTGTGTTACTGGTCAAATTCATGTTTTTACACAAAATGAAACTACATGTACCAGATATGGAGAGACTGAGGACAAATATGAATAATATTCATAAAGTATTGAGATTTTTAGAGAAAAACGTGCAGATTTTTTGAATCAACCCTCGTACTTAAAGTAGATCGCTGGAATTAGAAAGTACAGAAAGTTCTAAATGCAGATGATCATATTTTTTAAGTATTAAGATATGTAAAAAGAAATTAGACTCCTCATTTTAATTTTTTAAAAGATATGTTGTAAAACAGGAACAGTCAGGATGCCCTTTGTAGCATATTGTCAAGATTTCTGTTCCTAAAGCATTATTTTCTTTGGATTGTTGCCTTTTGTTCCTTTTTGGGCACTTGGCATTTACCTGGTGTAAAAGTGCATACATTCCAAGTTTTGACACCTTTCAAAACAATAATGCATACATTAAAACCTGGCCTAGGGGGATAAAAAGAATTTATCCGTCTGAGTTACGCAGAAATAGTATTCCAGGCACTGGACTGGATTCAGCACGATCACTGGGACTGCACTTTTCAAATATGTTACCGAAACGAATCTGCTCAAATAGTTCAGAAGACGAAAAAATCATCAATACCCCACTTTTGCTACATAAATGGAACTTCAAAAATGGTTAAGATCTGGAATTTTTACTAGGTACCATTTACGCTTTAATAGTGAGGTATTGTATTGACGATTCTGGAGTCTTCTGAACTGTTTGTTCGCAAACATACAAATTTTCTTATTATACTGCCCCACGCTTATGATAAATATGTCATGGAGATTCTACCTACAACTTGTGAAATAAGGAAAAAAGAAAAATCTCACCTTCGAGGTTCCAATATTTTGTTACCAAAGTGGATGCATTTTGGTTACAAAATATGTAAATCAAAACTAATGACACTGTGTAGAACATCTATATGCTACTGATGCATTTTGATGAATTACATATCAATATGACTGACACCCCCTTCCCCCTCCTTCTTTAAAATTGAATTGAACACAGTTGTTAATTTTTCAAATTGCAAGTTGCTTTTGACCCCCCCCCCCCAGACCCTTCATCCAAGATCGTGGAAAGGTGTTAAAAGTGCTGTGGCCCAGTGATTTACTTAATGGACCTGTGTACTTGGAACACCTTCTTTTTGGTTCATTAGGTGAAACACTTATTTGGTAATTACAGGGTATAAGAGAGAGGGGTTTACTTACTCCACTCATTTTACTGTGGATGCATATTTTATTTGTACAGACACTGATTTATAACACTTTGATTTATTTTTCATAATAACAAAGGGTTTTAAGTAGCCTTTCACTGTTGTTATTATAGTATCAAGGAGTGGACATTAAGTCAACAATGATTGGCAATTGGATGTGTATTATTTAGATATGCATTATTATCTTTTGTATTATTTTTGCCAATCCCAAGCTTTAAGCTTCCATGGTTGTGACACTAAATTGTGTATGTAGTGTCACAAATAATCTTTGTGTTACAAGATTATATCACGTTATATTGCACAAACGTCCGTTTTAGTTTTTAATCGTGTATATTGTTGTTATGAAATACGCAGTCAGATGAAAGTGTCATTGCCCCAAAAAGCAATTAACATGCATATGAATTTCATCCAAATTATTACAAAACTTATTGAGCAAATTTATAGTTGTATACCATGCCCTTTTTGTAAAAAATTAAGAGAGTGACAAATCAGAAAAATGTCACAACATTGTTGTCACCCTGTCTCAAAAAATCATAAGTGCTCCCCATTTATGCTTTATGTGTATCAGGTGGGTAATATATCAAATATAAGTAAATCTGCATCTGGTTTCAATGTCACTTTTGTCATATTTATTTTGCTTTACAGATGCTGTATCATATCAGCAGAGATTGTCAAAATTGGATTATAAACAATTGCTTTTGTTCGTTCTGTACGCGCTGAAAAATTCAGCTGCTCCACATCAAAATTGACTTATGTCAGGCCTCCTGACCAGGACTTATGTCGAAAATTAATTTTCAGATATATAACTGAAAATTCAATAATTCATTGATTGTCTCTAGTATTGTTGTTGAATGTAATCTAAATTTTATAGTACTTTGGTATATTTTGTTAAAATTGAAGTTCTTTGGTAGTTATACTTGTTCTTTTTATTAAATGTTCCCTCAGATATAATGGACACATCTAACTATTCTTTAGTGCATTCTAATGTGACAGATATCACGTTTATATCCAAGTATTATGCCAGTAATGAACTTAAGTTTGGACATTTATGACTTGGTGCCTAGATCAAGCAGCTGGGGAGACAACCGGCACTTATATTGAATGCTTAAAATGCTCCCTTGGCCTAGGCCTACTTAGTCACTAATGTCAGTATCTGTTTTTTATCGCACTTTGAAAAAGTGCTATATGCCGTTGTCTTGTCCTGAAATAAAAATATTACCATAATGTAAATATTCAAAAGATAACATTTCAATCTACACTATGTAAAAAATCAATATTGTTGGCGACATTGAAAACGTTGAAATAAGCCGATGAACTTCATTCTCCAAACCGAGAATTGTCCTATTTCCAGGATAACCGCTTACATGTTCAAGATGAACATGCAGATTAATGCCAAGTTCTGATTAGGCTCAGGGCATGCTGGGTAAATTACTTGGTGGCCATTTTGAATTTTTCCATAAATCTTGTCATCAAAATTCCAAGTAAACCACTGTTTAAGGTGCCATGGAAGTTAACAGGAAATGACAAAACAAAAAATGACAAAACCATGCTGGATTTTGAAAATTTTTTGAACCAATATAACCGAGTTCTGTTTGGACCTCCAGTCAGTTTAACAAGTTCCATATATCATTTACATGACCGGGAACACAATGGAAATGGTCAGAATGACCATAAACATGATGAAATAACCCTTTCAGCCCTCTGAAAATGTGACTGAAAAATAGCTAAGAGTAGGTGCTCAGGACAGGTCAATGAACAGAATCTTTTGATTTTTTCAGAAAATGTGCCCAATATATTGCTCTAAATTATACAATCTTTTGAATTTTAAAAAATTGTCCGAATCAATTTTTTAAATACATCGATTTTCAATTCAGTTTTTTTTTCTAAGAATGATATCAATTTTTTTAAATTTCAAAATCCAGCATGGTTTTGTCACTTTTTGTTTTGTCATTTCCTGTTAACTTCCATGGCACCTTAATTTGAAATTTTTACAGATGCAAGAGCAAACTAGTGCCAAGATTTAATTAGGTTCAGAGCATTCTGGGTAAATTACATGGTGACCATTTTGGTCTTCAAAGTGCGATATTTATCACTGTGTGTCGTGTATCACTGTTTTTTGTGTGATTAGGACGTTGATGTTAAGGTAGATGTACTTCTTAGAAAGGCCAGCAAATAAAGGTCTTCATTCTGCATTTTAGAAAAAAAGATTGCAGTTTGTAGAGGCTTGCAGACACAGAAGTTGTACATCTGCTTCTACTATACTATAGCAGCACCTATAAATTTTTTTCACATGTTGCAGCATACAAAGCACATGTTGAGGTTGCATGAAGTCTCTGGACCCTCTGGTTCTGTCTACTTAAACTTTATGCATATATGACGCTTTTCGTAGTTTGATACCCTACCTAATTTAAACTTTCATTGTGTGTTTTCAGCCAGAGACAGATGGTTACTTGGCCATTGTGATGCCAAAACTTGTGGACTTTAAATCTCAAATTGATAAACTTCTCTCTATTGAGCAGTACAAAACTAACATTGGACAACGAAAAGATAATTTAACAAAGGATACAGAAACAGCAAATGAAATAGACAATACCAATGATGTTACTTGATGTTATGGTTCTCTACCATTTTCAACAAAACAAAACAGTATTATATCATCATATTGAATTATTCTGTCAGCAATGTGACTACACTTTTGTAATTGCCAGCTAGGTGATGACATTTTGTCATGTTAATATATTAATAATTCTATAAAATTGCACTATTATTTCTATTAGTATATTATATTATATAATGATGACTTTTGATTTAATACCCAAACAAATAATAAATTTTTTGCAGAGATATTTGTTTTTAAAACTTTATGTCAGCCTGTTCTTGAGTGAGATTCTGTCCGTCCATAAATAAGGGGATAAGTCAAACAAATCATAAATCATGTAATTTTTGGCTCACATATATTGCATTGAATTACCTATCATTGGTTCATCTATCTGTCCATTTGTAAGAATTCTACACTCTGTGTAGAGTTGTCTGTAACTTCTGGTAATGTGTGTCTTACTCTCCCATCGATCAAAGTTTGTGGATATAGAGAACAGCTTTGTTTAAATGTATACATATATGCCCCATGTGAGTACAAGTTCAGTTGAAAGCCAATTTTCAAAATGGCTACCAGTTTCAGAATGGCCACCACTTCAGTGTCAATATTCAATTCTTTAGGTACAACATATAAAACTGTAATATTAATATGTCTTAAATGCAGAAATTAATATTGGATATTGATTAAGTTGAAAATTGAACATTTTTGGCCATTATACGCTTATGAATTTTGCTTTTGAAGGAAAAGTACTTGAGCCATGTTTGATATGTGAATACTTATAAGCATGGTACTCTGTATTATGACATTATGGCATTTTGTGCATTTAGATTTTATGTATCCTATTTTACATTGTTGCTGGAAAAGTAGTAGGGCGATTTTGTTGAAATTTTAAATGTACTTTCTGAGAAGCATATTACACTTTTCAAGAACACTTTGCTGGTACGTGACCATTTCTACATTTGTTATTTTACATTTTTGCTATAACTGAAAATCTAGTGCAACGATTTTGTTGAAATTGTATGTTTTAGAAGAATATTACATTGTTTAATGATAATTTGGCTAATAGATAGCCATTTCCATTTTCTAAATTCTTTAAATTTTTTAATGACTTATTTTCATTTTACATTCAATCATTTCATCATTTCAATCAAACCTTAGGGGGTCGATTTAGGGAGATTTTGGTAGATCATTTGCCATATAACACTGTTCCTCGTTCCCTGTTGACAGGTGTTCTTTACAAAGAGGGCCCATTAACATGTAAGACAATAGATAACATTTGGTTCTTTTGAAAAGGCAGAGGCATTCCTTACAGAAATGTGTTCCATCGGACAGGTTTTACTGTATATTAAAGTTAAAAATTACCTAGGCTATTGTTCTCTAACTTTGATGTTATTATATTCATGGTTAACTCATCCTTGGCCCAAGGATATTCTTCTTTCCATACTTAAAACAGTTGATTTAAGAATCCTTACCTTCAACATTTCTATTTATGACCCACTTTTTGATGAGGATTTACTATTACAAATGCTATTTTGATCAGAAGCTCCTACTTATATGACTTTCTATGTCAAGTGCACATAGTTCATAATAAATCAAAAACTGGTTTTGCTAACCTTCCATTATATTACAATCCACAGTTGTGTTCTATCAAATATTATGTGCATAATATTGTATTGCTATTATTCTTTTGAAATGATCATAAAATACATCATTAGGTAATAGAACATACATTTGGGGGATTTTTTAACAAGATGACTTCATAAAAAAATTCATAACAATGATGATTTTTGCTAAAACTTTGTTTTATTTACTGCAAAAGTTTTCAATATTTTGTACTTGCATATTTTTATAACAATGATGCTTATATTACATTAATCTATTTGTATATACATTGTATCTATGTATAAAAATACAGTGTCCCAATCAGAGAAGACATTCATCCAAATTTGTTCACTTCACAAAAGTTGGCTGATTCAGTGAATGTTAAAAAGCAAAACAACCTTATAGAAATATCTATCTTGTTTTGAACTTGACATCTCTTTGACTCTGCCAACAGTCACATTTAGTTGATTAATTTACTCAAATTTGAAATATTTTGATTAATCTATTTTACAAGTTTTATTTTACCAAGTTGCTGAAAAATCTCAACATATGAGTTACATGTATCGCATACAATTTGCATTTTGTCCAGCAAATATTTCTGTCCTGAATTTTCAAATCAGTTCTCCTTGAAAATGTATTTTATCTTGCTTTCAGCATTCAGTAAAAATACATGTTTTATATAAAACAAAATACAATAGAATCAAATTTGGGTCAATTACATCATGAAAATATGTATTCAATAACCCAAACTAAATCCCAATATAATTCGTTCCCTTATTTAGCACCAATTCACCAACTGAAATACTGAAATGCATACTTTACCCTGCTCCCTTTTAACTGGTTCTTCCGTCAAGCTTTTTTCTAGTTAAGGCTTATACATTCATTTATCACCTCTAGCCACTGTACATCCATTACAAATTATATCAAAAAAAAAAGTTAAATAAAAGTACTTGGTCACTCATTTTCATCTCGATTCCTTGATGAGATTTTCTCATTTTATTGATAAGTTTGACCATCATTTTTCTAACTCTTCAGTTCTTGGAGTGACCCATCTTTCATTTATTTTTTTCGTATACCAAAGCTAAAAATAATTTGAAATGGGATTTATACATAAATATGAACTATTTGCACCTTTTGTAATTACTACTACATGTATATACAGTCAATATCACCAGTTAGTCTGTGAGATCGGACCTACTCCTATCGGTCATGATGTATTTCTAGTTGTGGAAATTGTAGAGTACATTTACTGTACAGCTACTTCATTTAATGTACAACTATTGTACAGTTCTTAATTGTTTTACAGCTGGTTCATATGAAATTACTGTTCGTTCATTCAGTTACTGTACATTTAATCATTTATGTACAGCATGTTCTGTAACTGAACAGTTCAAACACGATGTACAGCACGTTCATCATTTGAACATTCATTTACTGCGCAGCTGTACAGTACGTCCATCAATTGTGCATTCATTTACTCTGCAGCTGTGCAGTACGTTCATCAATTGTTCGTTCATTTATTGCGCAGCTATGCAGTACGTTCATCAATTGTGCATTCATTTACTTTGCAGCTGTACAGCACGTTCATCAATTGTGCATTCATTTTTTGCAGCTGTGCAGCACGTTCATCATTTGAACATTCATTTACTGCGCAGTTGTGCAGTACGTTTATCAATAATTGTGGATTCATTTATTGCGCAGCTGTGCAATACGTTAATCAATTGTGCATTCATTTACTTTGAAGTTGTGCATTACGTTCATCAGTTCATTCATTTATTGCGCAGCTGTACAGCACGCTCACTTTGTGTACATGACGTTCAGTTTATTGTACAACACTCTAATTTATTGTACAGCATATTCATTAATGTACACAATGTCTATTTACTGCAAAGCACATTGTATAGGCTACTGCTTAGAATCCCCATGTACTGTCAGACTGTAAACCAATGTTTGTCGTGACGTTCGAATGGACGTATTCATAGTTTTCTTAGGTGCGTAGGTCGTTTTGGAGCACTCTTGTGAGGAATTACTCGATCACTTGGAAACTGAAGGATTGCAAGTAAAAGCTGTTTTTCATAAAGGTCACAGTTTAGTATATTATCCCCCATCCAAAAGCTTGAGGCGATATATGTATTGAAAGCACGAGGTTCTTGGGTGACTTAGTCTGTCTAAATCATGAGTTATGATTGTGGTTTTGTATCGTGAGCGTCCATTTCGTTTCTGAGTCATTTTCACATTGCATCTTTTATGACATTCGTTTCTTTTGCGTCTCTTATATAATCAGTACAGTGGTAGGCCTATGCCCGTGTAAACGAGTCCGATTCGTGGCATATGATGCAATATGATCATGAACACGTTTTATTTTGTCACCGCAGCATATTTCGTTCAGAGTCTTATGCATCGCCCCTGTTTATACACATTGACATCTTTCTACCACCATATCGGAAAGATCGGCAATCTTGATTGTCTGGGAGACGTTGTCAGCAAAGTATAACATCGAAATTGGTAAAAACTTCGCAGGCGTACAACAAGGCCCGGTTGCGTCACTTGAGATATTTAGCGCGTGTTGCTGTTGTGTCACGTGAGTGTGGAAGTAGGTTTGCATGAACTGGTAGGGGCAGTCTCCAGTACAAAAGTAAGCCTCGTAGGTTTTTGGTGCGATGACAAAGTCCCACTGGAAGGCTTGGAAGTCAACGGTTAGAGAATGGCGACAGCAATGGTTAGAGTTGGCGTATTCTGAGCATTCACGGTTATGAATCATTCTCTTTTTCCTGTACATCTTCTTCTTCTGAATTGTCATATAAATCGTCGGCCTCTGAAAAATATAAATTGTTACCATGAATGCAACAGTTCATAAGATATGCCCTTGATTGGATATATGCAAGTCCTTTGTCTTGAATTCCACGGAGCATTTATCTGAAATGTATTGTTCATTTTTTGTTACAATAGTGATGTAAACTTTAAAGTGTGCGTCAAAATTAACGGAAATCCTCCCTTTTGGGTTGTCAATTTTTGATTTTCCAATGCTCGAATCTAACAATGATATTATATAGTAGTATTATCAACTTTTAAATGCCTTTGATTTGAATGGAAATCTCACAACGAACTAAAATTCCTCATTTGGATAGGAAAATGTAGGATATGCTAGTAGGCTACTAAACAGCAATATCACTTTCTTTGGTCAAGGGCTGCAAAGTAATTCTCTTGAAAGCCCATTCTTTGGTTTAAAATAAAAACAGTGACTGCCATTTTGGAATTGGAAATTGAGCACACTGACTGACGGACGCATGGACTCTTTTTCATTAGCAAAAGAGACTAGACTAGACTAGCGAACTGAACTTCGTCGTTTGGATACTTAACTATAACTTAATATGAAACCTACCAGGGGCTTGTCGGCCTCTGTTTCTGGTTGGGTTACAGCGAGACTCCGTCCATTGACGTTGTTGATGACTACCTGTAGGCCAAAGTTATTATCGGGATTTCTAGACCAGCTCTGAACGAGCCTCAGAATAGAGAATTTATGCCACCACCCATTCTTCTGCTCTTCCCCTAGTCGCCTCACGCCTATTTGGTCTGCGCCATTCCTCCTTACCCTATTAATCTTGATAAACGATGTTTCTAGATTTGAAAAGTTCCTGGTATAGATGAAGAGGTACGCATTGAGGATCTTCACCCGGGATCTGTTTCCAAATGAGAAATGGATGCAGTTTTCATTTCGGCAACTTTGGCTTGAGCCTTAAAATACAAACATTTTCTTTTGAATGTGAATTATGCACAGCAAAAAAATGTAAGAAGGAATCTTTTCAAAACCATATCAATGTTTCCCTTACAATTCGAATTTTATTTTCTGAAAAAGAAGTGAGATACTGTACTCCCACTAATATTTGACGCTATTAGGGTTCGCGTTTTGAAATTTCGCTGCTATTATAGGCTATTTCGCTAATTTTCAGTTTCAGAAATTTCGCGGCTATTAATTTTTGCGGATTTGTCATATAGACAAGAGTCACTCTTTCGACTTCGATATCACCCATGGTTGTTCCTTCGCCCAATGATTTTGGCTTCTTATGAAGCCATTTAGTTATAGAACGATCTTTCTTCTAATTTCTCTTTTTCAAAACTCGGAATGTCACGTTTTTACCTATTATCGCCCAGCAAAACGAAAATATTATCAACATTGAAATCCCCGGGGATTTCCTTGGAATTTCGCGACTATCAAAGTGTGTGAATTACAGACGATATAAGATTCAGTGGGAGTCTTGTTTTCTCAAAATCATAAACTATAAACTCAAAATCAATATTATAGGCTAGTGAAATAAAGTCGGACCTGTTTTACTTTTTAGAAAAATTGGTATAACGTGATTCGTGAAACTTTGCGAACAAAAAATGTGTAAAATTGTGACAATCTTCTCTGATTTTCAGTGTATTTGTAAAGTCCTCTCTTATCTCTGTTGCATCCTTAAACATTTGCCCTTCACGAACATATCGTCTTTTCTATCTACCATAGTCCTAAATTATCAACGTTTCGGCGTTTTGAATTAGGACCCAGTTTCTCCTGGAATTTCAAGCCGTAGGGTGCACAACCTTACAATTCACAATATTTCCAAGGTGCGTTTAGGGTGTGTTTTACAGTTTGCTCTCTATACTAGTGTACTTTGTAGTGTAGGTTAGGCTATAATTATAAATAGCATCTTCTGAATAAAGATGAAAATGCTTATTTTGAAGTTTTCACCCTTATCTTGAAAGACCAAATTGTTTAAACAATAAATTCAATCTATGAAAATATTATGCCCCTACTTTTGCATGCTATGGCCATGTCATTTTTGGCGCAAAATTTGGCAATCTTTTATCATATAATTCGACGTAAGAAGTATGAACAAAGTATCCAGTAACAGTAGGGTAAGATAAACCGTGAATTTGGCGTATACATGCTAGAAATATCTATGATTTGATACGACAACAGACACTTTGAAGTGTCAGATGAAGAGACATTTTTGGCTTGAGACGCTGGCGAGCAGTCAACGCCAAATGGGATCATTCCGAACGATTAACTGTATTTGCGTATCCATGATACAATTGCGATAAGTACATATTGTGAACAGGTTGCGAACAAAGAGGTTTGCACAGCGGTGAGAAAAGTGTTGCTAGTTTAGTAAAAACTGTTAAATTGAGAACCTATCATTACTTTTTCATTGTATCTGATTTTCATGATTTGGGCGATTTCAATGAAATGTTTAACTATAGCATCGAGCATGTTTTCCAAAGGATTAGACTTAGACATTCAATGTATTACATCATTTGTCATAATACTGGAGGATCATCACTAAATACAGGGTGGCCGAACGGTGGAACCCAATTATATTTATAATCAACTTTAATAATGAGTTACGTTCAATCCGTAAAAGTTCGATTAACTTAAAGCGACTTTTTTTTATCAAAAGCATTTTCTGTCTGAAGAATTCCAACTTATTCAATTAACAAATTCTCTGGTCAAATTCCATTGCCAAGTTTACATTACGTTCCTATCGATATTCTAATAATAAATCATTGGAATCCAAACTTAATACGTCAATGCAGTATTTAAAATAGAACATGTTAAAAATCGGCAATTATATAATGGCGTATCATAAATTCTATCTGAAGTCCCAATTTCACTACTATTTATAGCACTTTTACGATCTGTTTTGTATATGGTATTTTTAGCTTTAATACGATGCTGGTAACAGACACCAACCACCTCCACTCGCATCTTAAAATGTCAATTAACGATGTTTTAAGAGATGTCAAGTGTTGAATTTTGGTCACTGAACCCTTTGTTTAAAATAATTTATAATGCAATACTGTATACAAAACGATATCTCTAGAATGTACAAAACAAAACCTTTTTGTTATAATATGAGGTTTCATTTACGAGTTATCAAAATTGATAATTTTTTTAAAAGATGTGTATTTTGTACATCTAACAGTAGCGCTAATATTGGCGACCAATGCAACCCATATAGAAGACAGAAGTTGAAAACACTGGCTTGTCGCGGATTGTCCTTTTGGTCATTCCAGACGAACTTTTCATGGTAAAAAATTAACAAAGAACTAGAAATTATTTTGCGACAGATAAGGTCGTCCTGGGACGGGGTATTTTTAGACATGATTTCAGCTTTGTATTAATTTACGACCTAGAATTACAATGTGGCAAAAGTTAACTATTTTGTAAAGATAAAAACCAATCCACGATATGCGACATACTTACTTCGTTCAGCAAATATAAATTCTTTTGTTGTTTCAGCATGAAAGTTGTCCTCTTCAACTTCGTCATCTTGGGGTCTTCTACCCATCGGCTGTGTGTGCTGTTGCTGACTTCTACTGTTAAATCGCCTCAATTGATTCAGGAACGGTGGGTTAGTCGGTGTAGGTATGCCTGTTACATTGGGTGGGCTGTCTAATCTTAACTTCTTTAAAATCTCTGATTTAATTATTTCTAACCTCATACGTTTCACCTCCTCTCTATCTCTACAGAGAGCACATCCTTGATGCGCTTGGGTTCTCTGCATTGAATTGGACGTCTCGCGTCCGGAGCCTCGGACCGGCAACAGCTCATCTGAACGCGAACGGGGTTCAACTTTGGCGACTCTCTCCCCGCGCGGTTCATGACTAGCTATACCCTCCGTATCAGCGCCCCTACGTCTGTGTTGCCCTGCTGTAGGGTCCTCACCTTGAATGTAATTAACATTTTCACGATTCCCATTATGTCGATGCTTTTTATGATCTCTAATAGCATCGCTATATTTCTGATTATCATCCCAGAATTGTGGATCATCGTCATCAAATCCATCTTTTGGATTGATTATGTCCTTATTATGCTTCCTAAAATTGTCATGCCCTCCAGTGATCAATTTTTTACTTCTTTTATTTATAACGTCAACATTAATATCCTTTTCGTATTCTGCATTCAGATAATAGTACAAACTAGCCTTGTTTTTGTCAGTTTCGGGAATTCCTTCTTTGTGACTCCATCCTCTTTCAACTAGCAATATCGACACGCAAAGTGTAACAACTTTAATATTATGCATTGTTCAAATGATTTTGATTTCTATGAAATTTTACCGAACACAAATAAAACGCAGTGATTTGGTGTATTTCAACTCCTGATCTGCGCAGTTTGCTTCTTACCTCTTAGCTCATGGCGATGGTTATATATACCCTCTTGATAATTCACATTTCATATATAAACATTCCAAGCTCCAAAATCATATATCATTTACATATTTCATTCAGTGGTTGAATTGCTGCTAAAATGAATTAACGAAGTTCTGCTTCTTTTTCATTAGTCTAGAAATAAACCAGACTCTTAAAACCACGTTTCACCTCAAATAAAAAATGTGTCACGTGTTCTACTCTAAATTGTATATGGCGCAATCAATATCACGATGAACATGGACGAAATTGAAACGTGAAGTAAGAATACGTAAAATTTAAATTGAATTTGATTTTGATGTCATTTTAATCATACAAATTACAAAAACCAAAGATAATATGTTTTATGATGATTTCAAGCAATGGTGACTTTGGATTACATGTCGTTTTATTTTCTAAGATTTAAGTTGTTTTACTTATATTTCGTTCGTTTTGTCTCGTTGCAAACTTAGGGGCGAAATGTCACCTGGATTTTTTTGCCGGGGAATGTCTCGTTCTCACTTATCTTAATCCAACAATTGTTAAGTTAATTGAAAATGCCACGCGTTGGTGTATATTGATATGATAAACCTGTACAACAAAATGTCAAAGTTGTTAACAATCGTTTCGCCTCTTCACCAAATCGGGAGAATTCTCTGAAAATAAATCGTAAATATTGATGAATATTAAGCCTTAGGCGTCGTTTTTTGAAACACGTTGATCTTCTCTCAATTCAAAATATATGTGTAAGTAATAGTGATGGGTGTGTTATTTCTGCCAGGGTTTGAGCTATATATATTATTGTATGGCTTATACCTTTGTGCTAAGGGGCGATACTATCGTCTAGACATGTCATTTATGGTTAACCTGGACAATTAAGATTTAATACTTTGAACTGACACCAAAATAAATATCGACACTAAGGCCCCTTTCATTGCCTCCCCTCCCGCTATCTAAATACACGGTGTATAACCAAAACGCTGTTACAGGCAGGCCGGAGGGCGTCTCTACCGACTCCAAACAGAGAAACGCTGGCAACCCGTTCTGACAATTTTAAGAATAAGAGAACTTGTTTCATACACAGCCTGTAACATTCGATGAGTGTTTTATTGTACTTGGCCGACTTACTTGAGGAATTTTGGAAAAACTGCATGCAAAAAGCAGTGTAAGTAATACAACTTATTTGTCATTCTACAAGTAAAAGTACGTTCTGTATTATTTGAAAATATAATGGTATGTGCGAACGATTCATTCCGTATTGACAAGTTCATCATAATGCGAATTGATACGATTATTGCTTAGTGTTAGCCATCGAACGGTATATAACATGTAATCATTTAACGTATGAGGGAGAAGAGAAACAAGGCATTAACATGCAAAATGTCACCCGCACAATAATAACGCTCAAAACCGCATCGTTTAGAAGAGAATGAACGTTCCAGAACGAATGTTGTAACAGCGTTTTGGTATCACATTATGATCTATTCTAATATAAATGATTCTCGAACTAAATAATGGCCGATTAATCATTGCTCTAAGTTTTTCTACCATAATAGACTCGTCTCTACAATGCATATACATTACATGTCTACCCACATAAAGTTCCATATTTATAACAATGAATACAACTGAACAACCCCATCTTTATAAATATGTGAAATCACAAATACATTATTTTGCATTTAACGTGTGCTTTCTAGAACTCACAACGAATTGCACCATCTTTTTGTGATGTTGAACAATGTCACTCTGACAACGGTAACATTTACGTGTTTATATAATAATATATCGAGATACTAGTGCAGACCTAATCCAGACACCTTTGGTTCTGTGGAGGGTTGCATGTATTTTGATCTTTTGATGCATCAGACAGTAATTTATTTATGATCATGCATTTTTAATTTTCATATAGATAGGGTTATTCAGCTAAATATTGTTATCGCTCAGTTACTATAGAACTGCTGGGTTTCAGTGTGTTACCAAGCCACTGTCTTGGTGACAAAGTGAGAAACACATCTGCAAATTAACATTTGTGACATTCTGTGATGTCATTAGAGGAACAATATACAATGCATTTAGAAATTTCATGCACTTACCTATATCATGGACTTCAGGTCCGTGCTTATATGCATGGATATTTATTGCTAGAAAATACTATATCTAAGATATAATAATATTGGACATGTATATTGTATGTGTTTACATAATGCTCTTTGTGTTTGCAGTGCTTTGTATTCCAAAATGCCCCATGTGTTCACACAATGCTCTTTGAGTCTATGTGCTCACACAATGTTCTATTCTACAAAATGGTCTATATATTCTCACAATGTTTTATGTTCACATAACGCTCAAAGCATTCACACAATGCTCTTATTTCACATTGTGTTTACAAAATCCTCCCTTGACAGGATGAATCACAAACATTCAATTCTGAAAGATGTGTCATTTTGAGTATCTCCAAACTCCAATGGCAGTGCTAGTCTTCAGCAATCACTGCAGCAGGTAAAGGATTAAATTAAATTAAATGATATCATTGAAAATTTGGAAAACTTGATTGATTGGATTGCATATATTGCTTGATAAACCCCATATGCAACAAATCTTTTACGCACAATTTCTTCCACATAGATTTCTTTTCTAATATTTCATGTTTTATAAATAATTCGACAAAATAAGAAATAAATTTCCTATGGCCAGGCTCATTTATCAAAGAGTATTAGTTGAATATATATAAAACTTGAATGATATACCACGTGATGACCCTGTTTATGTACATGTGTTGATTAAACATGCAAATGTTGGTTGACATACAAATAATCCAAGGTTTTTAAAGAATTTTAGCATTGCATCTATGGAGATTTGGCCCAAGTTTTTTAAATTGTCATAGAAAATTATTCAAATTACATAACTGTGTAAATCAAAGCTAGTATGGGAGATAACTGTATAAATCAAAGCTAGTATAGGAGAAAACAGTTCACTGAATTCAAAGATGCCATTTAAAAGAAGGTAATGTAAGTCATTAGAGATCTAATATGTAAATCTCTTAAAATCTCACAAAAAACGAGATTTAGCGAGATTTCAAAAGTTATATGGAAACTATATTATTAACCTGCTCCAGTGTCTTGGATAGTGTTACTGTTCAAAGGAGTATGGAGTATCTTGCAACATATTTCAAAATGTTTCGTGACACAGTTCTGAGCATTTTGGAATATCTCTATCTACAAGTATTCTAATTTGGCATGATAGCTGTAACAGCTGGTGTATAGTATGCACACTGGACACTGTACAACATCAGTTATTCAACCCATTCCTTCTCATTAACTTTATTACTTATTCTTTAGATTTTTTAGCTTTAACTGCAGGCTCAGGTTTCACAGTTGATGTATCAATGGTACTTAAATCAGGTTCAGATTTTACTTTGGATTTTCTTTTCCTCTTAGTTTTAGTCTTGTCCTTAGATTTACCTGACTCCTCTGCAGATTTTTCTTCCGAGTTTGGACTGTCTTTAGGTTTTGTCATTTTGGGTTTTGTTTTGTCCATAGATTTAGTCTTGTTTTTGGCTTTTTTATCTTTCTTCTCAATCAAAATTTCCTCTTGAATTTCTTTATCTTTTGTTTTTTTAGATTTCTTACTTTTAGTATCTGGTTTTGTTGATGATTTAAGTGTGTCCTTCTTGGTCTGTTTCTTTTTCTCATTTGACTTAGGAGACTTTTTGCCTTTTCCCTTTCCTTTGCCTTTAACTGAAAACATTAATGAAATAAAATAAATCACCATTGATTAAACGCTGCAAGTCATATATGGCTTGAGATAGCAAGAATAAAGTCCAATGCTGATCTGAAGATACATTGCTACAAACCATGGTTTATTTCTTTACTTGAACACTTTTCTCATACACTTTATCTGTCAAACTATTTCATGAGACTTTGAAGTAAAAAAGACCCGAGGTTTAACAGACCCAGAGGCCTAGATCCAGCTAGTTTCAATACATTTTCAGCATGTACATGGAAGATCACATGACAATTGCTCAGTAATATGAATTGAAATTGATTAGTATGAGGCCACTTAATGACTGTTTATCCTCATTCCTGGGTACTTACCCTGAGTTTGTTCTTCCTCTGTCTCAAATGAGGGCATGCTGAGAAGGGCAGATTTCAGGATCGGTCCAACATCTACACTTGGTACAGATAGTTCTGCAAATAAAAACATTTACGGGTCACCTTGGATGGATGTAAGATATGGATTTGATCCACATAGTTTTATCAACTTTGAAACATATGCGTTTTAAATACAAAGTAATCAGTTAAATCAGTCTAAGCACTTGCTTTTTTTGATAGCTTCATCAAAATCAATGTCAATGTTTGGTTTCTTCTTCATGGGTTCATCTTCATCAGGACTTAGCATTTCAGGGCGACGATGACGTCTTGATTTGTTCTTGGAAGCACCCATTGTTGTGGATGCTTTCGCTCGTATTGAAGCACGGGATTTTCCAATGTCTGATACAGTCTGGAATAAAATGTATAATAAATAGGAATAAAAAGCATACACTTCAAATAAAAATGACATTATCACTGTTATTTTAACTAGAAAACAGCAACTCCATGGAGTAGGAAATCCTGCCAAACAAAATATGTCTTGAAAATTTCTTCTTGAACAGAGCTCCCCCCTAGGTATCAGCATATAAAATTTGAACCAAATCTGTCCACTGTTTTTTGAGTTATCAAAGATTAAGCTTTTTACGGAAAATGGTAGCCACTTTGAAATTCAGCTGCCATCTTGAAATTTCTTCTTGAGCAGAGCACCCTTGTCTCTAGGCATCAGCATATGAAACTTGAACCAAATCCATGAACTGGTATGTGAATTATCAAAGATTACATTACAACAACAAATGAGTGCCATTTTGATGAATAGCAGCCACCTTAGCAAAAGAACCAAATCTGTCCGCTGTTGTTTGACTTATCAAAGATTACATTATTTTACAAAAAATGGCAGCCATTTTGAAATTTGGTAGCCATCTTAAAAATGTCTTCTTGAGCAGAGGAGGTCCCTTGTCTCTAGGCATCAGCATATAAAATTTGAACCAAATCCGTCAAGTTGTATGTTGATTTATCAAAGATTACATTATTTTCCAAAAAAATGGCGGCCAGTTTGAAATTCGGTAGCCATCTTAAAAATATCTTCTTGAGAAGAGGCATCTAGTCTCTAGGCATCAGACTATAATTGTGGTGGTGAAGTAAAAATCCTATGTAAAAGTGAGAAGGTAGTTACACGTGTGGCTAACCAATGGGGATCAGGGTATGAGACTTAACACTTACAGCTTCATGATCTGAATCACCCTCACTTTCTGATGTTGTTATACCACCATCTTTCTTTCTCATACGACGTCCAGTAGTACGCCATTCTTCATGTGAAGTAACATTTCTGCAAATATAAATTAGATAAAGGGTGATTCCTCTAAAATAAAGTCATTCAATCAAGACATGGTCCTTCAACAGACTACTGTGTATTCTCCATGACCATAAAATAATCTTTTATTCTTTTACAGATGCAGGAACATGTAGATCCCTCCCTACCTTTGATTATATAACATGTGAGTGCATACAGCAATACACCTGAACTTAATATAAAGATACAAATAACATTATTCTGAACGATCTTTAGTCCATTTGAGTCTAGTATGTAATTTTGTATGTAGAGTTCAAAATCTCCAACTACAAGGCACCTACCATTTGTTACAGATGCCATGTTACAGACGCCCAACACAAACCACCACCCATAAGAAAGTTGGAGGCTATAACTTGGGGTGGTGACATAATAACTAAAATTAATTATGGTTTAGTTCAGTTAGTTTAGTTCATTCATTTATTTATAGTGGTCAGTCATTATAAATGAACATGTACTTTAATTTCCATACCTTGTTATATAATGCACCAGTTGATTTTCTATAACATTAAGAGATTCATCAACCTGCTTGGAATCCCCTGTTAAACGGTTCTTCATCTGCTGATAGTTCTCATGAAATGCTGATAATTGCTACAAAAGATTTAATTTCATTTATTTTTGAGTTTGTCCATACTCATTTTCAATTTTCAAAAATGATTATTTTTTTGTTTCTCAAACAATGATAATTTCCAGGAATGAATATTGATGTCAGTCTCTACTTATATATCTTTGTTCATTTAGTTATCGCATATGGTGTATTAGAAGATCAGAGTCAGACAGAGTCAATTTTAAGTTCTTTCGATTTAAAAATGTTTATTTTTATAATTGCAGATTTAGATTAACATGCAAAATTTCACCACCTGCCACTTGTTACAGATGCACCGACAGCCATCTATAAAAAAAAAGTTGATGACAATATGTCACCACTGTAATAATATTGAAATTGTAGCAAAAAACTATAGAAATAGGAAACAGGGATATTTTGAATAACATACCTCAATATTATCTGATTCAAATAGTTCACCTATGATGCTCTTTTGTTTGCCAAGTTTCTCAGGTTTATCAGTATCCTCAGAAGTTGGCCTCAGACAGGGGTACATCTAAAGAATAAGAAAGAGATCACTGTTAGTTGTTGTGATGACATGGTATGACCCTACATCTATCTACAAACTATTTCAGTAAATAAGACCATTTGTGTGGTAAAAACCTGGCTTTTATCAAAATGTTCTATAATCTAATTATTACTCTGTAATTCTGTGCTATGAGGATCAATGTATGCATTTTATTGTATAGTGGACTAATGTACAGATCAATGCACATGTACATAAATAAGCATCAACTTAGGTCCTAGGTGTTAAGAGACATGAATCATAAAAGAGAATCACCACTATAACAAGTATTTTACATGTAAAACTTTACTGTAGTCCCAGTATTTTTGGCGTTCGATCTAGTTTCGCAATGGTGGTAAAATCGCGAAAGTTGACCGTGATGACATAGTAGTAGGTGTACTTAGTGAAATTCGCAAAATTTAATAGTCGCGAAATCATGTTTTTTCAAAGTTCGCAAATTTAAACTCACGAAATTAACTGGGAGTACAGTTTTCAGAATGTAATGACTAGGAATCACAAACCTCAGCTTCAGTAGCTGTGAAGAAGAAGGCATTTTCATAGACCAGTTTCCTGAATATATAGTCTGCGTCAAGATGTTGCTGGCTTTGGACCTCTAAGTGAAACTCTTTTATTTTCCTCCAATTATCAACTGTCACACGAAACTACAAATATATGAACATTTAAAATCTTAGAAGACTGGTAATTCAGAATTCTGTATAGTAATCAATCTACAGTTTAAAGGCCCTATGCAAAGTTTAAAAATACTTTTCATCACTAATCATTATATGGTTTTAAATTATGTAATATGTGTGTACTCACTAATTTTAACACATCACAAATTGTGCAATACATGACAATAAAATTCAAACCCTAGAGGTGACATAACATACCCTGACTCGAGGAGTAGTTAGCTGCTTGAAGTAGAGCCCATACATCATATAGAGGGCACCAACTTTCACTTGTATTTCAAAGGGTGGCAATATATAGGATATTGCTATTCTAAATACTTCTTCTGTCATCTGTAATAAGAATGATGGAATGCAACATAAGAATGTATAAATCGCCCTCAAAAAGAAAAAAAGAAAATATCCTGGAGAAAACACTGCTCCAGATTTATATCATTGGATAACTTTATTCAAGTACATGTACCAGTTGATACATTCTGCCACCTTATCCACTTGTTGCCAAGTAGAAATATTAAAACAAGGATTTTACTTATGATTACTCCAGAGCTAAGATGCTATAAATGCTTTCACTGGATACACCCTTACAACTTCATTTACCACCATTTTCACATTAATTCTATGGAGACACAAAAAAAGAAATAAACTCCACTACTTCCCCATCAGCCACCCTATAAAAAGATTCTTACCTCACGCAACTCATTTTGTTTCTGTCTTCCCATATATATGGTAGGCATGTTGCGATCTCTCCAGATTTTGGCAAATTCTTCATATCGAAGACTGTTTGTTTCAGTAAAAGCTGCAATCAAATTCTCCAAATCTGTTCTTATGCCTAGGGCAGGATGCTGCGGTCTTTCAATATTCTTTTTCCCACCAACCATGATGTCTCAAGATGATAACATGTGCATATAATTCCAACAGATAAACCCTGAAATTGAAAAAAAATTATTTACAGCATCCATTCATCTTTGAGAGGAAGACCGGCAATCAGTCTTTTCATAGACCTTATCCTGCACAATGACTGTGGTCCTGCACTTTGAAAAAGGAAATTTTCAGAAAAATTGCACCTCTTTTTCTAACTAAGGCCGAATTCTGTTTTGTCCTTCAGCCAGTTTTACAAGTTCTACACATCGTTTACATGACCAGGATCACAATGGGCATGGTCAGCATGACCTTAAACATGATGAAACAGCTTTTACAGCCCTCTGAAAAGTTAAAAGCTGTATTTTCAGAAAGGTCAGAACAGAATATTTCGAGTTTTTTAAAAAATAACTGATTAGGCCTACATGTACTTTAAATGATAGGAGCTTTGAAAATTTGAAAAATTGTCTGAAACAAAACTTGACTCTCAACTTGTTTCTATCATATTATCTTTTTTTACCAGATTATTACTTGATCTGGAAATCAGGTAATTATAGGATATCCTATGATTTTGAGGAATATCATTTTTATCTTTGAGGTGATATTGATATCTGCACGAGAGAGTAGAGCGAACAAGTGCATATATTGATATCACTGAGTAGATTAAAATGATATTCTGAAAAAAATCATAGGATGTTCGTATTATCCTAAATTATCATATTAGCGCAACTGCATTGTTTACAACTAGACAACAGCAACGCCAAAGCGTAGCAAATCCCATCGAACAGCCAAGGCTGGCATTTTTACAAACAAAGTAAATAGCAAAAATGGAAGCCACCTTCTACCAAAAGTGTCAGAAGACAGTGTGCCATGCTTATAGTATTCACATACCAAATATGAACAAAATCTCTCTACTACTTTTCGTGTTATAGTAAAATATGGTAAAATGGCAGCCATTTTGAAAAATGGCCGCCATCTACCAAATCATTAGACAGTGTGCCATGCTTATAGTATTCACATACCAAATATGAACAAAATCGCTCCACTATTTTTCGAGTTATAGTAAAAATCGTAAAATAACGAGTAAAGGCCGCCATTTTTCAAGATGGCTGCCATGTGCTTCTTTAATCTCTACATTTCTAGCTTTATTCATGTCCTATATAATTTTTTTACATTTAAAACATATTGCTATTACAGTTTTACATATTGCACCTAAATTACTGTAAAATTGGCACTAAAGTGGCCGCCATTTTTAAAGAGTGGCCATTTTGAGAATCGGCTTTCGAGCAGACCTTCTACCCCCATAGGGTATATGTGTACAAAATCGGGCCAACAGCATTTGAGTTATTGCCTGGATGGACTTACGTACGGACGGACTTACGTATGGACGGACTTACATACGGACGGACTTACGTATGGACGGAAGGACGGACGGAGGCGTTCCCAAAATCCCTCCGAACTTCGTTGATGGGATAATAATTAAGGTCTGGTTAAATTTAACACTTTATCATATAAGATTTTATTGGAACAAACATATCACACATAACTAGATGTTTAAGATTGCAAGCAATCTTACGGAGGCCCCGTAGGCTTTTTTGAACATTTAAAGGTCAGCCAAAGGTCTTAAAAACAAGGTCATATATGAACTCCATGCATCTTTTAGAAAAAAAAGTTTGGTCAATTTGAAGCAATGTGAAATTTGACCTTAAAAAATTTCAACATTAGACCTTTTTCAGCTTTTGAGGTCCAATATCTCAAAACTGGTGCAGAATTTTAATAGCTAATCAATTGTTAATATGTGTAAAACCTTTAGAGGAATATATATCCTGACTTTAGTTCAAAAATATTGATTTGTAGTCACAAACTTTGAGAAACTTAGAAAACACTGTTTGTGATCTTGTTTGATGACCTTGACCTTTGACCTTGAAAATTTTACTTTTTTTAGACCTCAGTATATCTTTTCTGATTGAATAAATCTAAATTTTAATCCAGAAAATCAATTTGAAAAGTCAACCTTTTTGACCTTTCGAAGGTCACTGAAGGTCAACTAAAGGTCATAGGTCAAAACTAAGGTCAGATTTCAGTTCCTGAGAAGAAAAAAATTGGTCAATTTAGAGCAAGTTGAAATTTGACCTTGAAAAATTTCGAAATTTGACCTTTTTTCAGTTTTTGAGTTCTAATATCTCAAAACTGGAGCAAAATTTTAATAAATAGTCAATTGCTAATATGTGAAGAACCTTTAGAGGAATATATATTCTGACTTTCAGTAAAAAAATTGATTTGTAGTCTCCAATTTTGAGAAACTTAGAAAACACAGTTTGTGATTTCGTTTGATGACTTTGACCTTTGACCTTGCAAATTTTACTTTTTTAGACCTCAGTGGGTCTTTTGTGAATAAATATACCTAAATTTGAATCCAGAAAATCGAGTTGAAAAATCAACTTTTTTGACCTTTCGGAGGTCACTGAAGGTCAACTAAAGGTCAAAGGTCAAAAGTAAGGTCAGATTTGAGTTCCTGAGAACTTGTAGATGATTTTAAAAAAGAATTTGGTCAATTTGAAGCAAGTTAAAAAATGACCAATTTTTACCGTTTTTTGACGTCAATTATCTCAAAAACGGTAAAAAATTAACGCAAACATATCGTGAGTAATTTGTAGGGAATGCTTATATCTAGTTACATTTTAATTCATCGCAAGAAATAATGAAGTATGAGGACGAAATCTGAGAAACTTAGAAAAAACTTTGATTTGACCTAGATTTTGACCTTGACCTAGATAAAAATTCCTTTCCCGGTAAGTTCAACCTAGGTCCCTAGTAGGTTCATATAGTAGATAGTTGAAATCTAGTTAGAAGTAGGAGAATAAAGAGAAGAATAAAGAATAAATAATATCTATAAAATCTATAGGAGGCCCCCTGATGGGGCCTCCTAATAACTGGGGATTAAAAGAAATTGACTCCTAGTGTTAGATATTGATTCTTGTATCTGAGGAAAACAATAAGGTCAGATATGAGAATCAATATCTACTCCTAGTACTAGGATCAAACTTTTTATTTTTCTGAGATTTGGTCATTAAGACCACCCCCGTCTCTAGTGTGAGGCCAAAACTCTGATAGTCAAAGTCACTAGAGGTTTAAGCTTCCACCATATGATGGTTTTGAGAACTTGTTTGATTGCAATGCATTACATGGATGTGCAATCAACAAAACATGGCTCAATCTAATGATATCAAGGGGAATTGAACATGTAAATAAATAAATAAATAACGGACTAATTTCTTCAGATTCTGATTTGCCATTTGCCCGTCGCAGTGTCTATACGAGAAACTACACGGGAGTTTTAGGATAATGTAGCAAAAAGCACGGATTCACTACAGTGCTGATATATAATAATAAAGGGTGCGTTTTCAAACTAAACAGAGTGCTCCTACCAAAATGAATTTGCCTACATACCCCTGAGACTCGATAGATAGAATGCACAAATAAAACAAAAGTTTTGCTATTATAGGTAAAAAGTTCTCTTGAAATTTCGAAGTGATTGGTCCGCCATTTTTGCGGAAGTTACACTAGAAAAAAACATGGCACACATTGCGCGCATGTGCAGCAAAGTTGAAACCAATCAGATTATTTGATTATTTTGCACACATGAATTATTCGCTTCTGAGCACTTACAAGCTTCCCACAATAAACCAACCTAGCAGAGACTGCCCTTAGCCTACTTCATTTTGGCGAAATTTCACTCAAACTCGGGACAAATGCATTATGCATACGCTGGTGTGAAGCCTTGGAGACACTTATTTTGGTAAATATGATTTATGGTGTATACTTTTCTGCAGTTTGTGGGAGTTTGGGATATTAAATGTTAAAATTCAAGAAAATATGCCAATTAAACGACTGATCAATTAATATATACCAGCACTGTATACTAAATTATCACCCACTGAAATTTTAAATAACTTCCAAATCAAAATTTTGCAAGGTTCCAATGGTGCAAGCGTAAATAATGTATCTAAAATTTCAAAAGAATATCTCCGGTTCCATAAAATTATAAATTCAGTGTCATAATAAACGTAATATTACCGATAAAACATCAAATTGTAGATGTCATTTCGTTTTAGTCTTGCCGTTTCGTTTTGGCGGTTCATGTAAAAGTCCCCATGACAAGCCCCAAATTTAAGAAGGCTCTTTCTTTCACTCCCTGACAACTAATATATTGCTTTAACCCATCTAATGAGAACTGTGATTAGTTCAGCAGCTTCCTGATTATTATGAATGTATCTTCTTAAGATTTACAATGGCGACTTTATTTAGTACAATCAAAATTAACGAAAATAAGTTGGAACCCTTGTAATTGGAGTGAACGGAACAGCTATCAACAAACTCTTGTCAAGTTGAGACTGCAAATGAGTAGGTATCATATTTTATCTGTTTTCTGTGTATGTAGACCCTGAACAACTATCAGAGTAATGCCAGTTTCTCGCATTATACTTATGCCCTTTGTCAAATTCGACTTGGCTCTAGACTAAACATGGGCAACTAGAATTTTACTTCTGAGTAGAGAAACACAAATTTTATAGTTCAATAGTCACTCAATTTAGGCCTATATGTTTCATTTCAGTATGTTGACATCACATCTGAAACTGGCTTTGTGAGGAAATGATGATGCTGGAACTATGAAATCATTGAACAAATAAAACTGTTCCTGAATCATAACAAACAACAGGGGATACCCCTCCCATCGATGATTCACCTTCAAATGTTCCTGAATATCCAATCAGCTACTCCTAAAATACAAGCAAGTGAAAACATTCATAGGTCAAGTGTACTGAAGAAATCACATTAACAGTTCTCACCTTATAATATTATTAGTGCTATGGGATAACATCTAGACATAATATGTAGATATGGTGTATTAGAAAATGGATGTAATATATTAATAGTGACCTACAAAAAACATACAGACGACAGATTGATTGTAACAATGGAGGGTGAAGATGGATATGATATAATTTGGAAAGGTATGTATATATCAGGCTTGTGTGCTTAGGTTGTGTTGGCCAGGTGAGTTTTATAACGTAAAAAGTCCAAAGATCACGATGAATGTGATGAAACCCTTGACAAAATAAAATACAATGTAAAAGTTGTTAATTATTGATGATAGTACATGTACTAATTATACCTGTGTGCACGAATTATAATTACGAATTCTAATATGCTGTATATGAATTTGAATTTAATGATACCCTGAAGTGTGGCAAATTGAATTGATTAATTACAACATGTTCATGATTTCTCAGAGAAGAATTTACTTTGAATGCTCAAAGCAATAAGGAAATAATTGTTTATTCATATGGTACTTATAATTTAACTTAATATGTACCTTTTGTCCAATCCTTTTTGTTTACATAGTAATTTAGTACTTTATTATATTTTCGTGTCGGGCCTTAAACTTAAGCTGATACTGAAGGAGTAAGGGGTTCTACCATGAATACTAATATTATGAATTATATTTTATGGTACCCTCCCTCCAACTGTCTTTTTTGAAATGACACGTTACCAGCAGAGGCAGGCCATTGACCATTTTAGATATGCTCTAATAAGTCATACTCACAAACAAATACTACATTGTTTACTATGATTACTACTATTATTATTAACAAGGAAATGAGTCATTGAACTATTCTATTATTAATCAATAATGTACAATACAGGTGAGAATGTAATACATCTACAGATCACTATTAGTGACTATTGATATATATTTGCATCCATGTTCATATACAGATATGAGGTAAAGAAGTGTTCTACACTTAAGTTTGAAATATGGTTGCCAAGTTTGCCAGGTTCAGTATTTTGCCCTATTAGCAACTAGTGTTTGAAGTCTCTATTGCCAAATGCATTATAAGGTTTTTGGAACCAAGAAAAATAAGTTTTATTGAGAGGTTTTTAAATTAGAGAGGTGTTTGGACATAAAGGTTTCATGTATATCAAATAAAAGGGTATCACCTCCCAAAAGATGTTGCATTTGATGATCTAAAAATCATAACTTTTGCGGTTAAAATGGCGGGAAATTCAAATTGCAAATAATATTTGGATGGTTTTACATTATTTTCAAACTTTGCATAGGCTCTCAATAAATAGAAAAGCAATGTGAAAAATACTTTGGTCAGTAATATATTATATTATGACCTTAAAGGGATAAAATAAGTGAAGTGTGAACATTTGTAATGTTTAACATTGTTTGTGAAGGTCACAATTTATGGGGATATCTACTTGAAATGTGTAGACCTAAAATGTTCCATAACATTCAGAAAAAATGTGAGAATTTTCGCAAGAGGTCTGGTCTACATGAAGTCTTATTCTCGTAAATTCTTGTATTCGCATCAGAGAATTAATACCACATGTGAAACCTACATGTAGGCTTATATTTATGAAATCAGTGCATTAGGCTGCTTAATGATAGATTTCATTTTTTACATTAGGTAATTGTTTTCCCATATTTCAGTTTTCCCTTATTACAATGCTTAAGGTGATATAATTTAGCATGGCTATACTAATAGTATTACAGTAAAACGTGTATATATGTGGAGCCACAAAAAATGTTCATTGTAGGTACCTGTAGGTGTTCACTACATGGAGGTGATTTTATACAGGAATCAATGTAAAGTGTGTCTTGAAGTGGTGTTCACTTAAGAGAGGTTTTACTGTACTACTTGGATTGACCAGAATATAATAAAGCGTGTCTGGCTTTGTATGAAACATAACTTTAGAATAAAAAGTATCGGTGATTTATCACAAATGCATATTGGCTTAAAGAGTGCAATTTCCCCATTGAGAAAATAACATTACACAGTACTTTATACATCTGTCTGTAGGATTCATTGTCAAGTTTAATGGAAAATCTATTTTCCTGAATCCATTTGGCTTACTGCGTACAGGTCTGTTTAGAATATGATTTGTAGTCACATTGGATTTGATGTCATATTTATCAAGAATACCTAGATTGATCAAGATAGGCCTTTACCCTTTTGCGGATGCATCATCTGGAAATATGGCCTTTGTACATCAATGTCATCGTCAATATACTTGTAAGTTAATTTCATCTTGGATCATTTCAAACTTCATATATTCTATTGGTATTAGAACTGGCTATATTATCAAAAAACTGTAGCCTCCCGTCTTGATGAAACATGATACAACTTGTCACGCATCCATTTTTGTACTGTACCTTTTCATTGGTGATAGGAAGGAATACCACCATGGGGGTAGCCAGTTTTCAGTTAGGGGGGTGCAATTGCTCAAAAAATTTCAGTCAGGGGGGTGCGATCGTGGCATAACCAATCCCAAAAAAAGATTTGTTTTGAATTTTATAAAAATTGATGCAACTTCCTTCAAAATTGAGCTAGAAGCTTCAAATAAAAAGCATTTTATATATATATATATAACTTTTATTGACATATTGTATCATTACATGATTACATTAGTCACAACTACTCACTAAGACTAACTAAAACTACTTCTACATTTACAAAGTAATGTACAAAAATTCTATATGCATATTGAAAGCATACAAGAGAGGCAGAATATTTTTAAGTGTGATGTACAAAATATGCTGACTATTCTAAATTGTTAAATGAGTGATATATAAATTTACCAAGATGCCGTTGTACGATGGTATTATCACTTGAAATTATATTTGTAAATAAATTATCACTATTTAAATCAAATTTTGGTAATGTTTCAGAAATTTTGCTGAAAAATATTTGCCTGTGTTGAGAATGCTTTGTACAATTAATGATAAAGTGAAATTCATCTTCTACACAATTACATATATTACATAATCTTTCATTTACAGGTTTGGATTTTGGCTTTGTGTGTCTTCCTGTTTCTATTTTTAACTGATGTGAACTCAACCTAAATCTACTTATTGCTAATCTATATTTTTTATTGTCTAACTTTGTATATGGTTCTAATGCAAAATCTTTCTTAAACAGCTTATATGTTCTTAATTTGGGATATATCAAAATGTCCTTTTTCAATTTTCTACAAACATATTCTTTAATTTCTTGTCAACCAAATTTACTAAGTGGTCTGTAATTTGGCTTTGGTCATCCCAGTACTCTGTTAGTTCACATTTATGAAGTATATCATAAACTTTTCCAGACCAAGATTTAAACCCTAATTCATGTTTTTCTTGTCCATAAAAGTAAGCCTGGTTTAAAATATTAGATTCTGGTAGTTTAATAAGTCTTAACCAGTATTTCACAATTGATAATTCAATTTTGATAGATAAAGGAAATTTACCAAGGTCACCATACACTGCGGGATTAGCTGTTTGAGTTTTGACACCTAAAATAGATTTTAAAAAGGACAAATGTATTGTTTCAATTCTTAAAATCGCGGATTCGGTAGTATTGAATCTCTAATAAAGATGGCGCGAAAGTTTTTCCTTATAAGGTCAAAATATTTCCCATGATGCAGTTCGCGGGGGAACAAAATTTTTCTACCTTGTTTTTCCCCTTTGGTTTAACATGGGGATTTTCATACCCATTTTTCAAGCGATATTTTCGATCGAATCTCCATGCGATCGGAGAAAACAAACTATCAGAAACAATTAGTCTTTTAATAATCTTTATATAACATATATTTTTTTTCATTTTATTGGCTCCTAACGGGGTGAAAACAATGATTGAAAATGGGAGTATATTCCGGAAGAGAAGAAGTCACGTGACTAGTCGCCATATTGGAAAAAGCAATTCCATTCGACTTTCAACACGTTCATGCCAATATTACCGCACTACAAACTGTAACATCGATGCAACAACTGAATAAAAGTACTCATCTTCATATTACATTATAGAGTTACGTTGAAAACCCACAAACAACTGAGCATTTGACCAAAGAAGACACGTCGCTATTATCTAGGTCAAGTTTAGTGGTTCGAAAGCAAATCTTACATACTCGTTTCCAAATTTTGTTGTTAATTGTATAATCTTTTATTGATTAAATCTGGTATACTGACTATTAATTCAATGACAAAGAAGAAGAATTCCGATGGTGTCATTTTTTAATTTAGCTTGCGGGTGTAAAAACAAAATTGCGTAATTAATTTGATTTAGAACTTTCGGGTCTCACAAATAGCTACACGAAATGCATCGTTGAAAAATATTGACCAATCAAATTTTGTCCTTTTTGAGTACATATATGCACCATATATGCGAACGTTCTGATTCAAAGAGCGAACAGCGAAATGGAGAATCGCTTTCATCTGCTTCTTGTCATACCAAATTTCACAGCCATAACATAGTATTGGACTGACTAATGAATCAAAAAGGTGAAGAGCAACATCAGGTGGCACGTCATTGAATTTCTTATACTGCTGTTTGATTTTGAATATTGCCTTTCGTGATTGTTCTTTGAGATAACTTGTGTTGATATCAAATTTATTATTATCAGTAAGAATTACTCCTAGATATTTATATTTATTTACACGTTCAATTTAAAGCTCTTATCTTTTTCTATCTACTGGTCGTATTTGTATTGGTTGGGGGGGGGGGTGCGATTGCACCCATCGCATCCCCCTGGCTTCACCTATGACCACCATTATTAAAGCTGAATCATTCAGGCTGCATATTACACAAAATACTGCAAAACATAACACAAAGCTATGTTAACCAGAGAGATACCTGCACGAGTTATATTTGCACAATATTAGCTAAAGTGTAAAGATATACTGCAACTGGCATGTAACAAATCTAATAAAGAGAGGCTTTGCTTGTAGTGACTGAATTGAATTGCTTCATTGCATTCTGCGATGTTGCGATCAATAAAATTGCATCAGGAGATGCTAGATTATTTATTAGGTTCTACCTGACTAGTAAACCAGTGATAAATTATGCACCCTGTTATCAACTAAGATGTGCACATTTCTGTATAGAGTGTCAAAAGTAACATCAATAATAAGACAACAAATTATTGTTATGTCACCACGAAAAGTGGTGACATTTTGTTATGGTCTCCATTTTTTGTGACACTGGCATTCAGCATCTGTAACAAATGGCAGGTGGTGACATTTTGCATGTTATTAATGCCTTATTATTATCATCCGTTATAGAAATGAAATAAAAGATAAGGAAATTTAAATCAATGCTCAGTTATAATTTCTATCCTAAAAATCCATGAACTAATGTTATTAACAACTATTTCATACAACTGATTTGATAGGGGCATTTAGCCCTCAGATAAATAAAGAACATTGTTATTGATTTTGTATATAAAGAGTATTTATGAGGCAGAAACACAGGCTGAGATTTTTGCTGTAATATGTTTACTAGAACTCTAGAGAGCCCAGGATTCTTCTAAATGCTAGTGTGTTACCAAGATCATGATTAAAACAGACAACAAATAAGATCTGTTACTATAACAGCATCATTTTATTTCTATAGTAACCAGGTGTTATCTCTCAAAACATGCTACAGCTTTTTAGAATACACAGGATTATATCCCAATACATATCTTTACTCGTAATTTTCGTGATACTTTATAACAGATAAAACTTCATAAAATATTAAAATAAAACTGGGATTATTATTTCAACATAATTTCAGTAAGATACATTGATTTTAAACTAGGTTGTCTGCCATAATGTATAAATAACTAAATATATTAGTACTCTTAGGATTTTGAAGAATATCACCTTTTTCATTAATTAGTGGGAACTGAAGTCAAAATAAGCAGAAAATCTCATTTTGTGGATTTACCTTAAATGCCTTGACATTTGGGTATTATATGGGAACAATTTGATGAATTGAGAGTAGCATCTAATTTTGTGTTTAACATAAATAATACATCATTACGCATGAATTGTTATATTTAAGAATTTTGTCAAGGCAGTAACATAAGTCATGCTTGGGAAAAATTGCTCCCATCAGTATCACTTAAAGGCGTAACATATTCACAATTATTTCAAAAGTCAGTCTTCCTGATGTCTAAAATGGATTCACTGTGAACATTCATGACTTTCAAATGACAAAATAAATGAACTTGACAAATTAGATATGTACTCATTGATTTAGCTTCTAATGATAAATCACTTTTATCTCCTAGTTCACTAATGAATATCACTTTAACCTAAGTACAGTGCCTGAGAAAATTATCAAACCTTTTATTTTACATATCATAAGGGGAAAATAATTTGTCAAAGCTCCACCAAATACAGTAGTTGCATTGGATAGTTTTATATTTTCAATATATACATCAATGTTATTTATCATATTATTATCTAATCAGTAATTATTAGTCAGTTGTTATCTTCTGATGGAGAGTCACAATAAATAATGTAGATATAGTACATTGATGCACCTCTTGGGCCCAGATACTAGATAGTACTGATCACAAGTGTCTGTCTAGGAGAGTGGCAGTCATGCCCTTTCATTGTGAATATGGAAAAGGTAGTTTCTTTCCTATGAGACTTTAGTTTTGTTGCTCAAATGCAATAATCCTATTCTGATTGGGAGAGGCGAGATCAATGAATTATCTCATTTAGAAAGTGTGTATGAAGTTCCATTTTAAAGAAGTGAAATCAAACTAATGACGAACTAATCTGGGTAAATGTTAAGGTGGCCATTTTGGACTATCCGTCCCATAAACTGTCTATTCCATTGAAGTGTATGATTCTGTTCACTCTTTGTCTTATTGTTAATTGTCATCCTTTATGTAATATCACAATATGATAATGGACAGACACTATAATGAAACCTGTATAATCCAAATATGTACATGTTTTGACCATTGTGAGGGGAGTTGAAATAGGGAATTGATGTGAGACTAGATATCAAATCGTCTACCTCAAGTCATTTGATGATATCAAATGAACTGTCCTTTTCAGCAATACTGATCATATCAGTTATACTAGGTATCATTACTAATAGAGCATAGTTATGTATGTGTGAAATGAAATGAAATTTTGTTTAAATATGTTATCAGCATTAATTAGTTTGAAAATAATTTTAACATTTTACATGTTTTAGGTAAACATATACACTGTGGCATGACTTCCAAATGATATGTTAAAGGTTATTAACAGCCATGCCATATCTGTTTTAATGCGATTTGTAGTGCATTGCACACATACACCTCTGCACCCACTTAAAACCTGCATAAATCAGATAAAAATTGTAGTAATGAAAATGTATTCAGATTAATTTTTAAACAAACAATCAACTCAATGCAATCCGATAGCAATAAATATAAAATCCCACTGCCATTCAGCCACAGTAAAACATAACTTTGACTACTGTTTTACATTTATCACCATAGCAATCCAGGAATTTTGAGAATGTATCTTTTTCATCTCACCTTGAAGGGTCTATCAAAAGTCCCGCTGGATGTTTTAGAGTTTTTATGTGGGTTATGAAGGGCTATATTTAGAGTACATGTATTAATGCTGTTTGGTTCTTTGGGTATGCTCTGACACAAAATCACTCAAAACTGTAACTTAGAAAATCTGTATTTTGTAAAATTTACTTAATAATCAAGTCAGTTGATCATAAATTTAACAAAAGTATTTAAGAAAAATAGGTAGATGACATACTTTTGATAATATAGGTAAATCTATTTCAGAGAATTGTATTTCTGAATATTTTTTGATAATTTTACAGAGAACATGCCTCGACTGAAAGTGTGATCTCTAAATCTGAAAGTTGTTGATGCTTTTCAAGTACAACAATCATTTTGCATCTCAACACTCTATCAATAGTGAATGGTATTTTTGTGTCACCCTGTAGTATATGACTGCAGACTTCTTTTTATAGATTCCCCTCTTAATGATTGTAGTTCTCCATTTATCAAAATATTTTTGAATCTGTGTTTTCCAGTTGTGTTGATAGGTGACTCTGGAGTAGGAAAAAGTAACCTGTTGTCACGGTACACAAGAAATGAATTTAGACTTGAAAGTAAACCAACCATTGGAATTGAATTTGCAACTAGGTGAGTAGAAAAGTCACTGGGGTTTCTCTTTTAAGTTCATGCTTGCTAATTTCCCCAAGTCGTTTTCTCCCCTTGATCCTCTTCTCCTCAAAAGAGTGTCATCCTACAGGCCCATAGCCAACTCTAAGAGGTAATGCTAAGAGGTAATTTTTTTTTAATTTAGCCCAAAATCACTTGAACTCAAAATAATGAAAGATTGCATGATAGCAGGGGATTTGAACCTCTGAGAAAATATCTCAGAATTTTTGAACTCTAATGTAAATGTTTCAGTACTATTGAACTCTTGTTTGGTAAATGTTTCCAAAATATTGAACTCTAAATGTTTCAGAACTGTAGAGCTAGAAGGCAAATCTATTAAGGTCCAGATTTGGGACACAGCTGGTCAGGAGAGATACAGAGCAATCACAAGCGCGTAAGTTTACTCACTTAAAGTGGTAGTATAGGATAGAGAGTGTAGAATGTTCAGAGCTTTCTCAATAAGCATTTCAGTGTCCCTTTCAATCTCAAATTCAATGTCTGAAACAATGACATATAGTTATATTATCTAAAATGATGCAATTGATGATTGATTCTAAATGTTCAAATTCATTATGAATTGAAAAACCAGTTCTCATCTCTTGAAATTTTAAGAATAATTCTCAACTGTTCCATCCTTTGTTGCACCTTTAATTATTGGCCAATATAAATAAACTACAATTATTAATTACGTAGCAATGTCTATTAGATAAAAATAACATGCTCCAAAATGTGGCCTAGATTATTCAAACGTTCTGATTGTTTGTTACAGTATCACCCATCCAAGTTACTATTACTAATTTATTTATATTTGCAGTTATTACAGAAAAGCTGTTGGAGCATTATTAGTGTATGACATTGCAAAATTCTCAACATTTGAGAATCTAGAAAAATGGATATCAGAAGTAAAAACCCATGGGGAATCAGACATTGTTATTATGCTAGTAGGAAATAAATCTGATCTCAGACATCTAAGGACTGTTATGTTTGATGATGCCAAAAACTTTTCAGGTAAGAGTGTGATTCCTTAATTGTACATATAAAGAACTTTGTACGGTGTCATTGCATTATCAAAGGCTGTATGCCCATGTTAGTTGTCATTTAAGGTGTATGGACCATGGTAATGCATTTACATCATACTTGTATTATATTTATAGTTTCCAATAGGCTGACCTACTTTTGCAATTCGACCTACTTTTACAATTTGATAGATATTTTAAATAAGGCAGTGGAAAATATTTACTAGTACTGTATGTCAAATTGTGCAAAACTTGACACCCATAACAGTGTCAAAATGGGACACCTGTATTTAATCTTGTGATATGTTGGTTTATTCCATAATACTTCTGTTTTCCCAGGGAAATATGAAGGAATAAAAATCATATTGAATCGTATTACATGAAAAAATCGTATTGTCCCCGGGAAAAAAATCGTATTGGAACGTATTAACCTATTTTTGGTTTCCCGGTTATTTTTAACCTTGGCTAATTGATAAAAGCATTATCCAAATGTAACATTTAAGAGGAATGTATTATGGAATAAATAGGTTATTTCTGGTCGGGATTGAATATGGGTTTTATTCCTCGGAAAATATGATATTGACCCTGGGAAATATGATATCGACACTTGATCGCTGCGCTCCCTCGGTCAATATCATATTACCCTTCAGTCAATATCATATTGTCCCTCGGAATAAAACCCATATTCAATCCCTCCCAGCAAATAACCCATATGAATATATCAGGTTGATGATTTCCTGAAATCGTTAAAGGTAAATGATTCTATACCATGGAGAATAGCTCTGAACAAGTTAACCCTGTACTGTTGCATTGGACACATCTTTATTTGTATGTTTCAGATCAGAATGGGTTTGCTTCCATAGAAACCTCAGCATTAGAAGATACCAATGTAGAACAAGCTTTCAAAAATCATTTAAATGGTAAAATTACTTAGACTATTGTGGATAAATAAATGTTAATTCCTAATGTATAGTTCTTAATGATTTTACAATGTCTTATCAAAACATATCATGAAAGCTGGTAGAAACAGTACATAGATACATGTATATACTGGATAAGGTGCATCTGTCTACAGAGTACTAATCAGAGAGACGAATTACATGATGCGTATACAATATGTTGTACATGTAGTTGTGTATCAGTTACAAAAGAAAATTGTTCCAGCTGATAGATGTAATGACATGTTACATGCTAAGAAAAACTGAATAATTAACTGATCCATTCTTTGTATTTCAGATATATTCACTGTGCAATCCAAAAAGTATGAAAAGAAAAGCGCCCCATCTACCCCACCCGCTAGAGAGCCTCATCCTGAGATACAGGATGCACCTCTCACTTCTCAACCCGACCCAAAGAAAAACAAACAAGCGTTGTGTTGTAAGACGTAAAATAGATGTCTGTCGTGATGTTTGTGTCTGTGATCATGGTGTACATAGTATTAGAGATTATAATTATCATTAAGAGAAACACTCCGAAACTTCAATGGTTCCCACTTGAATGGATTGAAACTGGAAAAACTGTATTGACTAGTACAGATTCACTACTAATATGGAATGGTACCAGTTGAAACTAATGACTGGTTTCACTGTAAACTATATTGATTGGTACCTTGTAAAACCATATTAATTGGTGCCAAATGCAACTGCTTATTGAAAATAGAAAAAATCTGTATTGTATGAAGCTGTGCTTTATTGATGATGCATTTTAATGGGTCTAAACCCGAGAGGGATGACAATGTTGGATATACTCCTATTAAAAGGCCCCATATTATATGTCATAAAAGATGATCAATAAAAAAGGGCCCCCGCTAAATTTATGCTCATATAGGCATGATTGGTTGGAACTATAAAGACTATTTGCACAAAGTACCATAAAGTGTGGTACCTTTGAAAACATATTTGCCTCAGGAGTCTAAGCCCCACCATACAATAGCGAAAAGATCCTTCCTCTCACAGTGTTCATTTTTTTTGTTTTCAGGTCAAGCTAAATTGTAGTTTCATCAAGTCCTTGACTTTGTGATATACACACATGTATATATGTAAAAGGAAAGCAAGGAAGGAGTGTTATATTATTTTAGCTAATCAAAATTAAAATCCATTACGGTACAACTTCTGCATCTACGTATACATAATACAGGTATGTTAGAAATGCGTAGATGTGAAATTTGAAAATATTTATGTATGTGAATCAAATGTAGTGCAGTCTGTGCTAAGGGATGAGGTCAATGTTTTGCTGTTGTTCTCCATATTGACCCCCTCCCCAAAAAATGAAATAAACACCTTATTGATTTTAACATTTTAAAATCTAAACGAAGTATGGGCATAAATCAGTAGATGGACCTTATCCCTAGTATATTATTATTGTATAAAGTGTACATGTTTATTTATAAGCATAAAATGGATATAATTTTATTATGCAAATCATACATCCAATGTGTGTACATGTTATTAGTAAATTAGACAATAAGGAAATCTGCCATATATTTTATCAAAACTGGATTTCTCAACCAATTGATATCAGTATCCCTAATGTAATATCTGAAAAAGATTTATAACATACAATTAAGAATTATATGTGTTCTCTTTACTATATGATATGAGCCAACTCATTTCTATAGAGTAACAATTTTAAAGAATTATACTCTATGTCTGATTATCTTTTGATAATTTCATTTTGTCTGAATTTTATTAGATAAGCATTGATTGTAAAGCTGAAATGTATTTTTATGCTTGAAGCCAATTCTTACAGTGTGTCACTATATTATAATACAATGGTCAAGATGTAATATTTATTCATCATAGTGTTTTGTATCAAAAGAATGGATTATCAACAGATTTACTCTCTGTTAATGGTCCAATGATAATTCCTCTTTAATTTGATGCATTCTAGTTAACATCCCCACTTACGAACATGTGGTTTCATGTTGCAAATTGTGAATAATTAAGTCATTGGGATTAGGTCACTAGTGCTAGTGTTTCTATGTAGATAGAGAGGAAATGGTAATTTAATTAGTATCATTTGGCATTCAAATCAGTCACATTACATCACATGTGCTCAAGATTTTTTATAGAAAAGGAATGCCATATATCCATGGTTTGAGAGATTACAATGCATTTTTGTGTTAACACTTTATTTAAATCACCATGACAACTTGGAAAAATCAATCTCTGTGTGTTCTTTAAATATCAGGGGTACATAACACATTATTGCACAATCAGTGGTATGTAACCTATAAGTTTAACAACACAAGGATATACAGTACATATAAAAAAGGGGTATATAATGAGTTATGGACCCCTGATAGCTGTTTAGAGGTGCAATTTATGCTAAAATATATATTAGTCACAATCAAGCAGCTTTTTAGGTCTTTATGCATGTACCTAGTTTTTTTATATGCTTTTAATAAAATATTTAGTTAAATATACAAGTATACTGGAGTGTTTTGTTTATTAATTAGTATATTGACCAAAATGAACAGTATTATTGATGTCAATGGCATTTTCAAAAATGTGACCAAAATTGTTGACATTTTAAGCTGTTCATAAATGTCAATGGTACCAATCTGAGAAATACACTGGCTAGGATTTTTATACTTGGCACATCTTTTTCGGGATTTCTGAAAAGTATTAAGACTCAGAAAAGTATTAAAAGCAAAATATATTAAGAGCTTTGAGAGTCATGGACTCATGGTTAATGTAAATTGTTTGAAGTAACAGAAGGGTAGTGAACCTGTATCAACATCTGACAGTGACATCTATTGGTGACAGAACCATGGAAAGATATCTCTATAAGAGATAAAGGGTTATTTCCAGGGTTTGGTCACCAATAGATGTCACTGTCAGGTGTTGATACAGGTTCCTGTGACCGTACCGGCCGGGATAACCTTTTGTGTACGATTGTGTACTGTTACCTGATACCCCTTCCCTGAGTATTCATTAAATTAATTGACCATTTTTGTGCAAGTGAAAGATAATGCATTTAATATATCCATACTTTTGTCAATGTTATATTACAAGAACAACTAAATCAAGTTCAAAATTCCCGGGGAAAATAATAGCCAAATTTCGTTTGGTGTAATTGTATTTTTCTACATCTTCGTTTTACAGATTCGTTTGACATTTAGACACAAACCGGATGTGATATTGAAGATTGAAAATTGGTAAGATTTAAAACATTGTTTTCGTGATCGATGACACCCAGGTGGCTCTTTTTGAACTATTTTTAATGTCATTGTAATAAAAAAGTTTCGATCTGTAGTGTGGATAAAGTTATGCAGCACCACAATGTGTTTCATTCTATTGAATTTCATGGTTGAGATTTGAGTTTTTGTCTGCAATTCCTAGCAGTCCATGTATAATGATATAGAGCTGAGGTAGACTCATTTTGAATTCGAATTTTAGGACCATATCTGCACAAACCTTCTTCATCATCATGGAGTGCCAAAATGACTGTACTTTTTTGAGATCGCCGCATATTCCATGTGTGAACAATAAGAAGTAGTATTACAAGTTTACGAAAAAGACTGACCGCTGTCAACTGACCTGTCACTCTCCACAGTTGGGTACATGTGGTCAGCTGTCGGTCTTTTTCATAAAGATGAATAGATGCAAAATTAGAAGAGGAAATGAAAACTAAAAATATAGGAATCCATTCAATCCAATACGACTAACTTTACGAGGTCAATGTGTAATCGCAACGAAAAATGAACATGGAAAAAACGTAATATCATCTTTGTCTGTTATACAGGCCTGTCAACTTGGGAACATCAAAAAGAGTGACCTCAAATGGTGAACACATTCCTTGAAATAGTGGTTCAAATTTTATTGCAAACATGCAAATTATGGACACCTCAAAAATTCGTATTTGCATACATATGCGTGACATATTCTGTCACGCAAAAAAATGTTGTGACTTCAATATCTTCAGCAAATGCGTGACAAATGCACAAATTGCGGACAGTTGACAGGCCTGGTACTATTATACTTTTAACATTACATTGTGTTCAGTAATCAGTATGACAATAAAAAATCATTTCAATTAGAAATAATTTCCATTATGTACTACATGTACATACAAGATGGGTAAAAAACGTTGCCTACGATTGACATCTATTCAAAATCGACACTTCTACACATGATATGGTCTGTCTTTTACACATTTTCTTAGAACCATGTTTTGAGGCTAACTCTGGAAAACACCGACCGGTCGCTGGTCAGTCTTTTTCGTTAACCCCATTTTCACATCTAAAGCTTAAGTCCACCTACTGAAATTCTGAACTCATATAAACAGTACAGAGCATTTTGTAAAATATTTCAAAGATTGGATCAATTACATTCAAATATCACTTCTGAAGAGCATGATGAGAATGACTAATTATTGAGAACAGATTGACAATTATTTTAAGAAAGTCCAATAGAATTGAATTTGAGCTAGGTGTGTAATAAATACATTACTTTATCTTTTTTTACTTTATCATAGTGATGAACAACGTAGCATTTTGATTGTTATCTATTTCTGTCACTCAGTATGCCTTATTTTGATCCCCTTATTTTCAGGCATAGTAGTTGGTCTACCCATTAGATCTGTTAAGATGAGTTTACAAGAGTTTACTGGGAACACTCTAGTGTGTGACCTCATACAAGATGCAGTCTTGAAGATATGTACAGAACATATGAACTTCTCACGTATCTTAGAAGTTGATGGAATCATCTGTATATCTCCCGAGCAAAGCCAGAAGGATCTTGTTGTTAAGATACATCGGACTATAGTGAAATCATCTGATGCTCTATCCGATGATGTTGCTCTGATGGAAAATCAAACGCAGCAATCTCAAACAGCTAGGTTTCAATCTCAGGCAGCTAGCTTTCAATCAGAATCAAATAGGAATAGTTTCCCATCACATATGAGGCTGAATCATACCCCAGGTCATCAAGGGCTACGGGAGCAGGGGATGAGAGGCCAATTACAGGTTGGCCACAGGAATCCTACAATGCTGTCTGGTCAGCACGGAAATCAAAATGTTACAGTAGAATATAATGGTATGTTTTTATTTAGATCAGAACTTATAATCTAATTTACGTCAGAAGGGACTCAGAATTTTTTGATTTTTGATGAGATTCCTTCAAAAATGCAGTTTTTTATTTGAAAATAACTTTTTATATATAGTAGTCCTTATAAATACTCAAATTGCACCAGATAACATCTTTGATGACAGAAATCTTCCTGGGGGAGCATGGCTCCTGACCCCCTAGATGCATGGCAGTCACTTGCCGAGCAACCCACATTTTTAGATACACACCCCCTTTTTTCAAATATGGTCCGACGCCCTGATAATGATTATTATGATTTTTCCCAAATGCCTAGTATGTAAAATTCTCATTTATATCTTCTGACTTATAGAGATGCCATGTGCCTGAAATACTTTTACGATATATTAAAAAAAACTTGGAACTACAATGTACATTGTTTAACCTATACCAAGAGACCTGTTTAAGTAAAGAGAATGAATTGTACCCTGATTGTAGAGAGGTTTAATACTAGACTTAATACTTGTATTTAATTTTGGTTTGTTCTAAAGTCTTGTAATATGTAATATGTGTTTTTAGAGTCTGGTAATATGTTACCCATACAGTTAGAGCAAGAAGGGCGTAACGAGGACAATAGCTATATTGACTATGAGGTCACACAGAACTCTCCCGATTCTAATACAGAAGAGGCAGGTATGTACCTGGAATTTGTAATTTACAAAAATATGCAGTAGAACCTGTCTCATCTGATCACCATTGAGATTTGCCAAAAGTATTTGGCTTGGTAGGTGTTTGGTAGGTGTTCATATTTGAAGACTTTTCAACATGGAAGTCTATTCTGGGAGGGAGAGTAAATAAATTGGGACTGAAAATAAGTGTTCACATTGAGAGGTGTTTGGATATACAGATTTTACCATTCTGAACCTAAAATTCTTTTAAAGTGTATAACATCTTGTATGTTGGATACCTCTCACAATTGTCTATTAAGAGATTTTACAATAAATAAAAGAAATGATAATATGGGGATGAGGCGGTATTCAATGGAATTTTTTACAACATTGTATGACTGTTGAGTTAAATTAAACTAAATAGACTCAGAAGGTATATTCTAGGTCAGTCAGCTCAATGCTACTTTATAGGGCAAGGTCACCCAGGAACTCATTCAGGGGTATGCATTTACAGATTAGTTTATATCTCAAAAATGAAAATAAAAAAGTTCTTCATTATTATATACTATTACAATACTTCATTTTGTATATCTCTTCAAACCTGCTATTCTTGCAGATGACAGCTCCTATGGTTTGTACAACAATGAAGAGGAATCTAACAACACTTGGGACCAGACTGATATGGATGAAGAAATGTTAGCCATATCAAACTCTTCATTCCGCCTGGAGGATGCCCTGGCGCCTCTTCCTGAGGTTCGGGTCCTTGATGTCACCTTATTCCCATGTCCTTGGTGTAAAAGTCAATACTCCACAGTAGATGAGTTAGAGGTCCATTTGCCAGTCCATGGAGAAAACACTGAACGGTTCAAGTGTAAGTATTGTTCCCGTTACTTTGCCCGGAAATCAAGTTTGACCGTACATTACAACAAGATGACCTGCTTAGATGATCAGAGGTTTGAGTGTGTTCACTGTCAAGCTATATTGAAGACTCGCCAGCAGTTTAAGCTCCACATGGGGAAACACTACAGAGATAAGCGTACATACAAGAAGAAAGGTGGCAAAGCTATCGCTTGTAAACAATGCGACCTTGTTTTAGGAAGCATGGCTGAATTCGAACGCCATATGAAGACACATCCAGCGAACAAACCCTACAAATGTAAAATTTGCAACAAAGGCTTCCAGTCTAAAGGGGGCCAAGAGATGCATATGAAGCGACATAGGGGTGAGGATCCATACAAGAGTTATAACAAGGCTAGCTGCACTCTTTGTGATAGGGTCTGTGTTAGTAAGAGTGCTCTGGCCAATCATATGAGAGTACATGATTCCGATAGACCTTTTCCTTGCGATCATTGCTCCCAGAGATTCATAAGACTCAGTGATCTTAAAGGACATGCATACAAGGAACATGGTATCACACCTATTCCTGTATTCCCCACACCAAATAGTAATGCCGGAGCTACACCTAATGTCGAAGCCAACCCAAAAGATGAAGCCAACTCTAATGTTGAAGCTAACGCAACTAATGTTGAATCCACCATTCCGTATAATGAAGATGATATCTTACGAGAAGGCATTTCTAATGTAGATGATCCTAACAATCTGGACAACACAGAAAATTCATCAGAAACTATGACTGTTAAAACTGAAACTGTTGAAATAGAGCAAACTGAAGATGTTGAGGACAATGTAGAAACTGATGCTGTTCCAGGAGATACAAGTAATGATAATGTTGTTGAATCTATGGACGAGCTGTGAAAAAATCATGAACATCATCCTACAGTAGAGATACCCAATCACAAAAAATGTTGGAGAGTGAAATTGTACACTCTATGCAATAGCAAAGTGAATCATCAATAAGGCATAATGACCACAGCTTTTGCCAAATATGTTGAATTGTGCTATTCAGCCCCAGAATCACCCCCTGCATACATATGGTACTGTATATCATATTCTTGTACTTGTGAATGTCTTCAAGAAACAAGTTGTTGCTTTACACTCCCAATCTGCACTCCGAAATCTCGATACCATACGGAACATTAAGAGCATGGTACAGAACTGTACCATTCGAGTATGGTGCTCTATGGTATTGTTTAGTCTATGGTACTATACAGTTCCATATTTTACAGTACCATAGCCAAACAGTACCATACAGCACGTTAGAGATTGGCTGTGTATAAGAAAGTTAAGAAATGATCTGAGGCTCATCAGCAAGGGTAGTCATTCAAGTACCCCAATTTGACTCAAAATTATTAAAGATTCATAAGCAACTTTGCTAAAAGTAGATCTGCATTGCCTTTTGCTAAAAAATCTACTCCTTTTGGAAAAATAGCAAAATTGATAATAATTTGGATTCTGATGGGCCAACACGTCTGTACATAAACTCACAAGAAGAGATCTTCTGATATGATATGATTCAAGTTGGTAAAGGAAAACACTTTCCTTATAAATAATCAATGTTCATGTACAGTTAAAAGTGTTATAATGATATGGTCTTCAATGAGAGAAGGAAATCGTGAGGCAGACAAAAATTTAAAGACTATGCCTGTATCTTGCTACTTAAAGATTGTTTGCATGTAAATTGATGTTTTGGCGATCAATAAATTTTAGTTATGATTTAAAAATTTATGTAATGGTCCTCATACCATATGCACCAAAAAATGCTTCTTACCAGTGTAATACAGTACTCTTGGTGCAATTAATCTGTTTGTCTTTTTGACATTTTTTAAAATCTGAAAATGAATGAATGCAAAATATTAAAGTTGAATTTATTTATATAATTGAATTTATCAATCACTGTATTTTAAGTTTTTAACCCTCAGTATAGTTAATATACAATCTGTTCATGTAATGGAGATAGAATGATTGATTGCTTTCAAAGATTTTAATGAACTGAAACGCATATTGGAGTTAACTGCCAGCACACTTATGACCAACTGATGATTGGATTCGGTGAAGTAAGGAATTATTTCAAATGTGACCATTTTTGAAGCTATGATTTGTCATCTAATAAGGAACAATAACTTAATACAGGCACTGAACCCCAATGTGTGTTGACTTTATTGACCAGCCTGAGCCAAAGGGTTATTGAATAGGAGCAACTCTCTGAAAATTATTATATGTTGTTCTTCAACATTTCATATACTTATATTAAAACTCATTTTAAGATTATTTAATGTATTTGAAGTAAGCAAACTGGTAATTTGACCAAAAAAATTTAACCAGGAGGAAGGTGCATGTCAAATACATCTGTGCAATTTTGACTTGGATTTTCTATTATTTATTAATTTTAGATGTATGTCTGTTATGTGTTACTTAATGCAATATTTTTTATGTGGGGCACATTAATAGGAAAGTTTGTGACATGAAAATTCCTTAGTCTGTTGTTCTACGATGTTATGATTGACAGTAACAAGAACAAAAAACTTTTCACTTAGAATGTTCTGGGAATGTACCACAGGCTACTACTTATTTATTTTCTAAAAGAATGGATGCACTTTATTTTCAGTAAAGTAGCCCAATACATGTATATAATGTATGTAATGTATACATGTATAGAAAATCCAGGGGCATAGTCAGCAAATATCAAAGGGGTCTGCATAATCATAATAATAATGTCAAGGGGGTGTGCACCCCCTTGCTACACCCACGGAGTCTTGCATCAAGTCTCCCCTAATTAAAATACAGGTATGTGATGAAGAATGCATTATAAAGAGGTCCTTTGCTTCAAAGTGATGCACTGCTTAATTGGCATTCATAATGGCCAAGGTCTATATACCAATGTAACGAATGGTGGATGGAGAACTTTGCATGTTAATGCCTTGTTACAGTCTGAAGATTCATTGAATGTTGTTCCAAACTGAATGGACTTTTCATCCCTTGCCCAAATATGATAAATAATGTTTGTAGACATTGTCACTTTGCTTTTTTCCTAAGGTTAATCATTATGAACAGAGTGTTTTAACAAAAGTCATTAGGAAATGAAATTTTTATTATTTCAAAAATGCAAAAAGATAATGTAACTGAAAGGTTATCTCTCTGTTCAATTTCATACCAATCTATGTAGATATATTCTTTTATATATATATAGTTTTTTAGTCAAACAAAATGGTGTTCAATTTTATAGTTAATGCCAAGGTATCGACACTTTAAGTGACTTTTGGTATATGATATTTAATCTGATGTTTTGAAGTTATATTTTAGTCCATATTTTTGAAACATTGAAAAGTACCTGATTAGAATTGTGGGCTGTCAAAAACCCATGCTAAATGTATTGTATATTAAATATTTACTAAATGTAATGAAATGTAGTCATAGTAATACAATTTTATATTGGTTGTGTAAAAGGTACAAATCTTCTGTAGCTAGTTATATTCACTTATTTAGTAGTTAAGATGTATGTACATGTATAGTTTGTTAATATGTACAATACTAATGTATTAGTTAACGCTCCAGAATTTGGAGGATAAATAAATTATGTTTAAACAAATTCAAAGCAGTGTAAAATGTTGAAAGTAATCTTTTCAAAAAATATATCAAAGTTGAGATAGATTATTAGGTCATTTATAAAATCAATTGTAAAATTCATTATGTCACCACCACAAGTGATGACATATTGTTATAGTCTCCAACCTTTTTGTGGATGGTGTTTGGTGTTTGGTTGTTGATGTTTGGCATCCAGTGGTTGGTGTTCATTGTTCGCTATCTGTTACAAATGGCAGGTGGTGACATTTTGCATTTTAATGCCTTATTAAAGATTTATTACTGGTTTAAGAAATGTCCAAATTTATCCAAATTTATCCCCATTTTCATTTTTGCCCCATTTTCATTTTTTGCCAGATAATGTTACAAATGGAAGGATTGTCCTGAAATAAAGTTAAAATTGTAGAATTTTGTAGAAAAAAGCTTCATGAATTGTTTCAAAACATCTTCAACCATTCTAAATGCACTGTGATACAAACATTGTTTTCTGAAAACCAAGAACCTAATTTTTAAAATGTAACAAATTCCCTTTCTAGGCTGACAGTTTTGATGTCACTACCACAAGTGTTGACATACATGTATGTTATAGTCTGTCTTCTTCTTTGTGGACGCAGTATGGCGGTCAGTGTTAGGCGTTTGTTAACAAATGGCAGGTGTTGACATTTTACATGTTAAATGCCTTGTTGGAGGTTTGATATTTATTGAAAAAAGTTGAAGACTTGGGGCATTAACCGTTACCATGGAAACTTGATTAATTTGAAATCCATACACTGTTCATCTATAGGGGAGTTATAGATATAATCTGATACTGGGCAATATTGGTTTACCATAGCAATAAATTAAGTAACTTACACTTAGATAAGTTTACACTATCTAATACTGCGTGCAACCATGTGATGAAATTTTGACATATAAATACCTTGTATAAAATTTCGGGGGATCAGAGTTTTCACCCTAAGCCACAGTAACACACATTGATTGGATCGCAGATCGAAATGCAAGCTTCTAATTGCACTTTTTGGCATACATTGATATCAATATGGGTTAATTAGATCCATACATGCAAATTCATGCTGAACCATCAGATTAAATTAGGTATTTACATTAGCAGCCATACCATGTTAAGTTAACCTTGCCTAAGTCGGTGTCTTTGTACAATTTTTTTTTTACTTTTACATCATGTTTTACATATTATTTAAGATCAAGATAATAGTCTAGTTAAAAGAAAATAGTGATTTAGGCAAGGCTAGCTAAAATAAAAGTCAATATCAATAAGTAGTTGAGGTTATGGGACATATTAGGTAATATAAAAGTAAAATAAAAAAGCTTTTGGGTCATATATTTTTATTAAAACTTGTTCTCCCTTGAGTACATTGATTGGAAGCATTCCAGAATTCTGATATCTTATATGTTTTACGCTCTGTTTGAGTATCATGAAGAGCTTTGCACAATCTACATAATGCTTCAAAGGAATAAATCCCCATCTTTGAATAAGATATTTTGAATTTTGATTTCCATTCAAAATATTTGGAATATAGCAATGGATCATTGGCAACATTTTTAAGATGTTCTACTAATTTTTCATAGTTTTTAAAATCATCAATTAAGATGTATGAGTCGGGTGGAAGAATGTTTTTATAGCCTGTCACTTTCCCCTTAACAACTGGGACTATGTTGTTTGCAAATGCATTGTGCCATACTTTCTCTGTGGTGTACTCTATGCATTCGTTGTTCTCAAGGGCCAAGTAGAAGAAGTATGTCCTTCCTGAAAAATAATGTATTAATAATGTATAAAAATATGTATATAGTATACATGTCACTCTTTGACAATTCTTACTTTTCAAGATTGAGTTTAAAACTGCCAATAGATTTCAGTTGTGTTTTATGGGGGCCAAATAGTATGGTGGTGATTATGTCACTTAGTTATTCGTTAGTATATACAGCTCAGTGAACTTGTTCTCATGGTGTTTTTATTTCGGTTTAACTTTATTCACACATTGCTGAGGATATGTCAAATTCCAGACAATCAGAACACAGTATTTCAAATAACCTGCATTCTTGAAATTACAAACAAGCATGGATTTTTTAAAATTCAAGCTGGTAGTTCAGTGAAATCTTATAAATAATATCATGAGGAATAGCAAAATAGGTCAAATGGTTGGTGTGGACCTAGTTTTGACAATTTAACCTTTGAAACCCTCGCAAAAAAAGTTTCTATGGAAAAATGTACAAAACCTATTGCAACGTGTGAAAAGAATTCAGTACAGGACTCAGTGAATTGTAGATTATTTAATCCACTTATGTCTTGTATCCTTGACTTAGAATTTGTGCTGCTGCTCTCCTTCAAAGTCTGTAAACAAGGCATTCGTTTTTAACTCATCCATACAATTCATTGAAGTCCTTTAACCTTAGATTGTTGTCTTTACAAGAAAATTCAACAATTTTAGTTTTGTCAATGGGTGTTTTCTGCAATAACCATGCAAATATACTTCCACTTACCAATATACTCAAGGCAATTGTAAGGACAGTGTTCTCCACATTGACCATATACATCTACTGTGGTATGATTTTGAATCATTCCTACAATACTTTCCCTTTCACTCTCTGTCTCACAGTGACTTGCAAGCCATGCAATCAATTTACTTTTATTGTGTGCTGAATATGTATTTGTTACATCAATTTTTTCAAGTTTAGTATATGAACCATAAGGCACTGGCCAATCAGAATCATGCCTATAGGTGGCAGTCAAGTTGAACATGTCGTCAAGTTCGGTCAAGTTTAACTTTGATTGCCAGTAGTTCCTACCAGGAGCCTCAACTGTCAGAAACATCCATTTCTGTTTGGGACTACGGAACTTTGGTAAATTTTGAATGTTAAATAATCCATCCCAAATGTTGAAAATGATAACATGGGCATTGTTAACTCCTACAGGACTGCGATCATCAAGTAAAACACAATTGGACACTGAACATCTCTCAAATGCTAAATTTCTTATAATTTGTGATTGTTTCATTGGACCGCCTATAAAATTTCCATTCCAAAAAAGTATGCTGATCTTGCTATGTTTATTGGTATGTTTTTGTAGAAGCATTTTATCACCAATGAATTTTCTGTATGTGTCACTTTGTAAAAAGGCATGCTTCATTATTGGTTTGTGTTCATATTGTATTAAGATTTGCCACAGCAACCCCAGTGTTAAGTTCACAACCAACCAGCAGATGTACACCTGGAACAAAAAAGATCCTCATTTATCCTGGGACCTGGTACTTCATTATACTGATCAAACTAGTTAACATTTTGTTTATTCTTTGACCATAAATATTACAATAAAACACCATGTATGATATACCTTTATCAGGTCCTTGAAAATAAATAAAACTGAATTATTTTTACTTGAGCTAATCTATATACTATTCATTTTACAGATAAATATTGATTTAAACAATTAAAGTCCTATGATAGGATCTTCCCCTTGAAACTCATATTTTCCTGCTCAATTCAAAGTTGCCTCACCAATTTCATTTTGCCTCACCTAGTTCTTGATTCTATCTATGACTCCGATTAGTTAAATAATATCATTAGTAAAAAACAATTACCCATAGTTTGTTCTGCATGCTAGATAATGGAAATAGATTTGTATTGATTTTGATCAGGTTAACCTCTAAAGTGATTTATTATCTGACAATTATACACTTACATGCAATGGAAATCAATTGAATTTTTTAAAAACACTGATAATTTAAACAGATATTTCAATAAGTGGTGAAAACAAACTGATTTGTTGAAATTAAATATCATCGCAATAGATTTGTAATGTAGCATTTAATCTTCACAGAAAAATATTCTCATGGCAACCTCAATTTATTACAGTGCGAGGAATGATTCACTTATTTAAAATTCATATTTTGTAACATCTGTATGTGAGAAAAATGGAAAAGTCACTATCTCACTCCACATATGTAAGTGCTAATATGCAGTTTCATTGCAGAGTTACTGTATGTTATAATAATCTAAAAAACAATATCATTACAAATCATTTTATTGGATGTATAAACTTATTCCCGAGACATTGTATTCTTAAAGAACACATTCTACAAGTTGACTGTGCAGTGTACCCATGTTCTTGTGCAAAGAATACACATTACATTACCTCGAACATTGTTATAAGTAAACTTATGCTTTTATGGCAACTTTTATCTTTACCATTTCCAAGTATTTACAAGAAACTTATCATTTTACGCCTCCTTAGTGCAACATACGAAGATCTCAACAAATTTTCTCCTATAGGGAATTGTATTAAGATGGCAAAAGCATATCAGCTAGATGAAATGGTCTATGAAATGTTTAATGGACACGTCTATTCAAAGTTACAGTGGAAAAATATTGTGAAGAGTAAGGTACATTTATTTGAATTACGTAACTGGCAAATTGAATGTATATTGTCAAGAAAATTGCCATTGTTCAGAATAGTAACCCATGACATCCAGCCTATAATATGGTGGAAGGTAGCTAAATTAGATCCTAGAATTTTGAAGTGTTGCAGGACGGTGGTTAAACTACTGTTGGGAGAAGGAAACATAATGATTAATGTCAATAGGTGGTCTAACGGAAAAATTTCTGTATTATGTAAAATGTGCTATAATGAACCAGAAACACTATCACACATGATACTGGACTGTGAAGGTCATGATGCTTTAAGATCTAATATTTTGGAAATTGTACATAATATCTTCAAACCAGCACGAAATTATCCAAAAGAGATGATTCTTGGAGCAATTTTTGGTGCAGGGGAGATATTTGATGTCGAGGAATATAAGCAAATTGCTGTTTACATCCATAAAATGTACATAAATAGACCAGAGTCTGGTCTGTAACTATAATTAAATTGCATATCATATACATATGTTATAATTGTAACTAAATAATGTAAAATTTATTTAAACACATCAAATATGGTGGATAAAATAAATAAATAAAAAAAAAAAAAAAAAAGGTGATCATGGTCTTGTGCAAAGAACACACATTCATTACAAGGTGCTCTTATGCAAAAACAAACAATCCTTACAGGGTGATATATTGTACTCTTGTGTAAAAGACTCATTACATGATGATTGTGCTCTTGTGCAAAAACAAAGATTCATTCCAAGTTATTGTGCTCTTGTGCAAAGAACACACATGTTCAAGTATTATAAGGTGATTGTGCTTTTGTGCAAAAATGCACAGTCATTACAGGGTGATCGTACTCTTGTGCAAAGAACACACACTCATTACAGGTTGGTTGTGGCTTTGTGCAAAGAAAACCCTCGTTTAATGGTAATTGTGCTCTTGTGAAAAAATACAGTCATTAAAAGATGACTATGCACTTGTGCAAAGAACACATAAGTTGACAAATAAGTTGATTGTGCTATTGTGTAGAGATCACACACTCGTTTCAGGGTAATTGTCCTCTTGTGCAAAATAAACTCCTTACATGGTCACCGTACTCTTGTGTAAAGAACACACATTCATTACAGGGTGATTGCGCTCTTGTGCAAAGAACTCACACTCGTTACAGGGGCTTGTGTTCTTGTGCAAAGAACATACACTCGTTACAGGGTAATTATGCACAATCACACACTCGTTGCAGGTTGGTTGTGGTCTTGTGCAAAGAACACACAGTCAATCCAGGGGGTTTGTTATAGGTTGGTTGTTTCCTTGTGCAAAAATGCACGTTCATTACAGGTTGGTTGTGGCTTTGTGCGAAGGAAACACTCGTTTAATTGTAATTGTGCTCTTGTGAAAAAATACAGTCATAAAAAGATGACCATACACTTGTGCAAAGAACACACATCCATCATACGTTGATTGTGCTATTGTGTAGAGATCACACACTCGTTTCAGGGTAATTGTCCTCTTGTGCAAAATAAACTCCTTACATGGTCACCGTACTCTTGTGTAAAGAACACACTCATTACAGGGTGATTGTGTTCTTGTGCAAATAACACACATTCATTACAAGATGATCGTTCTCTTGTGTAAAGAACACACACTCATTACAGGGTGATTGTGCTCGTGTGTAAAATACACACACCTTGTTGAAAAACTCACACTCCTTACAGGGTGATTGTGCTCTTGTGCAACGAACACACACTCATAACAGGGTGATTGCGCTCTTGTGCAAATAACACACATTCATTACAAGGTGATTGTGCTCTTATGCAAAAACATACACTCCTTACGGGGTGATCGTAGTCTTGTGTTAAGAACACACACTCATTACAGGGTGATTGTGCTCGTGTGTAAAATACACACACCTTGTTGAAAAACTCACACTCCTTACAGGGTGATTGTGCTCTTGTGCAACGAACACACACTCATAACAGGGTGATTGCGCTCTTGTGCAAAAACACACATTCATTAAAAGGTGATTGTGCTCTTATACAAAAACATACACTCCTTACAGGGTGATCGTTCTCTTGTGTAAAGAACACACTCCTTACAGGGTGATCGTACTCTTGTGTAAAGAACACACACTCCTTACAGGGTGATTGTGCTCTTGTGTAACGAACACACACTCATTACAGGGTGATTGCGCTATTGTGAAAATAACTCACTTGTTACAGGGGGGTTGTTGTTTTGTGCAACGAACATACACTCTTAACAGGGTAATTATGCACAATCACACACTCGTTACAGGTTTGTTGTGGTCTTGTACAAAGAACACACACTCGTTTAAATGTTGGTTATGGTCCTGTGCAAAGAACACTCACTCGTTTAAGGGTAATTGTGCTATTGTGAAAAAATGCACTCATTCCAAGATGATCGTGCTCTTGTGCAAAGAATACAAATTCATTATAAGGTGATCGTGCTCTTGTGTAGAGAACACACAATCGTTACAGGGTAATTGTGCGCTCGTGCAAAAGAACACACACTCCTGTGATCTTATGTAAAGAACACGCTCGTTACAGGGTGATTGTGTTTTGTGCAAAGAACACACACTAGTTACAGGGTGATTATGCACAATCACACACTCGTTACGGGTTAGTTGTGGTCTTGTGCAAAGAATGCTCACTCATTCCAGGGGGGTTGTTTTCTTGTGCAACGAACACCCACTCGTTACAGACTGGTTGTGGTTTTGTGCAGGATACGCATCCGTAACAGGGTAATTGTGCACTTGTGATAAAAATGCAGTCATTACAAGATGAACATGCTCTTGGGCAAAAGACACACTCTTTACAGGGTGATCGTGCTCTTGTGCAAAACGCACACTCGTCACAGGAGTGATCGTGTTCTTGTGCAAAAACATGTAATCTTATGTAAAGAACAGACACTCATTACAGGGTGATTGTGCTCTTGTGCAACAACACACACTCCTTACAAGGTGGTCATACTCTTGTATAAAGGACACATGTTCCATTGTGCAAAAACACACACTCCTTTCAGAGTGATTGTGTTGTGCAAAAACATAAACTCCTTACAGGGTGATCGTGCTCTTGCTTATACGTAAAGAATAGACACTCATTGCAATTTAATTGTGCTCAAACTCGTTATAGGGGGTCGTGTTCTTGTGCAAAGAACACACACTCAAACAGGGTGGTTGTGGTCATTTGTAAATAACACTCACTCATCCGTCCCAGGGTGGTTGTGTTTTTGTGCAAAGAACACACACTAGTTACAGGGGGTTTTGGTCTTGTACAAAGAACACACACTCGTAACAGGATGGTTTCATTGTTTGTCAAAGAACACACACTCGTTACAGGGTGGTTATGTTCTTGTGTGAAGGTGACGCACTTGAATTAGAGGGTTATTGTCTTCTTGGGCAAAAAACACACACTCATTACAGGTGATTTTGCTCTTGTGCAAATGACACACGCTTGTTTCAGGGTGACTGGGCGCTTGTGTGAAGAACACGCACACCACACATTACAAGTGATTTTCTCTTGGGTAGAGAACAGCTAATTCTTAAAGGGTGGTTGTGTTCTTATCCAAAGAACATACAATTATTACATCGTGGTTGAGGTTTCTTGCAATCGGAACACACATTCACTCTAATCATAGGGCTATTGTGCTCTTGTACGAAGAATGCACATGTGTTAGGAAGTCATTGTGCTTGTATGCAATGAACACATACTAATTCATCAATCATCGTTCTTTCATACATCGTCACTGTCCAAAATCAGGTATATCTGTATGTACAGTATATAGTTGGTCATTTATTCATTCCATTCTACATTTCATTTTTCAATTCCATTGTAGATTGGCATTCTATGATATATGGGTTACAGTATCAGAAGTGATTTAGATACTCCTTATATGTTGTGTATTGAAACAACAAACATAGATAAAGGGGGGGGGGGTGATTTAGTTAATATTTCCATGTTTTATTTGGTGGTTGTGCTAGCTAAAATAATAAAGTAAACCCTTGAACCCTACACCTGTACCGACATTAGTTTAAATTACTGTATTGTGCTCACATTCTAACTCAGATGTTTGATCTCAACTACATATGTAACCAACCCACTCACAAACTTACGCGGCTGATTGTGCTCGTGTTGAGATAAAAAAAATCATTTCAAGTCAGGTTTCTCATTTTGTAAGAGATCTGGATATCACACCCAAGTACACATCAGAGGATTGATGTTCTCCTTGAAACACTATCTGGTTATAAGGGGATCTGCTGATGTGCAAAAGACATTTACCAGGACACAATGAAAAGATTACACAACCAGTAGTTGACATAGTCAATACTGAAAGGGTATAACTGTGCTCAACATCAATAACTGGTAATAGTGGACAGCTAGGAACTTGCGGGGGACACATCATTACAGATTTGTATGCTCATATGTAAATAAAGACATATAATTATTGTAGTACAGCAGTTGCATAATGATCATATGAGAGGAACACAATCATAAATTGTAAGTAGATTCATTGTGTTTTGCTCCTTGATTGACTGATTGTGCTTGAAAGCCCATGTTCTGACAGTGATACTGATAATACTGAATACTGTGCTAATTGACCACAATTTGTAATGTGTTAAATACATTATGGATGGCATCCAGAGCTATAAAAGCATGTTGCGAATGCGATGTAGGAGTTTTTATTACGTTTGCGCTGGTCAATAAGGGGAGTATAAATAGTACGAACGAGTAAAAACTGAAATTACGGACCGTTCGTTGAATTGATGCATGTAAGCGTGAAAGTAGGTCAATCAAATGCAAAGTCTGTAAAACTTTCGCGGAAGTGTTTTCGAACCATTTTAAGGAGTATTTTCGAATATAATACTGAGTAAAACTAATGCAAACTCTTAATGGAAGACTATCGAAGCAGAGTGTGTATGGTAAGTTCATTTTCTTTTGTCGATCTAACACGCTGGCTTACTTTGTTCAGGTGGCTTTAGATACAAATTGAGCCCATTTGAGGAAATTGCCACCTGTAAAATTGCAACCTCCAAATTCGAGCTGTTGAATAGTCAGATTACTAACAATCTAACATTTGTAGATCTTTTCTTTACAAGGGGAATTAAAGCAACTTTATGCATGCACCGGAATCTAGAAAACATTTTGCATTAGGACCTGTACACTTATAATACTCAAGTATAATATCCTTGTTGACAAACTGAATCAACAGGTGGCACCTCATGAAAGCACCTGATTCTGACCCCCCACATTGAGATTTAGTACCAAGTTCACAGTTAGGTGGTAGTAAGTATGGTGTGGGTCATCTTGGCATTACCTACATGTACATTGTGCTTGTTCAAATTCTAAAATTCTGTCCCCAACGAGTCGATGTGACTCCTTGTGACTAACAGTACTTATTGGATGCAGTACATCACTAGTCCTAGGTCTTACATGTTTGTATCTCTGCTTCATTGGTACAGCAGACTTAGTAAGGGATGACATCCAATTTACTGAACACACCTGTCTAAAGCCAGCTGAGTTATAGTCAGAGCGGCAAGAAATTGTATTTAAAAATATAATTGAATATACATGTAATGTTTTTATACCACCTCAGATGACCATTTGTTGTGTTATTTGTAGCTTAAGCGGAGAAATTTCACATTTGGCGATGGGATTCTGAATTATTGTATTCGTTTAAATATAAAGGACATCATGTATACTACTTAACACATAAATAGGCTCACAAGTTCTTTACTTTTCATTTAAGTTCCAATTAATGCTGTCAGAGCTGACTTCTGTAAGCTCAGGTGAAGCAATTATTGTCAGTAGTTGTAAAGAAGGGAAGGGGAAATCTAAATGATTAAACATGTATATGAAATTAACTTTTCCCACAACTGATAACATTCAGACAGCATCCCTATCTAAAGTTGAAGTTGGACATCTTGATTGATTCCTGCCCTATCATTTAATATGTAGATACTGTATAACAATTTAGAATTTAGAGCCATGCATTTTTTGGTTACATATTGAGAGTATAATGGGGGGATGGCTGAGGAAGATTGGGGTCACATGTTTCTACAGAGCCTTGATGAATCAGGCAAAGCTGGTAATGTTGTTTTTGTGTTCAAACATTTTAAGGTCAACATTAGCCATGGGCAAAAATCCTCTACCCATCTTAAGAAAAATGTAGGAGTCATGTATAGGCCCATCCTCAAGCAATTCACCCTTTTCAACCCTATGCAATAGTTTGTTAAAGAGAACTTCATTAATTATTACTAGCTTCTGGGCTTCAGAGTAAATACATGTACAAGCAATGAGAGTGAGATATTACAACTTAAAGATATTGAGGATACCTAGCTACATGCTCAATTGATGATTTATTGGGGTTTTATAGAACCCTCAGGAATTTGTTTTATGCTTTACTTCCAAGATTGTGACAGACACACTGATAAATGGTTTAATGGGGCCCCTGATACAACTAATGAAGTTCTCTATCATATCACCCTAGGTGGTCTTGCATCAGGTAGCAGACCAGGGAATTGGGGAGGGGGTTGGGGGGGGGGGGGTTACAAGAGCATGATGCAAGACAACATACTAGGTCTTTTATTTGTATGATATTTGTGTAACTTCTCCATTTTTGGGTTTTTATCTTGAATCCCTCATCAGCTAGCTGATAGTAGCTACAGTAGCATAGAACTTTTTTGGGTATCACTTATTTGATTTCACATTAACATAGAAATTTGTTGATGTGCAACCCCACATAACATAGCTTTTTCACTTTCTTATGAAAACCATGGGCTTTCAACTAGATACCTGACCCTCATTTGAGAAGTTGATTTTGGTATTTTGTATTAGTCTTCACATACGTGATACGTAGTTATATATAAATTCAATACATAGAGTATATAAAATGTTTCGAATATATAAATACTGCTGAGACTAATGTTAACATTAAAAGGTGTTTTATGAAGAGGCTTTGATAGTAAGAGTTGTCTTGCTCCAAGCCCTTGTGACTCCTCTCCTTAGCTGGAATTGAAGTAGATAGGGGAGGGGGGGGGGGGGCAGAGACTTGATGCAAGAGTGGCATAGGTATTCTGATTTGTCAGCGTCTCTCTTCATCTAAAGCTTATCTACTTCTCTTTAAGAGATACTGGAGGCATTGGTACCTACAATAAAGTATGGGAGTTTAAAATATCCAAAATTGGGACTGAGAAAAAATCAATTGTATTTACTAGAAACATACATGCTTTGCAGGTGTATCGTATATTTATATATATTGTTAATGTGAATCACTGAAGGGGAGCAAAGCTGTTAACATTACAATAATTAGATATTTTAGGAAGAAGTGAGTGACCATTTATACATGCATTGTAGTATGTATGTGCATGCGGTTACATTCAATCTTTATATAAATCAAAGTACCCCTTGAGTATATACACATAAAGCTTGAATAAGTAATATTTAATACTTACTACAAAACAATTTTAACTTAAGTATCTAATATCTAGTTAATAATCAATCTATCTTGAGAAAATAGGGTAAGTTGTGAGCAAACATGTAGGAGTAATTGATGATAAATTAAATTCAACCAGACAGTCGTACACTAGTCAGTTGTTTGATGTGAAGGAACCATCATGATATACCATGACAACTCATTTCTTCTCAGCCCTGAGATGTTTCAAGTGAAACAGAAAGATGCTATGAGTATCAGAATGTGAAGGAACAGCTATAGGTATTCTCTCTCATTAAAGGTTCCTTGTGTAGCTTGAGAGCATCTTGAGTTTAAAGGTTTTAGTTGCTCCAACTTCATTGTAATAACCACTTGGGATTAATCGCTTGAGAGTCCTTTAACAATCATTAAAAATATAGTTAAACCTGCATAAGTAGAACATCCATGTTACTTGAAAGTAGTGCCCTGTATGGTTGTCGCTCTACCTACAGAGCTTCAAGTTGCATTTCATTAATGGGTCAATAGATTTTGAAAAATGTTCAGCTTATGAGGGTGTTCCACTTTATAAGTTTTACTGTACTTGTTTTTAGCAATAAAGGAATATCATCCTTGGTCCAAGGGTATTTCACTTCTTTCTACAATTGAGTAATAAATGAAGTCCTTTGAATGAAGGATGAAGGAATAATCTCATATGCTAAAATTTTGTATAAATTTACATTTTTATTGACTTACTGAATCATAAAATTAGTGTGGTAAATCTCAAGCATTATTATTACATATATGTAATCTTCTGATGTTTATCTATGTGCCATTCACTTGTGTACCTACCCCAAAAATACTTATGGATACAATTTCTTTCAATAGAATAGTCATTATAATTTTATTCTCATTCAAAAAAGGTTTCACACACAGTTAAAGTTTATAATTTTAAGAGTTTGCACTGGTTTGTAGGCTATTAAATGCACCATAACTTTTGGAATTTGTGTGGGCAATAGTGGATCACTGGTTTCTCATATTTTAGATTAATACCAGGTGATTTTTTACTTAGCATAAACCTTATTACGTGTTAAGATTGCATGTGTATTTTAACTCCCTCAAGATATCCCTCATAAAGTATATTGTACATGTAATAAGTAGATTTGTTTTTGATATTGTTCGTAAGTACTGTTCTCAATGATGTGGCATGTATGCGCTTAATATTATGTCTATCAAAATGAAAGTGTGATATTTTGCTGGTATCATGTTACTTTAAAAGGCGAGATTAACACCCTTTTTACCATCAATATACTACAAACAAGAGTAATTGATTTTCATTCAACCTTCTCCTTCAGCAGAAATTCATTTTATGTATTGGTTTACTTAGGGACCATACCCAGTTGCAAATAAGGCCATACGTACAGTCCATGAATCTAATAGTTCAAAAGTTATAAATGCATACCAAAAGGCCAATACAGTTTCATTGACTTGCTATTTCAGGTTAGTGTGATATTCAATACTTGGTGAAAAATACTTTTGTTGCACAATTGAAAACTTAACAATGCTTTAACTCTAATGTGTGTTAAGTAGTTTTCAAAGCACTTTATTCAGTTTTATAGCTTTTATAGCCACATGTTACATACTGTCGTTGCATGCAAAAGTTATATTACGAAAATGAATCTATTCTAATTTCCATTGACCCTTATAATTCTTTAAATGAAATTGTTTTGCAGTTTTCCTGGTTAATGCTCATAGCTTGTTTTTAAAGCTGCATGCCATATGGTTTTCTAAAGCATTCTTGACTTGTAAATAATTCAATTTCACCTAAACAATTTTCCCTGTGTATTTTTAATACATGTAGATCAATATATACAGGGGAAGTTCTGTTTAATTCAAGTTAAGTCTTATGTGAGATTTTTGTTGTTCTTCCTACTTATATCCAAGAATACATTGGGGTAGGGGAGGATATGAAAAGGCTTGGTGAAAGACTAACTCAAAACACTTATACTAGCTTCTCTGGGGTCTTTTCCCAGTGGCTTTTTAACAAGAGCAGCAATCAAGAAAACACCTTGTCTAATTCTAAATCTGGCTTAAGTCAGTGTTCTGTAATCAGAACATACTTTCTCTAATCTAAAAAGAGCCTCTCAAAAGCCATTATTTTGGCTTTATTTCTGCACATATTATACATCTTGCCTTACTTAAATATATACTATGGGTTATATTGTCTAATCCTTGCTGATGTTGACACTGAAGATTTATTTTATAAAACATGTCGTTTGTAAGTTTTATACACTCCAAGACAAATGAATGGTATGTCATAAGTGTATAAGTTTCAATATTATATGTTTGATGGACCAAATAAGAATTTGACTGTTGTAGAGATGATTTGATGCATAATGTAGTATTATAAGGTACAATAGAGCTCTCATTAAATTTTTGAAAAATGATGTGATGTATTGGATTGACAGCACAAAATATTGTATATATTAACTTCATGCAATATATGATATTTTGGAGCTAATAATAGGATCTGTATCCCACATGATTCTAAAAATAGCTTGCAACGGTATAACCAACATCATGTTAAAATTTTACCTATTTAAAATGAAGAAAAATGTTAAACTTTGGTCAGAACTATAAAAAATGACCATGCAATGATTTGGTAGAAGTTTATACTGTACTGTGTATAGAGGACTTATGTTCTCTAAGGATACAATCCAAATGAGTATGTATGCTCTACATATTTGGTCTGCAGAAATATGTTGACTCTGGTTTGACACTTTCAAGAAGTTTGGAATGTTGAACATACATGTATATTATTCCAACTAAAGCCTTGTACAGTATACTTGTACAAGTATATCACAACCTGAACGAGTATTTTTGGTTATAGAGGTAGACTTGGAAATTGACAGGGGATCAAATATTTTTTGGAAATTGCTCTTAGCGCTTTTAAGGTCCCTTTTTGAAAATGTAGGGACACTTTAAAAAAAAGTCAGGACAGACCATTAAAATAATATTATTACATGTTTATAACAGACCTCCTTGTAATGGTATTTTCTTGGGATAAGAAAACTTGTACTAATAACTTTATTGATACAATTTAAAAAAGTATAAAAAGTATTCAGCATTTTAGAATGATTGTTAGTTAAATATGAGTACTTTTTATATTAACCTGAATCAAATGTAATCGATGACTGACATAACACAGGGTTGGTATTTGGTATATGCTTATGTAACTATAATTGAGCATCTCTTGCCCCAGAGCTGGTTTGGTTTCTAAATGAAATTGCTAAATATAAACAACTGTAAATATTCAAGCCTCCAATTGCAACATTTTAGTAAAGTGAAATTCTCAGTACCTGAGTCAGCCTTTGATCAAAAACAGTCTTACTTGATTACAGCTTCATGTTCATGTTTGTATTTCCAGTTGCAAGTCATTAGGTAGAGGACTGACTGTAAGATGGCAAGCTGGTACAACAGGGGGGATAGGTCCCAAAGGGGCGTGGTAGGTGATCGGGCACTACGGGATAGTAGGTCTGAATCACCTCGTTATTCTCCAACCCGTTCTTCCCCTGGGCCTCAGAGAACATCACAGATGCAGCCAAGAGCATCTCCATCATTAAGAACTGCAGAAAGAGACTCTCCAAATTCAAGGTCTGGTATTGCAGGAAGGGATTCCCCTAGAACAAGGGATTCCCCCATGACAAGGGATCCTCAGGTAATGAGAGATTCCCCAATGACAAGAGATGCCCCTATGACAAGAACTGGAGAAAGGGATATCCTAATTTCAAGATCTGGCACTACAGAAAGGATTCCAAATGGAAGAAGGGATGCCCCTATTTCAAGATCTTCAACTAGTGGAAGGGATGCCCCAAGTATGAGGTCTGCACCTGCAGGGAGGGATGTCCCTGTAACAAGGTCTTCAACTTCCAGACAATCCCCAGGCAGAGATCCACGTGGGACACCGTATAATACAGGTATGTTATACTAACCTGAACCCCTGAACGAACCTATGTTGATGATCTATGTTTTCGTTTTGAAGAAGCCTATATTTATGGCAATGTTGATTAGAATTTTATATCTCAAAAGCTAGGAAATGTTTGAATATGAATGTCTAGCCAATGTGCATACATTTTACATCAATTTTGCAACCTGGCTTTTTTGCAATCATAATTCATGGATTTCATATTCAATAATTGCATTCTTCATGCATTAACAAAATTCATACAACGAGGGAATCATAGAAAAACAATATGAAATGAAATGTATTCGTCAAAGTAAAATTCCATGTCTGAGCAATATTTTCAGTCTTGTAGATGGATAAGATATTGCATCATTGATAGTCTTATATCAAGTTGCTCAACCTCCTCTCTCAAGCCCAATAAGTGCTTCATCTAAAGGGAGGGTGTGTATGGGGGGGGGGGGGGGGTGGGTTACAAAGGCCTGAAGCAAGAGTAAATCCTCATTAACTCACTAAATGCACTACTGGTGGTGTAAGGTAAATCACCTTGAAGAATTAGGATTAATGAAAGGTGTATTATCCCATCTTACACTTTCTAAAGTTATCTTGATTGATTAAGATGATGTTATCCAGGATTTCATAATCTTTTTCTACTTCAGTCAAAAATTAAAGAAGTCCAGCATGTTAACATTCTGAATCAGAGTTCCCATCATCAAACTCTTGAGAACAAGTTCTCTCTTCAAGAGATAGTACATGTGGATTGTAGATACTGTATATGCCATAATGATTAATGAAAGTCATCTTACGTGTTTGAACATTGAAATTGAATATCTACTCACTGCTGAATTTCTATATTATTTTCATTGACAGTCAAGCACAGCTCACAAGAAAACATATTTATGGGGCATTCATTTTACCATGTAACATAGACCTACTTTGGTTGGGCTGTGCAGCAGACTGTCTTACCAATTACTAATGCAATTAAAGTGGAAATGCAAAGAACAGTTAATTACTTTCAGATGGGATTGGCCAATATATGTGTTATATCCATGCATACTTTAACTTATTATCTTGTTTTTGAAATAGATTAGGTTTAACATGTCTTTACATTGACACAATGCTGTATTTGTATTGAGACTAAAGTAAAGCTTATCTTCTTATAAGGAGGGGATCAGACCCTTATAATCAGTTATGACAGGTAATTCAGGTGTGTCTCTGAATTACTACCACCTTGAGGCCTATAATAGCCTAGTTATAACTATATGTATATAACAGTTCTCTTTTAAAGTTAGTCTTGTACAAGGCCTTGTGACCCGCCCCCGCTGCATACCTCCCAACAAGGGAGAAGCTGCTGTGTAGTTAAGTTGTAGGAGGGGGTCACAGGGGCTTGTAGCTAGACTATGGCTGACTATTGAAGAAGTAAAATCAAACTAAACAAAAGGGTACTAAATAACCCACACATTTCCCCATCATCTGAATGCAAAGGTCCAGACATCATCATGAACTAAGTGGTTGATGTCTGGACCCCATGTATTTGGAGGATGATTTCTCCTAGTTCAAGGAAGTCAGGGGGATATTAAAATCAGGGGTTTCTTTGTTTTTTAATTCATAATCTGAAAGCATCATGTTTTTGATTAAAAGGTCAGTCATGCTTAAATTAATAGCATTACCTTATGTTGATGGTTTTAACACATGGACTACTCTCTGGTGCTGTTCTAGGATCCTGAGATCTCAGACCTACCCAAAATATATCACAACATGCCACATTAGTTTTTTCCCTGATTCAATGTACAGGGTAGGCCAATAAGTTAGATCATTAAAATGCGAAATTTGAAAAAGTAGTTGATACCTGATATTGACCATCCTATTTATCATAGTTGGTTGTATATATGTATATTTTTAACAAGACCCCTTACGGAAACTGCCAAGCAATATCTAAACATTAACTAATAGCATAACATGCCCCTCATGGTGCTGTAGGAAATCTGATGCAAACGCAGGGTAGTTTAAACTTTATTGACATGGATTTTGGCAATTAGTTAGCAATATATACCCTAGGTCTAAAGTAATTGAGTAACTTACCATTTTGCCAATGATAAACCTTTTGGGCAAAAGCCAATATGAACCAATGTATTTGTTGACTTACATAAAACAAAAAAATGAAGAGGTTAAATAGGTACTGATCCAAGAAAGATGTTTTGAAGTCCCTAGTTGATGATCGTGATCGTGATCAAAAGCAATGCCTCCAGCTACGTCATGAATGTTTTGTTATTCGAGTTTGTGTAATTGTTTTTTGCTTGTTGAATTTTTAGAAGAATTTTAGCTCAGTAATTTCAGCCTTAACTATTGAAATATACTCATATACTGTAGATGTACATGTACAGGGTGTCCAAGAAGTAACGTCAATGACCCTGGCATTTTGTCATTTATGCTTCAAATGTCATGAAACTTGGTCAGAATGTTCCTTGTGCATTTATAAATATAAATATGAAGTATGGAGTTACTAGCATTTGATTGGCCGGTTTTATGGTTACCATAGTAACACAAGTGCATGGACCCCGGGGCAACTCTGCAATCCGTAAGATCGTTGGAAAATAAAATAACAATAAACACTAGTTTTGAAGTGTACATCTTTTATTTATAATACGACCACAAATATAATGTTTTCAACTACACATCATATATTCATAATATAGCTGTTGCTGGCGTTATATTAGTGTTATATTAACGTTTATTGAATGTTACTCTACATAATCACCACCAAGTTCCACACATCTCTGGTGTCTCCTTACCCACTCCAAGAAAACTATTGAAACCACCAGATCTCATCTCTGCAACGGATGACAGAACAGAGCTCTTAAGTTCCTCATTTGAAGAAAAAGACTGTCCAGCAAGTTTAGCCTTCAGTGCTCCATAAAAGATAGAAGTCACTAGGGGCCAAACCAGGCGAATATGGAGCTTGTTCAAGTCGGGGTATTCCTAGTATCTCAATTACTTCCATGGTGTTCCTGGCCTTGTGAACAGGGGCATTGTCCCAGTGCAGTGAAAGGCGCAATCCAGGTATTTTTCTCTTCATTGCTCTATTGAGACAGAGAACATATTATGATGTCATAAAGTACTCCAAAGAAGTGTTACCATGGTAACTAAACAATAAACAATAAAACCGTTAAGATTTGAAAAAGTCCCAAGACATTGCATTTCATTTTTGCCAAAAGTTTTACCATATAATAACCTGATTTACATAATATTTACCAGGTACATTCTGAAGTGCCCCGGGGTTCATGCACTTGTGTTACTATGGCAACCATAAAATCGGCCAATTAAAAGCCAGTCACTCCATACTTCGTATTTATATGTATAAATGTACAAGGAACATTCTGACCAAGTTTCATGACATTTGAAGCATAAATGACAAAATGCCAGGGTCATTGACGTTACTTCTTGGACACCCTGTACAATTAAATTGCATGCTCTTGTTAAGCTTTTACATAACATATTGAAGGCATAGATTAAAGGTTAGTCTTGTATCAAGCTCTTTTCCTCATCCTTATTGAAATAAATAGTCAATGAGACCAGATACTTATCGAGAATTGTTCGCCACAAAGGAAAAATTATTTTATATATTTGATTCTGATGTAAGATCCAAATCATATTAATGGGCATAGAGGCTCGAGGCAGATGGGTTGGCCTGAAGAAAATGGTTAGGCCCAAAAACAAATTTAAAGTTTTGTAGGGACTCAACTTGTGGGCCTTTTTGGGGGCTTTTTAGGCCATATAATCAAAAAATTGCTTCTAGATACACCCTGACCCTGCAAATATTTTTATTCAACGCTATCATTCTTTGCATGTTTCAGGTCCCCCACCTTCAACCCAGAGAGATGATCGATACAGGGACCTTGGCACAAATGTCCAATTTTCAACTTGGGAAGCGGGTGTTAAAAATGTAAGTACAAGAGTATTACTAAATACTTTAAATAAACACAACACTGAGAACAGTTACAGACTTAATAAGAGTGTTTTAAATACAGTTCAACCCCTCTGATATAAACATTTGTTGGACTTTGCAAAATTTTGTCAAGTTGAGTAGGGGGATTAGGATTGAGACAATGAGACATGTTTAAAAGAACAATAATATTGATAACTATTGAATGAAATATAACATCATAAAACTGGTATTTTAAGTTAAAAGTTCAACTTTTATTCCATGTGTGTTCAAGTTTATAGGTTTTACTTTATTTCTTCCCTCAAGCATAAATCTCTTAAACATCATCCAACTTCAAGTAGGGAAGTCATAAATTCATATGCCTTATACAAACATAAAATTTCATAAACCATATTCCAATACCTTATATTTTGGTGTGTTATACCTTATGTTTTTGGAACCCTTAAACTTTGTACGTATAAACATCCTGCTCTCTGGCATATTACCCTATAGTCCAGAGTTATGATTGTTGCCCTCTGACTTGGAAAGACAACTTTACAGTTTTGGTACCAATAAGAACTTACTGACCCTAAAAGTGATTGCCATGGCTTTTTGTGAGAGGTTGAATCTAAAATAAATCTATATTCTTCCTGACAGCATACAATTCAATGATCACAATTCTGATTGAGTCCCAAGTGTTGATTAAACTCAATCTGATTGGAAAGGCTAGATCAGAAGATCAAAGATCAATGTGTGAAGATGGAGCTCTTTTTAAGAGGCAAACTTTTGAAACGGGTAGCAGCATATGGAACTGAATGAATAAATTGGCATGCAACTGGCAATAATCTAAGCTAAGAAGCTTTTAGTTAAAGTTTACATTAACCTTAGTGTAGAATTATCAAAGTGATACCCTTGACTTTTGCCATATAGATCTAACAGTATAAATAGTCATTATCACTTCCTATGAGTCACAACTTTTAGACTTCTCTGGGAAATGTTTAATAAACATCTACACTGTACTTCTATTTTTTTAAAATTTAGGGGCTGTTTTGATTTATTTGGCGGATCAGCCAAATTAAGTAGCCCCCAAATTCCCCTGTAACTTAATACCATGTAAATTAGTACCATTATGACATTGTAATATTGTCACCAAATTAAGTAGCCGCCAAATGTTCAAAACAGCAAATCCGCCAAAATAAGTAGCGCCAAATTAAGTAGAAGTACAGTACTATACTGTAAAACAAGACTTTAGGTAACAGGGTGGCCTACTGCAATTAACCACTTGCTATTATTCAGTTGTATGTGAGAAAAGCCTGAAATGGGATACAAGAAATATAACAAAGAATGTATATCAATTTCTCCAATAGGCAATAGATTTGCAAATTGAGCATCTCCTATTTTCAAAGATGTATTTTCATTAATTTACATGGGTTATACTTTGATTTTGATCCCCACACATTATGAACATATTTTGGAGAACCTTTTATATCAAACCACTGTCCAAACCCTGCGTGCAGAGTCTAGTTAAACTAAGACGAAGCTCTCTTTTAAGAAGTGAAGTCAAACAAATGCAAAGGGTACACTGTCCTATGTACGAGGGTATATCATAAAGTTCTCATAATATCTCTCCAATTTTTTTATTTTTCAATATATTCTGATGAATTTTTCACAGAATGTGTAGTATAGCATGCTGTATTAATCTATCAAACAATATTTGGTATAACAGAAATATTATTTAAGAAATGGTTGCCATAGTAACCCGAAATCAAGGCACCCGGGGCAAATAAAAAAGTGTGCAAGAATAGCCCCAACTAACCATGTTTAAATGCATAATAAGTTATCAAATAAGCTATGAAACACATCAAATTGTTAAATGCCATGTGTTCTTGACTGTTTTGAACAATTATAATGGTCATGTGAATTGTGTGATCTCATAATGGATGATTGTAATGCTTCATTAGAAGTGTTGTTAGGCACTACAACAGTTTTGTCAAATATTCCAAGGAAAGTCGATTTTCCCCCTTTAGTTTATCTTTAATATGTTTAGACCACAAATAGGGGGGTAATTTTGTTGATATCTTTGCAACATATTTGTTTTAGATCATCTTTAGTATGATCAAATGACTTTTCGAACTTAACCAAACTTTTTGTCAGTATGAATTTTATTTTTCTGATGATCTCTGCACCTATGCATTATCTTACTCTGTCATTTCTGATCATTAAGTTTTGATTCTCAGAGTCTGGTATCACATCTAATGAAGCATGTAAGCATCCCCTAAGACATCACATAATTCACATGATCAATTTATTCTATAGTAAAAGCATTTAACAACATATTTAACATAACATTTTAATGTGTTTGATAATTTATGAGAGTTTATTATGTATGTAAACATGGTTAATTGAGCTCATTTTCTCAATTATTGTTATTTGCCCCGGGTGCCTTGATTTCCGGTTACTATGGCAACCATTACTTATTTAATTTTTCTGTTATACCAAATATTTTTTGATAGATTAATACAGTGTTCTATACTGCAGATTTCATGAAAATTTCATTAGAATATATTGAAAAATAAAAAAATTAGAGAGATATTATGAGAACTTTATGATATACCCTCGTATGTCTGTCTATTTATGGGAAGGGTTTACAGGGCCTAAGGTCATAGGTGACAATTTTCATACTGGTCACTCTTACACTAAATATGCTGGTTCAATATTTGATAATAATAGTACAAGGATTGATCCAAAGGTTCTGCCCCTTTAGCTCTAATTCTTATGTTACCACGAGAAGTGGTGACATAGTGTCTTCAACTTTTTTGTGGATGGTGTTTAGTAGTTGGTTTTCGTTGGTTGGTGGTAGGCATCTGTAACAAATTATAAGCTGGTGACATCCATGTCAATGCCTTGTTAATATTGTAATAAGTACCAATCAGTTATGTTCCCTCTATTTTTCCAGGTGGTAGATTGGGCAATAGGTCCTGCTGAGAAGTTACTTGCCTCACAGAAAGGTATTGGTGACTCCTTCCATTCAGCAGATGAACTAAGGAAACAACACGAACAGTTAGAACTGAAATGTGCTGTAAGTTGTTCTGCTAGGCAATTTCCATTCATGATTATTTCACGGATCACGAAAGACAATATGAAGAAAGCAGAGACACTATCAATCCGTGAAATTAAGAATCAAATGTTTGATATGGGGTCTGATGGGGAGGCATAGTGTTAAATTTAAATGTTACATGTTAAAATTAACAAAATGGCACCACTAATTCTGATACTTTTTGTACACCTTGTTATCAATGTATATTATATAATTCAAATATGTATTCCATCTCAAAGTTTTAGTCATTATAAGACATTGTGATACAACTTAATGCATCTTCTTCAGTCAGTTAACTAACAATAAACATTCGCAGTTATTTTTTCTCGTAAAATCATTAGTCTTTTTTACTTGTAGGACAATTATGGTAGATTTGCTGAGCTACGTCATGACACCGAGTCATTGTTACAACAGGGACAGTACTCAAGGAACGACATCCTCTCTCAGAGGGACTACATGGACACTGTCTGTAGAAGCCTCGCTACACGTCTCGAGAGGAGACGCAACTTACTCATTTCATCAGTTAGGTTCCATAGGATAGCGGAAGATGTAAGTTTAAGCAATTTGAAATATTTGTTTTAGCATCAAAGTATATTGTATAGATCTATGATCATTCAAGGCATTGTTAATTGGTACATAGCATCTGTATACACATAGGGACATAACAGTCTTAGATTAAGGCTGCAATCTGGGTTGGATATTTTCTAGTTAATCAAGAAACAACATTGTTTATGTCTGTTGTGAAGAATTAAGCCAAGGTAACCTATTAGACTGACATTAAGTAGCTATTTTGAGAAGAGTAAAGCCCAAAGTAGACATCTCTGAAAGTTGACCTCATTAAGCATCATTTCCAATATGTTTAGGAATCTTGAATTGTACATTCAGAATTTGGAGCTTCTTAATGATGGCAATTATGGGGAAATGAGAGGGAGGACTATATTGGACTAAGTACCTTGTATCTTGATGTATGTCTTTCCTAATAATCATAACATTCACTTGGTACCTTCTTAGTTGATATGATAATGTATATGAAAGGGTATAAGGTACAGTATATCTATAACACATAAAAAGTAGTGGTTTGGCATTGTGCAGTGTATGCACTTTTCCATTCGTCAGTTACATTTGATAATTTCAATTTTAGCAGAAACGTGTATAGAAAATGATATTACAATTGGTGAGCTCCTCTTGTGACCAAAATAATCTTTGAAATGGTCCTTATTGTCTGGGCCACATGTACACAACTATATAAGTGACTATTTTGTGTTCCAGTTCTCCAAGAAGTTGGATGATTTGCTTGATCTGTTGTGTTCAGAGATCAACTGTCCTGATGTGGAATCTGCGGAGAGAGCTTTGAGAGAACTAAATGAAAAAATTGATGCAATAAGTAAGTGTACATGCGGCAGCTTGACACAATTGACCCCGGAAGTGATCCCCATGAAATGGAAATCAAACTAAAGAGCAGTAAACCATGATTTGGTTTGATTTCAGTATATTCCCCCTATTTCCATTAACTTATATGATGACATCATCTCTCCAAATCTCAGTTTCTTTAATCTTCTAGTAAATGTGACGTTTTATAATAGATGGCATGGTAAAACAAATCCACAGCATAACATAATGGAATATTTGACTTCAAAACGGAACATTCTTGAGACATGGCAAACACTCAATAAAAATATACAGTGTACTACCAAAAGTTATTTAAAAACAGTGAATTGAAATTGTTTGGTTAACAAGATAAAACAGGCGTCTTTTCAAGCATTTTATAACTAAATCAATAAATAAAAGTATTTATATTAATAACTAATAAATAATTTACAGACTTGTACTATTTACTGTTTTACATTCCAAATCTATGGAAGTAACATGAAATACAAATTTCAGACTTGTGTGCTAAGCAAATCCTCACTGAGGGCCAGAACCTGTTGGACACCATGGCACTCCCAGTGAAGAATGCATTTGGGAAGGACATTACACCAGACTATAGTAGAGAGAGGGCACACGTTCAGCAGACACTTGATAGCCTTCAAGAAAGAAAAATGAGGTAACTTTGGTATTCTCATCACAATTTTATCAAAATCATATTTTAAAACTCTTTTTTTATTGAGAAATGTTTAAATTGCCAAAAATAACAATTTGTCCAAAGCTTTCCACAGAACAATCCAAAGTTATGATTTAAGATAATATTGTATTATATGTGATTGTATTTGCACTTTCAGTTTATGTCATTAAAATCATATCACACAAAGAATACTGTATATTCCTATATTTTTGACTCGCATTTTTGTATGCTTGCAGATGTGATGAGCTAGCAGATGTGAGAAAATTAAAATTACAGCAGATTCTACAGCTGCGTACCTGTGAGAGAGATGCTGATCAAGTAAGTAGCCCTCAACATAATTTGTGTTTTCTATTCCCAATGTAAAATAAAAATCAAATGATTCACCAAAGGAAAAGTCTGAGATAAAAGTTGGATATCAATGTTGAATTAAATTATCTGATCACAAAGGTTTTCCCAATAAGAAAGATGGCAGAGAGCCATGTAGAAATAGGGATAGTTTTGGCATTTTCTGTTGTAAGATTTAGATCTCTTGTGTATAGATGTCTCATAAGTCATACTCTCCAAACCAATGCCTCGCCTTGGCTATTCCATTTATCTGTAAACAGCCTTATTTCTGAAATATCAATTTATTTAATTTATCAAATAACATTATGATACATACAAATATGATGTGCATTTTTCAGGAATTTTTTGAATGCTAATCATCTGAAAATTGTTTCACTTTTGTAACCATTTGTAGTAACTTACCAGTAGTGTTGTCGCGATTTGCCATAATCGTACATCGATGCATCGGCAATTTTCAGTAGTAAACATCGATGCACATCGCGATGCACATCGCGATGTACATCGAGAAAAAGTTCGAGAAAAGTGCACTGAAATACCGAACGCTAATGCACTAAAATATCGAACAGAACAAATTAATAAGAGTACGCTGGTACATCCGGGAACATAGTAACGGTGAAATGAAAGTAAAGTAATTTTTTAGATTAATGGTTCATTTCGACTAGCTAATTCAGTTTTAAAGCGAAGGAATATCAGAAAACATTTGAAAATGAAATAAGACATGAAAAAGGTAAGCAAGTTGCGTCAAAATAAGATAAGAAAGGGCGATTTTTAGCAAATTAAAATTTTTTAAAAACATCGATGTTTTGTTTCAGACATTGTTGCATCGCCAGAACCAGCTTTGGCGATGTATATCGCGATGTATCGATTAATCGCGACAACACTACTTACCAGATGTTGTCATTTTGTCATTGCATCTACCTTAAACTCACGTTTGTATCATTCACTTTCAGGCCATAGAGTGGATCCTTGAGCTCTGTGAGGTCATGATAAAATCACATACAGAGATGGGCAGAGACCCACAGGAATCTCAGACATTGCATAAAGAACACAAAAAGTTTGAGGCAACAGCAAAGGTTTGTTTTCTGTTCTTATCATATTGTTGCGATTTATATGTTATAAAATGTTTATTCACCATGCAGTAGTTATTATTTTTTAGGGATATTTTATTCTACTTTGGAGTGTTCTTTTTCAAGATGTTAATAATGTGCATAATCACATGAAAGACAATATTTATGTGCACTTCGTATTTCAAAAACATCAATTTCTATACAATATTGTGATGTCATGTTTAAGTGATATCTTTAAAAAAACCATTACAAATTATGTAAATGTCAGATATATTTAAATAGTACAAGTAAATGTTATATTATAATACTTCAATGTTAAATTGGGAAAATACAGATACATTAGGCGAGGTGATTGAAATGAATTGCCTTATTGTAATCCTAGGGTACCTATGAGTATGGCAAGCAGCTGCTTCAGGCTGCACTGGTGCTACGTAGATCGCTGAGGTATGATGTCGCACCCAATAATGAACGTGTTCATAGACTTAATGTTGCCTGGAAGAGATTCTCTATGGGAATCACAGAGAGATCAAATAGATTGAGCGTGGCAGCTGCATTCCATAAAAATGCTGATACGGTAAGACATTCTATATTTTATTAATGGTACGTTCACACCAACGGCGCTTTGATGGCGCTTTAAAGCGGCTTGTAAAGCGGCACCAAAGCGTAACAAAGCTTAATTAAAGCGTCGGGGTCGTAATAGGTCGTAGAAAAGCTCGGGAGTAAAGCGGGATATTCGGCAAGAGCGCTAAAAAATTTAAACTGTTTAAGCGTTCGCACCAGCGGCGCTTTGATGGCGCTTTAAAGCGGATTGTAAAGCGGCACCAAAGCGTAACAAAGCTTGATTAAAGCGTCGGGATCGTAATAGGTCGTAGAAAAGTTCGGAGTAAAGCGGGATATTCGGCAAGAGCGCCAAAAAATGTTAAACTGTTTAAAAATTTTAAGCGCTCTGTTACGAATTGATTGAAGCGCCGAGAGCGTATCAAAGCTTAACAAACCGTAACAAAGCTCAACAAAGCTTGACTCAAAGCGTAGGAAAGTTTAACACAGCTTGGTTCAAAGCGGGGACCCCAGTCTATTCACGGTCTGTTACCACTTGACACGCTTCGTTATGATGTCTCAAGATTTGCTACGATCTGGCATGAAGATCTGACACGAGGTCAGACGCTTTCATCAATATCTGACACTCTTTGTTACACTTTCCTGAGGGACTCTCAAGCTTTCCAACGAATTGAGACGCTTTAATCAAGGATTGAAACGCTTTGCTAGGCTTTGTTACGCTTGATAGTTTTCACACGCTATATCACGCCGTGCGACAAACGTCATGTCTTCTTCAGATAGGTCATGCTCTGGTCCATCTGGAATTTCTGGATCTCGTTGTTCTGCCATCGTGTTCTCGAGTCAAAGATGCTATGGTTTTATGGATCTACTGCATCTTTATATAGTCATTGGATCAAAAGCGGCATGGAATCGGCGATCTCGACATTTTCCAATGCGTGACAGAGCTTAACAGAGCGTAACAATGCACAACAGAGTTTTGCAATCGTATCAGAGCCTGATTTAAAGCGTCATAATCGCATCAAAGCGTAATAATGCTTATCAAAGCTTTTCAAAGCGTGATTTCAAGCGTAACAAAGCCTGATCGAAGCGGGATCAAAGCGTGAGGAACCTTTTAGAGCTATGTTAAGCTTTCCTACGCTTTGGATCAAGTTTTTCTGAGCTTTGTTACGGTTTGTTAAGCTTTGATACGCTCTCGGCGCTTAATCGATTCGTAACAGAGCGCCCAAAATTTTTTAAGAGTTTAAAATTTTTTGGCGCTCTTGCAGAATATCCCGTTTTACTCTGAGCTTTTCTACGACCTATTACGACCCCGACGCTTTAATCAAACTTTGTTACGCTTTGGTGCCGCTTTACAAGCCGCTTTAAAGCGCCATCAAAGCGCCGTTGGTATGAAGAAAAATGACAAAAATGACGGCGCTTTGCTCGCCGATTTAAAGCGTGGTATTCGCCGTTGGTGTGAACGTACCTTAAGTAAACAATAAGTTCCTCTGATTCATAGTTCTTGTGTTTATATGTGGTAACTTCTTGGTCGTTAACTCATTTTCCCAATGCCCTTCCATTTTTTCATCAATGTTTTACTTCTGAATATGTCTCCGTCAGTTCCATCGCTCATCATCACTCATGGGCCTTCTTCAATAGTGCATTTCCATTATTTACCTCATTGATAAACTTCTTTTGCGTTCTTTTCTAATTCTCATTTACATATCCCCCTCATTCATACATCTTCATATTCTTTGTCTCATTTGTGTACCTAATTTGCATATATTTATCTAATTCAAGTATCCTCTAATCCATGCACATTTTCATATGTGATTTATCTTTCTCATTCATGTCTCTCTGTCATGTTTTAGGTGATAGAGCTGATTGAAGAAATCACCATAGCAATCAGTAAGGTTGTGACAAGAGAGATGACACTACAGACTTTCCTACAGCGCTACGGGAGACGCAAGGAACAGTTAAACCAGGAATATCATGATGCTGTGAAACTTGGCAAAACTCTTATTGACAGAGTCTCACAACCAGTCTTAGCTGAAGATGGGTAGGTTTATAACATGATATACATATGTGAATATATTTGAAGATTTTGTGCTGAGTTGACTCAGTCTAACAATTCAGTTATTCAACAAAATGGATTCATAGTTGTTTAATTATGAACAGAAAATAAGCCATCTGGTTGGTTGAGTACCTGTTGCAAAAAAGACAATACGCTAATATAATGAAATAAAAAATAGTAAATAGATAGATAAAATTAATATAAATAATAGATATAATTACATGTAGATATATAAATTAAATGATACAGAAATCAATCACTGCATGTACTGCCATATTGTTAATATATCTGCAGGAGTAAAAGAGAAGATCTGGATGATACTGGTGCTGAGATAAAGAGTAAGATGTCTGCGATGGATTACAAGATGCAAGAGTTGAACAAAAGATGGCAGCAACATGTCAACCCTCAAGGTGATGAACAGCTTAGGAAACTTCAACAACTTTTCGATGAGGTAAGATTCTTGCTGTATAATGTTCAATTTTAATACATAAGAGTTTGTAAAATTAGAAATCCATAATATATCATCCTCTTACTATGATATCACAGTTACTATGATCACAACAATGGATATAGAAAATTTTGTTGCTCAGAATGTTCTGGTAATGTATTCATAAGTTAATGTAATGTATTTTTGAGGTTCTATTTAAGTTCTTTGTCAAATGTAAAATTTTTGTGAAGGAACATGGTCAGGCTATGTGGGAATATTCCAAAGTAAAATCACAATTGTAGTTTTTCTGCAAATATAGATGTCAGATCAATCATCCACTCCTACCATTTCTCACTATCTGGCTAATATGTATGTAATACCTGCTATATGACCCCAAATATATTACCCTAAAAAACCTTCTCATCTCACTGGCTTGGATAATATTTATGTAAGCATTGTGATGAAAATATTTCTTGTTACTAACATCTTATTTGTCAATTTATTAGCTAAACAATTTTTATTTATAGACATTCATAGGTTCACTCACTATTACTCATCTTGAGTTATAAAAGTACATTTTCGTAACACGAAAACTTGAGATGTTGAATCCATTAGTAGAACTTGTCTTCTATCAGTATCTTATGGTTATCTATACTCGTTATGTTATAGTATTTTGATACTTGATGTGATATGGTATTTCAATGCATAGTAAGTTGTGGTATTTTAATACTGAAATATGGCATTTTAATAGTCAATGTTATTTTGTATGAATCACAGTATCTGCAACTATTTTTGATTTTGGAGTATTGGTTTTCCTTTCTTTTTGAATAGTTCTTCAGTCTATTGCTATGACTTCAATATGAATGCAATGTCCCATGTTCTTGGCTTTGGATTGTGATAATGGATTGTCACCATCACAAGTATTGTTTTAGTCTCCCAACATTTTTGTGGCAGCGTTTAGTGGTTGGTGTTCGAGATTTCTTTCCTTATAGCATTTTGTACTCTTAAACGTTTCTTTTCTACATGTGTTTTAATACTTTTTGGTGGTTACTGTTTTGGCACTTATGCTTTCATTATTAGGTTTTCATACAATCTTCATTTACCGGCACTAAACTTTTGAATTCATCTTCAATTTTCTTAGCTAGTACGATCGAACATACTTCTAAAAAGAAGATATTTTTAGACATTCTTGGAAAACCACCAACATCCTACCATTTGGTGTGATAACTTTCATGATATTTTAACAGTAATTTATACTTCTGTTTTTCTCTAAAATACATTAATTAGCACACTTTAATTGGGATATAAAAGAAATTGATTAATCTTTATGATGTCACTTCAACTCGGTGGGTTGAAAAGAAACACAATTTGTATCTTTATGATGTCACTTCAACTCTGTGGGTTGAACAGAAACACAATTTGTTAATTTTAAAATAAAGTTCTTCATATTCGCTCATCATGAGCTTCAGGTTGTGTAATAATGATTTTTTAGACCTACTGGTCTTTGAATCTTGAACCAGTTGCCTTCTTATTTCTCTAAATATATTGGAAAATGAGCTTCTCACATCAAACCTAACTGGCTATAGCCTCTTGGCTGGCTCTCCTATGGCAACCTTGTGAACTTTTGCTGAAACTACTGGTCTTACTTTGCCTTTGGTATTTTTACCTGTTACGTTCACTCTCCCTGACTTATCGTCATAATCACTGTCGGAACTATATGTAAGCTTATTATTAGCTCACATTACACATATATATATCAATGACGCAATTTAATCAAGACTCGGTTAACATATGGAAAAAACTAGAGGCTTTAATAACTCCCTCTTCAAAGAAGCCAGATCAGACATCAAGGTCATATAAAGGATATGGAGAGTATCCTAAAGGAAAATATCATACATAACAATGCACTCATCTTTTGTAGCTGCCTAACTCTCCTACTTTTGACCCATTCTCCAACCCCTCCTCAATTCCCTGAGTGCTAAATCATGTATAAACATTTCACATACATAATGCATACATTATATTACACTGAAATTATACTACACAGATATAAGAGTGAAAACTCAGATAATTCAGAAATGAGGAAGAATGTTCCTATCTGTTAAAAAGAGCTTTTAGGGATGTATATCTCCAAAAGGATGTTTCAGACATTTTATTTTGGTATTGGAGCATTGAAGTTAGTGATATGGCGATCATCAAAGGGTGAAAAATAAACACCGCATAGGTTACAAGCAAGTCATAAGGCTGGTCATAAGGATTCATTCTTCTCTAGTTTAGTATGACTGTTGTTATATACAGTGGCATGAGTAAGAGTCAAATCCATATGATACATTTCATTCTCAAGTCTATAAAATATTCCAAATCTTAAAAAATTATATCTCGTAAAAATGAAGTTGTCATCAATATACGGGCTTAACACCCTCTTTGAGACGTACCATTTAGCTTTGTACCAATTTAAAGAATTTTATGATCCAATATCTGAGTTATGTATGACTATATCAATGATGCAATGTGCTCATCTTCTACATATGCATTCAGTTATCAGTGTTTATCTAGTCTTAGATTATCCCTTGTTTATGCAGATGCAATGTATAGGAACTCAGGAACAGTTGCTTATACTTATACATGTTACCAACTCACTTGATTTCTAACTGGCCCCAAACGAGGATACCTTCCTGAGGTGTGAAATAGAAATTCTTACCTTCCGGGATGATACACATTCAGGGCCAGTTAGGATTGTATTAAACCAGAGCAGTGTATATTCAGGCTAAGATTAGGGATATGTTTACATTCTGCTGGTGCACATGGCAAGCGCTTGCCTTATTTGGGAGTCTGAATATAGAAACAGTGAGGGATCATCTCATAAGTTAACACATAAGTTAAGAATACATGTATGGTTTGCAGTATAACTCTTGCTTCATTTTGGATCTGGGGTGAATGATCGAACGCTAAATCACTATGTCACCTCTCCATTATGTGGAAATGTTTGAGATTAAAATATTGCTTTATATTTGTACCTCTTGTTTAATGTTTGTTCTTACAACTAAAAATCTGATCTCCATTTCTCACTCATATTTGAATATTTATAAATAATGATATGGTATTTAGAAATCACAAAAATATATTAATTTGATATTTCATGATATATTTTTTTTTTATTCATACCATTGGCTTTCAACTTTCTAATTGAAAGCCCATGTTCATACTAATTGATTTAAAAGCCCCCCATCAGGATTTTCCTGGTCTCTCACTATATACATTTTTTTATTTCCACATTATTTCAGGGTTATTCTCATATATTTCAAGGGGGAAGTCCAACCTTAATACAAAAATTATTTTCCCTGTGCAAATTGCATTGTGTGAATGATGTTAGTGCTGGGGTAAGGCAACTTTAATATGGCCATCTTACTGCTAGGGGACTTAAAGACTTACTTAATTATGCTACCAAAAAGCCATTGTTTTCCTGCGTTGACATTTATTATGAGAAAACATGTTTAAAAATCCCTCCAAGCAAATCCAACAATTGGATTAACATACAGTATAGAGCGAACTTCAAGATGGTTATATCTCTCCCTTGTATATAAGGTAAGCTGTCTAGTCTACTTTACATGCCCTTGTTGAGTTTTAGCACAGACTTTGCTCTATGGTCCAAAACAGTGAAGTAGACTTGGTTTATGCTGTATTTATATTGTGATAAGTAAGTAGAAGGTTTTGAGTAAGATAGGAAAGACATAGCTGCTTGCATGTACAGTACAGTGCCATCAAAACTGCCCAGTAAATAGAAAACAATGTCATCAGATATAATTAACAATCAGCTGAGGACATTAAATACTTAACGCAACAAGAATATACAAGTGGAAAACGACATAAAAGACGCAACAATGTCGGATACACATAGTATATCGGATAGTTGGTCCGAATTTTCGGAATCACAACCAAGCACAACAACAATCTCAACTGTGGCAGTCCAGGCTGGTAAAGCCAAAATTGTTCTAGCCATTCTCAGGGTAGGTCTTCCCTTACATATGTTAGCATCTGGGGGTGGGGTATGGGGGTTTGGAGGGGTGGTTTGGGTTAGGAAAAGGTTAGGGGGTAAAAAATCAGTCAAATCATCTGGTGAAGAGAAAATTTTGGCTCAATATACAAATTTGTTAGCTTATTTCTTGTTGTTGATAAAATTTGTTTTGGTTTGGATTTGAGAAGTTTAAAGAAAAAATAGCTTCAGACCCCCCTCCCTCCACTCACTTGACTTTAAAGAGACACCTGACCTTTGGGTTCACTTGAGGTCAAGAATGTATATATACAGCTAAGTTCCAGCACTGTCAGACCATGCAAACTTTATAATCAACTGAGTGTCTTTACATATATTTGGATTGAGGAAATAGAAATATTAGTAAAAATAGAGATAATAAATCAATGTCATCTTGACCTCATAAAAAATGAACTTGGTTATTGAACTTTTATTTTGTGATAAACTTTTTACAAAATATGTTAACATCGACCCACTTCTAAATCTTTGGTCATTTTATGTATTATATAGCTTTGGCATTAAAAGGAATTATTTATATAAAAAATTAGATAGCTGTTACTTGATTTCAAATCTGACACTACGATTGTTACGATTTGATGACAACACAATCCCAAATGTGTGGGTTATGCCAACTCACATTCAGTAAAAATAATCCTAGTTGAACTCATTTTGAACTTTTCACAAGACGAAGTATAAAAATACATGTGGCAACATTAGAAAAATCCAAAACAATGAAGAAAAATCCATTTTTTAAATATACATTGTATAAGTAATACATTATCAAGATATAAATAAATATAGTCTCAAATGAATACTGGTATGGTATGGTCACACCAGATATATATCAGTTGATCATCCAAAAATATCAGCTCATTATGTAACCATTGTGCCTGAATTGGCCTGCAAAGATTTCTACTAGTAAAGTCCTTAGCTACATTGAGGCAACCAACACATCTTTTTGCCCCAAAATATTTTTTCAGAATTATGTCTATGT